GAACAGGACCCAGCCTCGACCACCCGGCACCCTCGACAAAGCGCCCGTTGGACAAGTCACGCCCCGGTCCGGCTTATGATCATTGTCTGCCGCTAGCAGCTTGTTGCTTCCGCTCTGCAGGCTGACTCGACTGCATCTCTGCATTGCTGTATCGGACGCAGGCTCCTTTTCCTCCTCCACCTGATTTGATTCTTGGGTCTCAAGCTTAAGCGTCTCTTCATCTGCGAACACGTCGGGCTTTCCGTCTCGCATGCGACAACCTCCTTACGACCTAATAGAAACGTGCCGGATCTCGTTTCTCTCTCGCCCAACATCCTTCTGCAGCTTGCGCCCTGGTCCTACCGAGTGTCGCCTGCTTGTAGTATTGCCCTTTCGCCTACCGGCATACAAATATCCTCCGAGGCTGCCCCGCGGTGGCGAGCGATTGCAACGTTAGGACTCCTCTCTGTCGACGCATATATTCGAGCGTAGCGGCTCAGCAGATAGCACGCTCTACAAGTCGTGGCACGTGGCAAAGACGCCTGTTTCGGCGATTTCAAGTTGGAGGCGACAGCCCGAGAGCGGTGGAACGAAGAGAAAGGAAGGATTGCGCCCACGTTCTGGAAACCCTGACTCTTCCCCGTATCCCGTCATCGGATCTCAAAAGGTATGTCTAGGTTCTTTATTTTCTGGGTCATCTCTTCCTGGTTGATCAGACGTCGGCCGGTGCTGTTGGTGGGTGGCCCAAGCTCCATGGGAGGCTCACCTCCCGCGGTGGCAGGATAAGCTCCTGTGATGGCTTCACATCGCCAACGGCCGATGATTCGACACATTGGTCGCCTCCTAGGCGCAATGATGTCATGGGATATGCCTGGATACTCTCCGCACGTTTGATCCATGACTGACTGAAACTCAATAGCGTCTTACACAAGGTCCCAGAGGTCGCCCTCTTACACCCGTCCAGATGATGTTACCTCACACCCTCTCTTCGTCCGCAAGGTCGAATGCCGTCATGTCTTCTGCTTCGCCTGAGGTTATGGACATCACGAACATGCTGAACAACAAAGGCGGCGCCATGACACACGGGCTTGGAGGAGGCATGCACGACCACCACCAACACCAGCATCACCATCTTGGGCTCGTCAAGCACGAGCCGACCATGGACCGATCAGGATCCCCTCACATGTCTGAGCATTCGTCCTATTCCGCACACAGCATGTCTCGCGCCTATCCCTCGCCGACGGCCATGCAAGCCCCCATGCAGATTCCGAATTCCATGCACAACGCGATGCAAATGGGTGGCTTCGCCGACATGTCAGGCATGGGCGGTGTGCCAAGCATGGCCATGCACCACATTCCTCAACATCCTCCGCAGCAGCAGCAGCAACAGCAGCAGCAGCAGCCGCAACAGCCGCAAGCCCCGGTCAAGGCGTATCCTTGCAGCACTTGCGGCAAGGGTTTCGCTCGGAGAAGCGACCTTGCCCGCCATGGTGAGTTTCGTTTGATGTCTACATGTTGAGCTTCGAGCACCCTTCTAACATGGGTCACACCCGCAGAGCGTATCCACACAGGCGTTAGGCCCCATGTCTGCGACTATCCCAAGTGCAACAAGCAGTTCATCCAACGATCTGCCTTGACCGTTCACCAGAGAGTGCACACGGGCGAGAAGCCCCATCACTGCGAGACGTGCGCCAAGGTAAGCCAGTCATCAGTGTCGAGCTTTGCGGCTTTTTTCTCTTCCATGCATGTTTCCCCCAAGCAAGAATGCTAATTTGTCATCCTGTAGCCGTTTAGTGACAGCAGCTCTCTGGCTCGGCACCGGCGGACACACTCGGGCAAGCGCCCCTACAAATGCCCCTACGCCGATTGCCAGAAGACGTTCACGCGACGTACTACCCTGACCCGGCATCAGAACCACCACACGGGCACGATCGAGGAGGCGGCGGCGGCGACTGCTGCGGCACTCGCTGCTTCCAGGGCCAAGAACGGAAGCCAGGCTCGCTCCGACGGCGACCACATGTCCAGCCACGGCTCCCCACTGTCGACCCCGTCACCCAGCCAGCACGGCATGATGTCTCCCGCCCTCGATCTCTCCGGCTCCAACGGCATCCCACGGCACGCGGCCGACTTCCAGCAGTACATCACGCAGAGCGGCGGGCTGCCCCCTCACCTCCGTGTGGGTAGTCCTACTTCGACGACGTCGGCGGCGAGCTACAACACCGGCATCCGACCGACGTCGCACCCTACCGGCTACGGCCCTCCGCCCACGTTGGAGCCCAACTTGGAGCAGCATCCGGCCGGATCCGGAAGCGCAGGCGGCAGCCCCCATATGAGCCAGGTTAGCTGGCAATCCCCCCAAACTCATTCGCCATCCCACAATGGCGGCAGCTACATCTACCCCGACCCCGATGGCGGCTACCCTCCCAACCCGGCCATGAGCCAGATGTACTATGGCGCACCTCAGCAGATGCGACGCCCGCAGAGCGCAGAGCCTGGTCTGGTCCATATGGCTTAGGTAGCCTAACTGCCAAGGGGGGGTAAGGCGGGAAATCTACTCTTTCTCAGTCCACCATGACGATATCGACATCTCATCAGGCAATGCCGCAGTGTACACTTTTTCTTATATACCGACACAGACATCATGTATACGATTCCTTTCTTTCCCAGGTTTTGGCAGCGCAAAGTATGGCTTTCTGCATAGCACCTGCGTCGGGCCCCCATTACATTTTTTGCATTGTATTTCATTTTTTTCCTTTTGTTCCTTTTCTTTTTTTTTCTCGTTTCATTTCCCCTTATTCTCTTCATATAGACTTGGGCGATAGACTGGCGGACCGGAAACTTGACGACCATGGACTGAGCGTTTTTCCATTGACATGACGCGCAGGGCGGCAGGGGAGGACACAGACTGGAGTTTCAGGGAGGGCGGAATTGGCGCCTAAGTTTGTTTGCTTGCCCGGCTATTTTTGGTCGGCATAGAAGAGGGACTGGAACCGGGACAAGACATAGACGGCGGGGAGCTGTCCACCACTCTTCAATGACGCATTTTCCTTGAACTTTTTTTTCTTTTCTTTTTGGCACATTACATAGACCAGGGCGCTCGAAGCGCACCTCTCGCGAGACAATGGCACGGATACATATACGGATATGACGACTGATTTGTAAACGACGGTGATGTTTGTCTTGTGATGACGTGAATCTGAGCTTGCGATGGATTGACGACACGGCTGAGCAGTTGAGAAGATGAAGAGGCGAAAATGGAAGGGGGGATATGTATATATTGTACAGTTAAGCGGACTCAGGGGAGATGGGGTCATGGAAGTTATGCTCTGTTGGAATTGTTGATTAGTCGTCGAGGCGAGGCGGCTCCAGGAGGAAACCACTCCGTTGCGCAGTGGATGATGCATGGTGAGGTGGATGGGAGGTAATGATTGTTATGAGATTGAAGGAGGTAGAAGGCTTTTCAGCTGGATTGCTTTGGTCGCGCGGGATATCTGAGTGTATTGGTTGCTGGAGGGAGAATGGGAGCGGTAGGTTTTGTTGTAGTTGTTTCTGGGTGTTCTTTGGTGAGGTACCAGTAGCTGGTCTTGCGCTATCTCATGAGGCGATACATACATGGTGTTTTCGATATCATTCCAAGTGAGGTAATATTAAGATACCTACCTAGGTATCTTACCTATTGGTGATCATTGAGTACCTACTAATGTACGGAGTTGAACATGGCGCAAAGTCAATCTAGCGAAACTATTGCAGATCAGCCATTCCCCGATTTCCTCTTTGATCATAACGACCAGCTTTGATGATCTTCCACACCGTCGTATTGTCCCAGAAATGCCATTGTCGGCCGTGGCAATCCCTAGGACCAAACTGGGACAATTGAGGTTGGAGGGGAGGGCGATCACGATCAGTAATCTGGCGGAGAGGCACTGGATGGGATTAGTATTCAGCAATTGAGAGACGGCTTCAAGGTCCTGCTCTTGCTCTGGGATGATGTCTGCATGATCTTTGTTTCTGTTACTTTTCGTCTTCTCTGAATCAGGAATATGATGGCAATGATACCTGTTGTCAGGTTGTGTGTATTTGTATGCTGTTTCGATGAAGATGAATATATGGATGGGATAAGATGATTGAAGAGCATAATACGGATATGGGGAAAGAAGATGTGGAAGCGCCCCCCCTCTCCGGCCTGGGCTTAGCGCATGCGGCAGGATTATATATGCGGAAACGACATTGACATCAAATCCATAATTCCCAAGTCTCAGCTTGCGACAGGACAATTTAACAAGAAGAAGAATTAAGAAAAAAAAAGAAGAAGAAGAAGAAGCGTTGCAAGTTAGGGGAATAAGAAAAAAAAAAAAGAGACAACAGCAGGAGGGACCAATTCTAAACGAACTGCCTTGTCCGAGGCCACGATATCTGAACCATTTCGGAGAAACTCCCTGATTCGCGTTTCAATCCTCTCTATACCTATCTTGCTTGATCTTGCGAGCGCGAACAAAAGGCACGGCAGCTCGGCCTTTTATGATTTCTAATTGCTTTGCAAAAAAAAGTCGCCCTTTTACTGCTCCGTCTCAAGACTATTACCTACTGTACCTTAACCAGAAAATCCACATCTCTTTGTCTTTTTGATTGTGGACGTTTTTTTTTTCTTTTCTTTCCTTTCTCAATAGTCCCATGCTTGCTGTTCTTATTCTTATATCGCTCTTCTTAAGTTGATAACCCCCCTCTACCGTACGTCGCAAACCGAGTACTCTTCCTACCTAGTATCATCACCACCTTTGCGCTTTGTCGCCGTTTTGCATGATAAGGTGGTCTTGTGCTCTGTCACGCACAAGCAAACTATGAGCGCAGCAGCAGCATCGCCGCACATTGGCGTTCCGGCGCAACAACACCAAGCCCAGCAGCATCACCACCACTACCGCAGCGATGACCAGCAGCAGCAGCACCAACCTCCACCTCTCTCAGCGAGCACCATCTCCAGCACAAGCAAAGATCCTTCAGCATCAGCAGCAACAGCATCAACGATGCTATCCAATAACAACAACAACAACAGCAACAAGCAGACGACAATACAGACAGCACTGCCAGGTCGAGGCGTGATCCGGCTTGAGATTTACGTCGACCTGCTCTGCCCGTGGTGCTTCGTCGAAAAGCACAGCCTGGATGCGCTGACGAGCACGTACGCCGAGGAGCACCCGGACGTGCGCTTCGAGGTGACGTGGAAGCCGTATTACATTGCGCCGGCCATGGGGAAGCGTGAGTGAAATCCCCCCCCCCCCTTTCCCTCTTTCTTTCATACACTTTCGTTCTCAATCCCATACAGAGAGAGAGAAGAAAGGAGAGAGAGAGAGATCCTTTCTATTCAGTGAGATTCTTCATGATATGCGCCTCATCTCGGCTTTCACGTCCCAAGACCTCCTCACCTCACCTTATACTAACCAGCGTCAACACACACACAAGACAACGTCGACAAGCGCTCCATCTACGAGCGCCTCGACGCCCTCAACGCACACTTCCTCTCCCGGATCCGCGTCGCCGGCGCCAAGCACGGCATCGCCTTTTCCATCCGCGGCCTCACGGGAAACACCCGCCCCGCGCACCGGCTCATCGCCCTGGCCCTGCGCGAGCGCGGCGCCCAGGCCCAGGCGCGCGTCGTCGAGATGCTCTTCCAGGGCCACTTTGAGGACGGGCGGGACCTGAGCGACGAGGCGTGGCTGGTGGATGTTGGGGTTCAGGCTGCGGCGGCTGCTGGCATGGAGGAGGAGGTGGTGAGGGCGGCGTTGGCGGATGAGGACGGGGAAGGGAGGAGGGTGGATGAGGTTGCCGAGAGGGCGAGGAGGGAGTTTGGCGTCGAGGCCGTGCCGTGTGTTGTGGTGCAGGGGAGGTACAAGGTGGGAGGGTATCAGGAGGGGGACGTGTTTGAGAGGTTGTTTGACAAGATACGGCTGGGGGGAGAGGTTTTGTAGGGGTTTTCTCTTTGGTTTGGACTTCTTCTCATTGTGTTGGAGTTGCGATGGCGGTGTCATCTTGGGTAAGATCTCTTGATAAAGGGGGGGGGGGGGGGGGGCATTTCTTGCTTGTTCTGGCGTACATATCTGGCTCTCGGGGTTCTTGGGAATAATCAAAGCATACCTTAGGTGGTGGTGTTGGCGGCGCATTCCATATCACGGCATCTTGGATATCCGAGCAGTTTGCTCACAAAAACATCATCCTCTTTCAAGCCTCACTCTCTCAATGTAGATCCCTAGACGTAGACACTGGGAATGTCCAATCAATTCCTATCTCGTGCAAAAGGTGAACAAAAGACATTATCTGCAACCCCACTGGCTCTATCGTGGAAGAAGACGAAGAAGAAGAAGAAGCACCCCCTCGTGGGTAGCTGTTGATACCTCTCAGCTGATGGTTTTTTTTGTGTTTCTCACTTCTTGTCCTTGACTGTATCAAAACGCCGTTGCAAAAACTCCCCTTAACGCCGATTCTAGTACCTTTCCATCCTGCCCAACCAAATACAAACAAAGCCAATCTGTGTGTTGTGTGTGGGGGTTCTCTTTTTGTCGTGCAGCCGTAATCCCCCTACTATCATAATGACGAAAGGACAAATTAAATCGCGGGACATCTCCCTAGACGAGTCCTGGCGGGTTCTTTCAAACGGCTCACACCGTTTGCCTCGCTGATCCGAGTCAACGTTTCACACCACTTCCCCCGCTCGCCCCCAATCACCGCCTCATGCCGCTGTAGTCGTTGAGCAGGTGCGTCATGTGCGTGTTGGTCGCCTTGCCGATGCGCTTGCCGGCCCTCTTCTTCTGCTGCTTGGGCTTGGCCGCCGCCGCCACGGCCTTGCGCGGGTCGTCGCTCGTCGGCTTCTGCCCGACGCTTACCAGCTTGCGGTGCATGTCCTCGAGGCTGGGCAGCTGCACGCGGCGCCACATGGCCTGGAACTCGGGCTCTACCTTGTGGTGCAGCGACGGGTCGTCGGCCCAGACGTAGCGCGGGAAGTTGTCCTTTTTCGTGCGCACCACCAGCACCTTGTGCTCCCGCTCCAGCTTCGCCAGCGTCTCCTCGCAGTCGGGCCAGCCGTCCTTGAGGTCCTTGACCGACACCCCCGAGGCGTCCGTCTTGCGCTGCAGGTGCGCCAGCAGCGACGTCGCGTCCTTGACCCCCGGGATGATGGGCCGGTGCTTGTACGTGCCCGTCTTCCACGTCTGCTCGCTCAGGCTCGGGTCCGGCCTCCACTCCACCCGCGGGTGCCGCCGCAGCCCCTCCGTCAGCTCCTTCTTGTGCTCCTCCGTGTAGTTCCTCAGGCTCAGGTGGTCGATGATGTCCTGGATCGTCTTGGCGTCGCCCTTCTTCTTCAGGTACTCGACGGCAAACGTCATCTGCGTCTTGACCTCGGCGCCGTAGCCCGTCAGCTGCGGCTGCGAAAACGGCACGTCGGGCGCCGCATCGCGCTTCCTCTTGGCCGTCGGCGTGTTGCTGTCGGACGCGGCGGATGGCGATGGCGATGGCGGAGCGAGAGACGCAGCCGCGGCTTTGATGCTCGAAGGGTTCGATAGCTTGGACGCGGCCGAGGCGAGGCTGCCTCGGAAGACTGACGACTGCTTCTCCAGATACGACGACATGTTGGGCGGGTGGTTTGGCCTAGCAGCGGTAGCGGTATCGTAGAGGCAAGAAGAATGAGCGGGAGACGGAGGAGAAAGAGAGAGAGAGGGAGAAGAGAAGAGAAGAGAGAGAGAGAGGCGATGGTGGGAGCAGGATGGAGTAAAGGTCAAGGAAAGTCGAAACTAAGTTCCAGGCAAAGTTCAATCCATGCTTGTCCGAGAACAGGGAAACGAGGCTGATGCGCTGTCACACCTGTGGCGCACTCGTTCTGACAAAAAGGTTTGGTGTGGCTGAATAACCTTTTCCTTCGGCCGGCCTTATCTTGCCTTATCGGAGCCGAAAGTGTTGAGAATGCCACGCAAGCAGAAACTCGCACAGGCGTGAGTCCAGACAACTTCAGAGTGCCATTGATCGCGGCTCCTGGAGATGGTGCAGCTGCCATTGAGGCTTGCGTCTGTGCGCAACGCCATTGTGCCTTTGATGATTCGAAGTCTCACCTTTTTTTCTCAACTCTTGTTCACACCAATTCAACCTGCCCACTATGTCAACCAAAAAATAAAGAAATTGATTATCGTAGATATCTAGCCCTGTATATGTCCGTCAAAGGCATCATCTAGTCTCGTTCCTGTAACATGGCTCCCAATTGTTGAGGTGCCCCAAAATTCAAGACACCACGCCATCTATACTGTCACGCTTATCAAAAAATATATCCCAGAGCCAGCTCCCGGCGTGATTCGTGTGCGCAAAAAGATGGCACCGACAAGACACCGACTCCTCCTCTCCGGCGGGGCGCATCCATCAGGACCGTCCTGACATCAAGCTGGCGCGCTGGAGGGAAAGCCCAGGCATGCTCCTCCTTTTTCGCCCCTTGATTTTAAAAGTCGTAAAATATGTCCTTGTTGAAAACCGTACCAATGATACAATGCGCTTAGGCGGCCTGGGCCTGGTTGGCCTCCTTGGCCTGGAGGTACTGGTAGGCGAAGTAGGCGATGAGACCACCAATGGCGACAACGCTGTAGAGGCCAAAGCCGCCGCCGGTGGTGGAAGAGCTGACGGAGGGAGAGTTGGTGGTGGTGGTCTTGGGGACAGGGTCGCCGGGCTGCGGACTCAATCGTTAGTAGATGCCAAAGCGTAAACGGGAAGAGTCAACGTGTCGCAAAGAGCCATGACGAGGGGGGCGGGGAGCGCATAACGCATACCTGGCGCTTCAGCTCGCCGACGAGCAGGGGGATAAGAGACTCGCGGGCCTCGTCGCTGTGGCCGACGTCCTCGAACGCCTCGGTGGCATCCTGGCCGGCGACGTCGAGGATGACCTCCTCACCACCACTAAACGGAACAGAGTGTTAGCAAATTCGGAAACATGTCACTTCCGTGCAGGCGCGCAGCCGTTTCCTCCCTAGGCGGAACAAGGAGGAAGAAGCCGCGCATCGCTGTGGCGGGTCGGGCAATTGCAGAGGCGGAAACGTACGGGTGCTCGTCGACAAACTTGGTGCAGTCGTAGACCTTGTCGTGGATCACGAGGAAGAGGTCCTTCTTGGTGTTGTGCTCGGCAACATCCTGGTAAGAGTACTGCGCAGACATGGTGGGCGAATCAACGTAAGCAAGAGAGTAATAGAAAGCGTCTAGTGTTCTGAATTGAAGAGAGAGAAGAGAAGAGAAGCGAAGCGAAGAAAGAGAGCGAGGGTTGATGAGCAAAAGGACAGGACTATGGATTGGCAAAGTCGGTCAAAAAAATTGATGGGTGGGAAGAGAGAGAGAGAGGAGAGAGAGAGAGAATGCGAGTACGACCAAATCGCTTTAATGGCCGGTTTGGCTCAAGTTGTCTTGTTCGGCTTGAACTTAGCGGATGGTCGTCCATTGTTTTAGCGGCCCCGTTCAGCAAGGGCCCCCCCAATGCCGCCGGGTCCGCAGGGGACAGGAGGCGCCAATCAGCCGCTGTAAAATTACCGCCCGGGCTGCTCTGATTCGCCCCGAGATGGCGCTGTTCTGGCAACCTCAGATGCTCCATGTCCAGGCCTTCCACCTCCATGGTTTCTCTCCCCAGTAATACAGTACAACCAAGTCTACCTGGTTCCTACATGTGTGATGGTCTACATGTCCTCAATCCTGTGCCGACTCCTTCTCAAGCCATTCCCTCGCCTCTGCCCTAATCCCAACTACGGCAATCCTGCAAGACCTCAGATGTCAGCAGTCAGCGGACCAGGAACAACAGACTCGACCAAATCGGGGGGCTTTTGCCATCCAGGGTGTGGTAGCATCCGCTGATATCCCACGGAAGTGGTTGGACGACAAGTGGTAATACTCCGCGCATTCCACGCAAGACTCTAAAGAAGTCTTGGATCGCTCTGGTATGGCAATTGCCGTTAATGCTCCTCAAACCTTCTGTGATTTGAGAAAATTGCTTGGTGTGGTCACTATTACAAGATACTATCGGGTGAGTGATCTGGATCGCCACGGGTCGCCTCGCCGGATCTCAAGTTTGAGTCAGGGTCTCTCTGCCTCTCCGCTTTGCTCCCGAAGAACATTGGACTTGGAAAAAAAAGCCCCCAGTGGACGACTAGAGCGTCACTCTAAAATCTACCGGCTGCATCCAATGCATTACGCCGTTGAGAATCGATATCCGAATCAAGCATCTTCACACACTTTGACACAGCACCGAAGTCTCGAGTTCGGAATCCGTCCTCTCTCAATTGCATCGGCATAATCAGTCTTGGCTCCAGCAAAGGGAAAAAAAAAAAAACAAGGAACCCCAGCAGGGTCTTTGTCTTAGCCCTATCTGGCTGGGACTTCCCCTCTCTCTCTCTCTCCCGCCCGCCGCCTTCTCCAACAGACCGGGACTTGGCCACGGGTGTTGGTACTCGAGTCTGTTTCGACCTCTTCTTTGTGGCTTTTATATACTTACATGGTTACTCTGATTACCGATTCCGAACGAGCCTCGGCAGTTGCTGCAGCTTTAATGCAATTGACATGCCGCTGTTGATCAGATCAAGGTATCGCCTAAGCTGAGAGAACACCCTGACCCTCTACTTGTCTCCTCGCTTCAACCCCGCGTCATCACTGCCCGGAAAATCCATGGACTTTGTGTCGTTCCTCCAAGGCTGGGATGCAAGATATCCGATCCTAGGATATTACTACTACTACTAGCCAGCCAGCCAGCCAGACGGAGCTGCACATCAAGTGTTCGGCTTCGCAAGTTTGGGCTGTATTATCGTGGCAGCATGAAGTAGCATGTGCACCGAGTCCATTATGGTGCTCGTATTCCTCGAGAATTCCATTCCCACAACATACTCTTCTTCTTCCATTACAACCATTCTGTGTTCAGCTAGTCCTGAGGCGCATCCTATGATGCAGTCAGATGGCGATTCCCAAAGCAGAATATTCCGCCGCACCAGGCTCGGGATATTGATTTCTCTCTGTGACTTGACTATCGTCGCCAAGGGTGGGGACAGTCATCCATCAGCTGTGCTTCATACTAAGCTCATTCAATTCGCAGGTCTATTAATCCATCAGAAGCTAGACAAGTGTTCGTTCGCCTTCAAAGCCACGATATCTTCCCAAATGGCCATGAAACAAAGAGAATAAAAATCACAAAGATCCGTTCGCTTAAAATCATCGCTTCGAGCTGCCGCCGCCAATGTCCTGTCCCAGACGGTAGCCCGTCACTCGTTCCCACTCAATCTTCTGCCTCGTCACCGGCAGCTGTCGCCGCAGGCCCTTGAAGGCGCCCTCGCTCAGGCTGACGAAGCTCTTGTTGAGGTCCTCCTGGTACTTCTTCTCCGTCGACGCAATCTCCTTGACGATCCCGGCGCCGGTGCCCGAGGGGATGGATGCGGACACGGCCTTGTTGGTGAGCAGTCGCACGTTGCCGTCTTCGTAGTAGTGCACGTCGACCATGATCTGGCCCTCGAGGTTTCCGGAGCTGGGGTCGAAGGTGTAGACTGATCTCCATCGGCCGTTCCTACAAGATCTCAGTATCTGCAGCCGTAGACTCGTGATCCATCAAGAGTGGGCGTACCAGAAGTTGTTGGGGCTGTACTTGTTTGCGACAATGACAATGGCAACCTTGGAGTCGGACTCGACGGGGTATGCGCCAAGAGCGGCGTTGGGGAAGTGCTCCTTGACGTAGGTTCCCAAGCTCTTGAGTGTTGATTTACTGCCGCCGCGTTAGCTGGTATGATCAATGTTGCCAGTGGCTCGACGATGATGGGCTGGCCACTCACACCAGGTCCGTTTGTGCTCCCTCCAGGACGTAGCTCTGCACCGCACTCGCTTTCTGCAGCCGCAGTTAGCCCCACCAAACCCCTTATTCATTGTAGCTGCTTGTTTCTCTCGACGTGCCTGTGAAAGGTGGTCCACCTCGAAGCTCGAGGAGCTCTCGACATCGTAGTACCTCCCGCCGCCCAGCGAGTTGTGTGGGCTGATCAAGACCTTTGTTTGGCGACATTAGCCAGGCTGCCTTCGCTGATACGCATTTCTCGTCCGTGTTGCCGTACCGGCTGGCTGCTGCCCGGCAGCTTGAGTGTGATGAATTGCTCCTCGTTGTACTTTTCAAAGGCCGGGGCCAGCTCGTCGACGACGTTGGGCTCGGAGGCCGTCAGGGCCTTGATGTCTGCAGAGTTGGCGCGTCAATGGATGCCTTGAGTGCTATCTTTGAATAAATCGTATCATCGGTCGATTCGGGGCTGGTAGCGTACCGGCAACGACATCTGCGAGCTATCGGAGGGTAGAGGTTAGCTTTTGCCAGACAGGCGATGACGCGCAAGGCAGCGAGAAGTTGCAGCTCACCTCGCCCGGGGGAGCTCCCTTGACGAAGGACGAGATGGTCTCAATGTGCGACATTGTGCGGGCTTGTCTTTGGACTTGGGAAGGAGAACGGAGAAGTTGGAAACTGGGACAGCTTCTTTTTCCGGGGGAGAGAAGCTTTGACGTATTCACCGCATATGGGTGACGGCGGACCTTAGGGGGGGCTGTGTGGATTAGGAGATGAGGCAGCTCTGGGCGGGGCATCGACGCAACACGAGGGGCAGGTTGGCTCTCCAGCGGATCGCTAGCGGGGTACGCGGTCGGAGCCGTGGGCTTCCTCATTGTCCAGCGTACCCTGTTATCAGCCGTGGTGACATTGCTGGACGTAAAAAGGCATTGAATCTCAAACCGATCAGATGCAAAAGCATCGCATCGTAATCAATCAAAAGGCTAGATGAAGTGACACAAGTTGTCGCCAAGGCAAAACTACTTATCTGGTGGTATATTCCGGTTTGAGAGGTTCAGAGCATCTTACACAACATCAAGCGTTGAAACACAGGATCCGTTATTGAATGTATTGTTATATCTTCGACAACGTTCTCTATTATTCACAGTTGGGCTAGAAAAAACTCTAGGCTGTCATTTATACACAAAAAACTACACGCTACTCGCTCCCTTAGTATTGAACCGTCTTCTTAATGTTGTCGTAGATTCCTGTAGACACAGAGTCAGTCAGCTTGATCACCGCAACAATGGAACGAGGTCAAACTCACTTGCAACATCCGGAACGTGAAACTTTTCAAATATCAGCGCATTGTGAATGCTCCATCCGGCAACACGGGCTACAGGAGCCTCGAGCCTGTTGAACGTGGCTGCGTTTTCCTGGATGGCGGCAGCAACCTCGGCACCGACGCCCGCATTCACCATGGATTCGTGGACGACCAGTACTCTCCCCGTCTTCTGCACGCTTTCAAACACTGTCTTCTTGTCCCACGGGTAGATGGTGCGCAGGTCAATCAGCTCGACGGAGATGCCCAGATCCTCCTCTGCTTGCTTGATGGCCGCCATGCAGTTGTACAGCGGCTGGCCGTACGAGATGATGGTCACGTCCTTGCCCTCTTTCAGAACCTCGGCCTTGGACAGGGGCAGCTCGTACGGCGCCACGGGGACCTCTTCCACCGCAGCTCGGTACAGGATCTTGGGCTCCATGAAGATGACGGGGTCGTTGCTGCGGATGGCCGCCAGCAGCAGTCCCTTGGCTTGCAACGGCGACCGGGGCATGACGACGCGCATTCCGGGAACGTGCGTGAACAAGGCTTCGGGGGATTGCGAGTGGTACAGGGCGCCGTGACCGACAGTTCCGCAGGGCATGCGAACCGTCATGCCCCCAGCACTCCGGTTGTTGGCGCCCTCGTAGTAGCGCTTCTTTGCGGCCTCGTTGACGATCTGATCAAAGGCGGGGAAGACGTAGTCGGCAAACTGGATCTCGGCAACCGGTCGCATGCCCTCGACAGCCATGCCAATGGCGAAGCCCAGGATGCCCTGCTCCGTCAGCGGCGTGTTGAAGACTCTGTCGGACCCGTGTGTCTCTGCGAGCTTCATGGTGCAGCGAAAGACGCCGCCAAAGGCCACGTCCTCGCCAAACACAGACACCGTCTCGTCCTCGGACAGGGCGATGTTGAGGGCGTCGTTGATGGCCTGGAAGAGGTTCATCTTCTTGGTGGCGCCCTGGCGGACGTCCGCGGGGATCTCGGGGTTCCGCTTGGCAAGGGCAGAGGTGTGAGCCAGTAGAGGCGTTGTCGAGTAGTCAATGGGCAGGTTCAGCCTCGCATTCGGGGGATGTGTGGAATAGCATCGTGCCAGGTTCTTCAACGACGACGCAGACGCAGACGCAGATGAAGATCGAGGAGCTTGGGGGTGCGCCAGCGCTCCCCTTAGGTGACGAACCGCCTGACGCTTCATGGCTGCTGGGTTCAAGTTGCTGGTTGTGGTGAGAGTGACAACTAGAGATGGAGGACCGGAGAAGAACAAAAGAGACACGGGCCAAGAGACATTGCGATTGTCGTGTCTCAAAGCAACTTCTCATCGGTCGTCGTCGGTTTAGACGGAGGGCGATTGCTCGGCTTGCTGCGGCCTGTCGCGGAGAAGCATGGGGTAAAAGCTGGTGGTGGTTTGTCTGGGGTAGTTTGGCGCGGCCTTAGGTAATCTGCCGAGCTGCAGCATCTGCATTCATGTTGTTTCTAAGCCGGGACGGAAGAACTCTACATGTACACAAGGTTAAGTGTTGCCATTGCAGGTATCCTGATGTCTTTAGAAGTAAGTGCCAGGATCTAGGTAGTCACCAATAACGATGATGCAGGGCGTTTGGGCATACGAAGGTAATGTAAGTTGTAGGTAGAGGCAGGATAAGGTACCTACGTGGATCGCGAACTAGGTACCTACCTACCCAATGTAGTATTACGAGTAACCTGGGCATCACTCCAAGACTTCAGCTACTCGTGAACGGAAAATCATCTCAGTACAAAGTATGGGAAATAGAACAGAGTGATTGCCCCGTTGAAGCCCCGGCTGATCCTTGACGTGATCGAATACCAATGATGATTGGGTACCTGAGGGCGCATAGGGGAGATTCCCGATTCGTCTGAGTTCTTCGTATCTGATGCTGTGCCAAGACTCCAGCGGCTCAAACCATCCGGACTATTGCAAGAACAGCGGCACCACCTGGGTAATGTACACCGCATATACTTAGAAGATAGGTATGCTCTAATACATGTTCTGATATTCGGGCCTGATTCAACAGCAATATTGTTCTACATCAGAATAGACCCAGCAGCAGAGGGTATTCTAGATGCAACATTGTCCATGATATGTCACAGCCTCCGTCGCTACTCCGGAACACGGCTTCCGTGCAGTGGTGCCGCCCGGCCGACTTTCCGAGTTGCCCTGCCAACGATCACACCTTGGCAAGAAAAGGAGCGAATCCAATGATTATGAGCACACAAAATCAGCGAGACTGTTTGGCTCAAACCAGGCACTTGCGATCTCAGTGTATGCACGTATTTCGTCTCAAGAGTGTCTATTTTTCTGTCACCACTTGCTTGGGACAATCCAACCCCCTGCAAAGCACATCCCAGTGACGTGTAAACCGATTAGACGGGTGGGTTTTTGACGCTTTGTACGTGCTACCTAGGTACCTTGAGGCGCAGTTCGAATCAAGTTTTGCTATTATTACCCTTTCATTTTCTGTCTAATGTTCCCTTGCTTTTATTCTGCAGCGTTAGCGTTGGAGGAATCGATGCGTCTTCCCAGTTGATGCGTCCTGCATTACACGCGAGAGCCACACAGCTCCGTCACGACATACACGATGAGCGACACCGATATCCCGCGTGCGCATCGCCACCGCAGCGCGCGAGGCGACTCCTCCAGACGAGACCGCGAGAGAACACGAGACAGGGAAAGAGACCGGGAGCGAACACGGGATAGGGACAGAGAAAGAGAAAGAGATGGAGATGGACAAAGAGACAGGTCGCGCAAGCACGAGTCCCGCACGCGGAGAGGCGTCAGCAGCGCCGACGAAGGACGGGCCGACAGACGCAGCAGGTCGCAGTCGCAGTCGCAGTCGCTGTCCGCAGGGGCGCTGGCGCAGCTGAACAAGGACTATGTCAAGCAGCAGAGGCAGGCCGAGCGCGAGCGGAGGAGACGAGAGCGGGAACGCGCGGGCGGACACGAGGAGAGGGAAAGGGAGCGGGCAGAGAGGCAGCAGAGGCGCGAAAGGGAGCGAGAGCGAGAGCGCCAACGGGAGCGCGAGCGCCAACGGCACCCGGGGCCGGAGAGGATACGAGTGCGCGAGAGATCGCCGAGCCCGGACCCGGAGGCGGAGCCGAGCATCGTGCCCAAAAAGTACCGCAAGCCCAGCAAGCAGAAGAAGTCGAGGGTCGTCAGCGGCGCGGCGATGGAGGAGGGCAGGACGAGGGGATGGGGGTTCCGGTTTGGCCATGCTCGCGATGATAGCTACGACAGCCTGAGAAAGGAGGACTTGTACAGCCAGCCGGAGAAGAAGAAGAAGACCAAGATGTCGAAGAGAAAGAAGTGTAGGTGGTACTCTGATGACGAGTCCCCAATGTCGCAAAACTAACTCGGGTGGGCAGGGATCATTGGAGGCATCTGCGCTCTTGTTCTCCTCATCATCATCATTGTGGCCGCCGTGGTGGGCTCAAAGAAGAAGTCTGGCGGCAGCAGCGACAGTCCATCGTCTTCCGCGAGCAACAGCGACGTCCCGACGAAATGGATCAGCACATATCTGGACCCTTCGACCTGGGCGAGCACGGAGGACTTCAACACCACCTTTACCGACGAGATGGTGGGCGGCCTGCCCATCATGGGCCTCTACTCGGACTGGGACGACTCTGCCCAGGCAAACGACAACGTTCCTCCGCTGAACCAAGCGTGGGGAGACTATACGAAGAAGCCTGCCAGAGGCGTCAACTTGGGAGGGTGGCTCTCCATCGAGCCCTTTATCACGCCATCTCTCTTCAACTACCCCCTGAGTGCCGGAATCGTGGACGAGTGGACTCTATGCGCGCATCTCGGGGCCAAGGCCGCGGAGACGATCGAGAACCACTACAACACGTTTGTAGATGAGAGCACGTTCAAGGACATTGCCGACGCTGGACTGGACCACGTCCGGATCCCCTTCTCCTACTGGGCTGTCAAGGTGTATGATGGCGACCAGTACATCTACCGGACCTCGTGGCGATACCTCCTCCGCGGCATCGAATGGGCCAGGAAATACGGGCTCCGAGTCAACCTGGACCTGCACGGCTTGCCGGGGAGCCAAAACGGCTGGAACCACAGCGGTAGACAGGGCCAAATCAACTGGCTCAACGGCACCAACGGAGACCTCAACGCGCAGCGGTCTCTGGACATCCACAACAGCCTCTCGCAGTTCTTCTCGCAGAAGCGATACCAGAACATCATCACGCACTACGGGCTGGCCAACGAGCCCAAGATGACGTATCTCGACCACGACAAGGTGATCAACTGGACGGAGACGGCGTTCAAGCTGGTGCGCAAGAACGGCTACAAGGGGCTGGTCATCTTTGGCGACGGCTTCATGGGCCTGAACAACTGGCAGGGCCTGATGCAGGGCTACGACGGGCTGGTGCTGGACGTGCACCAGTACGTCATCTTCAACGTCAACCAGATCGACTTTACGCACCAGAAAAAGGTGCAGTACGCGTGCGCCGGGTGGACAGAGCAGGCGGAGCAGAGCCAGGACACCAAGACGGGCTACGGGCCGACGCAGTTCGCCGAGTGGTCGCAGGCGGACACGGACTGCGCGCAGTACGTGACCAACGTCGGCCAGGGCAGCCGGTGGGAGGGCACGCTGACGGGCAACGCGAGCACGGCGGTGCTGTCGCCGGGCTGCCCGACCAAGAACAGCCAGTGCTCGTGCGCCCAGGCCAACGCGGACCCCAGCAAGTGGAGCGCCGAGTACAAGAAGTTCCTGTCCATGTTTGCCGAGGCGCAGATGTACAGCTTCGAGAAGGGGCTCGGGTGGTGGTACTGGACGTGGAAGACGGAGAGCTCGCCGCAGTGGAGCTACCAGGCCGGGATGCAGGCGGGCGTCTTGCCGAAGAAGGCGTACGACCGGGACTTTAATTGTGATGTGGAGGTGCCGGACTTTTCCAAGGAGGGATTGCCAGAGTATTACTGAGGAGGAGGAGGAGAGGGTGCGTGTGTGTTTGAACAATACCCTGTTGCTTTTGGTGTTTATAGAGTGCCTGTTTGGTGTATATATATATGTACGGAGTGCTCGATGGTGGCGTTGAGGTCTTTCTTGTGTCGTTTCTCAAAAACAGTTCTATATCGGTGTAGACAAGAGGTGTATATCTGATGAAGAGGAGGATGGAGATGAAAGCATATGACGCAGATAAAGAGCCCCTGACATGTACCTATAATGTGACGATTGTGCCCGTCTTGGCAGCGCTCTGTTATACAACCTCTAATCATGAGAGTACATATGAGGCTCCAGCTACGACGTTCGACAACTGTATTTAGTAATACAGAGTGAGAGCATCAAAGAAGCCTAAAGGCGTATAAACTTAAGAATAAAGAGCGGGATAATACGATACAAAGCTCTGAGAACGCGAAGGGCGAGAGAGCGAGGGCCTTCCGCAGCACCCGCAATAGCCGCCCGCTCCCGGTTGTTGGCGCCCGCCTGGCATGCATCGAGACTTGCTTTGTAATGAAAGGTTTTGTCATCACGGGCCTCGCGAGAGAATGTGACGCAGACTTTTCTGTCGGGTTTCTTTTTGGTTGCCTTGAGAGGGTTTCTGGTCTAGTTTGTGCTTCTGTTTGGTGTGCCAACAAGGCTGACGTACCGGTGTTTGAAGGAGTACAGTATGTACATAGTAGTAGTTGATGTCGCATCGGCCCCTGGTTGTCTTTGAAGCACGTGGCAACAATGGAATAGTAACGTCTTTAGTTGGTTGAGCAGCTGAAGAAGAGAAGTCTGGAATGCAAATGATACATGATGATGGATGGGCTACAATCAACTACGTTGGCCAATGGCTGATTTGATATCCGCCTCGGTAATCTATGGGGAGACCATCGGGCAGCCCGTAGGTACTCAATGACTCCAGAACCATAACATGTCATATCGGGAGGGACCCTAGGGTGATGGGCAGGATGGCATCATCGTGAACTGGGGATGAACGAATAACAAGAGGCTTACATAGTAGCAACCCGACAGAACCAGGAAGATGTCATTTTCCCATTGGGGCATTTATTCCCGCCGAGCGCGGCAGGGAAACTAACATGGATATAGAAAGCGGCCGGGCCTATTGGTGACCTGATTAGGGCGCATCAGATGTCGGCAGTTGCTGTAGCGGGCCGGCCAACTCGTTGAATCATCGAACTTTTCTTCTTCTTTGCCTTGCCTTTGCTCTTCTTCTTAATCGACGTCGTTTTCGGTCTGGTCTGGTCTGGTCTTGCCATCTCGCTCTTCGCCTTTACGTGCTCTCTCCGGGCTGCCAGGGGATCCACCGACGATGCGGAACCTGGACAGGCTGGGCTGATGCTCGAACTAGGTAGGCAAGAGAACTCTCTGCTCGGAGGAGAACTGAATCATCACTATTAGCGGGTGATTGGTAACCATTGGGGATTCATCCTTCGACTTCGTGTGTGCTGTCGTTGATCAGGGTCCTTCTTTGATCCTGCTTCCTCCAAACATCTTATTACCTATCTCCGAAGTGGGTTTTCGGCACGGGAAGCCTCTTTCAACTTCAACTGGATCTAACGGAGACGAAGTTCGGGCACAGATTGCCGGCGAGGGTTTTCCTTCTTCTTCATTGATAATCTGGCTACTGGATGCTATACCGTCACGTCACCTCATTGATATTGTCTCTGGCCATCCGCCGCGTATCGGCCATATAGGCTCAGCCCCCCCCCTGGAGCTATCACTTGAACCTTGCTCACTACGCTAAAAGCATTCACATACCCTCTCATCACGATCTCTGTTACTTTACCTACATCACTTACTCAATCATCCTCTCCCCCCTATCCCGAGGCATTGAAGCACAGACTCACATTGACACACTTTCCAATGACGACAACAGACACGGAGACGGCATCGACGCTGGCGCCCGACATGGCGGACCGCGAAAAGGACCTCCACAACCCCGGCGACGGCGAGGAGGACCTGCGGCGGCTGGGAATGACGCCGCTGTCGACGCGGAGCTCGACGAGGGAGGACCTGGGCCGCACGCGGTCGCAGAACGGCTACGGCGTCGAGGACGAGCGGGACGGCGATGATGCCGCGGCAGAGGCCGGGGCGCAGCCGGAGAAGGATCCGTTCGAGGTCGGGTGGGATGGCGGCGACAACGATCCGCTGTGTCCCCGGAGCTTCAGCAAGGCGCGCAAGTGGATGATTGTGCTGATATGCGCGGTTGGCAGCTTTACAGTGTAAGTGGTTTTTTTTTTTTTTTTTTTTTTTTTTTTTTTTTTACTTTGGGATCTTTGCGTTTGGTGTTGATATGATGTTGAGTCTTGTATGGCGTTTGCTTGTTTGAGACAATGAAGGAGACGGGAACAAGAGACAAGACGGTTGCAATCAGCAAGACATTGATTGTCTTGGTGAAACCAGACTCGAGCTTGCTCATTGTCTCTCAACAACGTCGCCGTGGTCTCACTCACACTCACTCACTCACTCACGATATCAAGCGTCTATCAAGGCAGTTGGCTAACATGAGTCGTCCCCCCCCCTTGACGGAACTCCAGAACATGCGCCAGCTCCATCTACACGTCGACTTACACGCAGATGGAGGCCGAGTTCCACAACGCGCGCGAAATCTCCGACCTGGGCCTGTCGACGTTCGTCCTGGGCATCGCCTTCGGCCCCATGCTGCTGAGCCCCCTGAGCGAGTTCTACGGCCGGCGGCCCGTCTACCTGGTGTCGTGGACCATGTATGTCATCTGGCTGGTGCCCTCGGCCGTGGCGCGCAACGTGGCCACCATGATAGTCGCCCGCTTCTTCGACGGGCTGGCGGGCAGCGCCTTTCTGACCGTGTCGGGCGGCACGACGGGCGACCTGTTCGCCAAGCACGAGCTGCAGCTGCCCATGGCCGTCTTCAGCATCGCGCCCTTTATCGGGCCCAGCATCGGGCCCTTTCTGGGCGGCTTCATCAACTACTTTACGCACTGGCGGTGGACGTACTACGTGCTGCTCATCTGGGCCGGCGTCATGTGGGTGGCCATTGTCCTCCTCGTGCCCGAGACGTACCGTAAGTTTGTGACTCTTTTCAAGTTGTTTGCCTTCTACTAGTACCTAGTACCTACCTACTACCCCCTTTTTCACCCTCATCTTGACAAAACAACAGACCCCATCCTGCTCAGGAACAAGGCCCGCAAGCTGCGCAAGGACACGGGCGACGACCGCTGGATGGCCCCCTCGGAGAAGTCGACCAAGACCGTGTCCCGGGCCATCCTCGTCTCCCTGCAGCGGCCCTTCCAGCTGCTCATCTTCGAGCCCATGTGCCTGCTGCTGTGCCTCTTCTGCGCCATCCTGCTCGGCATCCTCTACCTCTTCTTCGGCGCCTTCCCCCTCGTCTTCTCGACCAACCACGGCTTCAAGCTGTGGCAGATTGGCCTGACCTTCCTGGGCATCGGCGTCGGCATGGTCGTCGCCATGCTGACGGACCCCGTCTGGCACCGCATCCGCCTCCGCCTCATGGCCAGGCTGGAGCGCGAGACGGGCGTCCCGGGCGCCAGCGAGCCCGAGTTCCGGCTGCCGTCGGCCATCGCCGGGTCTGTCCTCGTGCCCGCGGGCCTCTTTATGTTTGCGTGGACGACGTACTCGTCGGTGCCCTGGATCGTGCCCATCGTTGGATCGGGCTTGTTTGGAATGGGGTGAGTCTGTTTCTTCATGCTGCTCTTCCAAGCCACGGTGACGCAGCGTTATGAATAGTGGGAATTTTTACGCTTCTTTCAACGCTCCCCCCCCTGATTCGTCCTGCGCACTCTTTATCCTGCTCTCTCTCTCCTTCGTTGCCCCCTTGCTTCTAGTATTCCCCTCTTCTTTCCCACCCCTTTCAACCCTGTTGATCCTATATTCTCCCAGTGGCCTGCATAATGCTCCTTTTGACATAGCAAGCCTCCTCATTGGATCTTGAATCAGTGGCTGACCGTGTGGTGGACCATTCTTGGCAGCAACCTGCTCGTATTCTCCGGCATCTTTACGTTTCTGGTACGTCCCCTCTTCTCGCAGTGACTCGCCCTTATGCGCTGAGAATCGATTCTCAGCCTTCAAGCTGGACACACCAGGACTGACTGACTGACTGATGGGGGGCTCGCTTTTGCAGGTCGACGCCTATCCCATGTACGCGGCCAGCGCCCTTGCCGCCAATGCCTTTGTGCGCTGTTCGTTCGCAGCCGTGTTTCCGCTGTTTGGCACACAAATGTACAACACGCTCGGCTTCCAGTGGGCGTCGTCGCTGTTGGCGTTTCTGACCTTGGCCATGGTGCCGTTTCCCTACCTCTTCTTCAAGTATGGTAAGAAGATTAGGACAAGGAGCCGATATGCCAAGTCGTAAGATGCGTTGTGGCTGGTTCTAGAGGTACACACGTCTCCTCTTGAGCTGAGAGGGGTTTTTGGTGGAGGGGAGAAGGGGGAGACGTAACAGGACAGCAGGGGGGGGGGGGGGGGGGGGGGGTGCACAAGATGGGCACTGATCGCATGGGGAGGGTAATACTAATGAGAACATGGGACTCTTTCGGGATATTAATCTGTTTTTTTTCTTACCTGTTGCCTTTTGGCGCAAAATATGAGACAAGAGAGCAAAAGGAAGAGAGCGAAGAAAAGAGAGACAAGAGAAAAGAAGGATTGCACTGCCCGAAGGTATCTTCGCTGTCGGATAGGGCACCAGGTCTTGGCTCGATGCCGAGGCTACAAGCATGAGATGAGCGCAATGACGACGAATAAGGTATGACTATATAGACAATGGAGGCTAATTTACAGGAGAGAAAGGAAGAGAATAAACAAGCATAATGGGTCGGTATATCACACCGAGGGGGATCAGCCGTCGAGTAAGAAGAGTCCATTGTTGTGAGAACAGGGATGTGAGTTGCGGGCGTCTGCATGAGCGTCTCTTTGCATGTGTGGCTTTGAGAGAAGAGAGTGTGAGCACGCGTTGGTTGTGGAGGCAAGGGGGTTTATTTAGCATGGCGAGGGAGAGATAGATAGAGAGAGAGAAGAGGATGAGACTTGCCAAGACAGACGCAGCACACACACACACACACAGAGAGAAGAGAGAGAGTCGAGAGTGTGGCTTCGGGGGGTGTGTGTTTGTGGTGCAGGCTGAAGTCTCGTGTGGCTTGCGGAGAAAAGGGAAGCCAAGGCTGGGATGGCTTGGAGAGGCAACCGGGCATTTCTGTTAATAAGTTGGAGATTGGAAAGGATAGGATATGCAAGTATTACGACAGGGAGGCAAAAACAGCTTGAGTCCCGGGGGGGCAACGAGAAGAACATCCTTGGAAATGGGAGGCCAAATACGCATGTACACTTCAACACTACATGCTGCTGTGGTTGAGAAATGACATTGTGAGTGCTTGCTGATTTGCCCAGAATTGTTGAACATGAGAAGAGCCTCCCCCTCCCCCTGGTCTCTGCCCTCCCTGATTTCAATGACAGCCGCATGGACACGGCAGGATGCGAGCTGAGATGGAGCAAACCAATGGCCGTAGGCTCGCGTGATGCGCAAGGGCATGAATGTAAGACAAGGAGGATAAAGAAGACGAGACAAGCTTCGGGTAAAAGGCTTTTGCTGTTTGCATGTTGTCTGGCATGCACTCACCTCTTTCTTGGCCGAGGGGAGTGGATTGCAGGGGCTCTGGAATACGTATGCGGCGATTGTTACCTGTGTGCGATACTACCTCCATGTAGCTACCTACATCCTTACTTACATGTATGTATGACCTTATGTATGTAAGTGTGCCGGGGGGGGGGGGAAGCTTGGCTGGCTTGTGTTGTTCTACGGGAGCACAAGAATGAAATGCGCGATTCAGTTCATGGAAATGCCGTGGTATGTGAGACGGTGGGAACGGGGGTTATCCTGGGGTTTTATGGAATCTGTTGATGAGGGTACTATGTATGATGGCTGGTGGTGTTGTGATTTTTGAGACAAAGTGGATTGGATGGCTTGCATATGCGTACAGGTAGGAGGAGAATACATGGCAAGGAGACGAATGAGGAGAGCAGAAATGATACGAGAGATACAGGGATGGACCTGCGTGTTTGAATAGACAATGAGGAGGTGTTTGCCGTTACCATTGGGCAAGTCTACTGCTACATGCTGATGATAGTCGGTAGAGGAGTAGGTAGCTGTGCAGTCTGTGTTGGAAAGGTGTCGTTTAGGAGGATATACTACCTATTATACATACATACATGCATGAAGAGCATCCTGTCACGAGATACAGCTGTACAGAAGCACGCTCGGAGTGCGTCGGCCGTCGGAACTCGGTTATCGCTGATGGAACTGGGGTAAAAGGGGGAGGTTCCGGGACATTACGTGTGAGCCGTGGAAGCTGGAGAGGCTGTGAATTGACGTTTGGTCTCTTTTTGCCGTCCCTATTTCTGTCATTGTTTTCAGATTCTCTCTCAAGTTCTACCACCTACTTTATCTGCTATCACGTGGCAATGGCAGGAGATGTGATTGAGTGTATTGTAAGTGACATGAAGCCAACAGCTCATGTCTACTGTAAGGCTCATAACAATGGAACTGTCAAGTCAAATAAAAATTTCCATCTGATTAAACAGAGTGCCAACTAATGAAAAAAATTCTCCCGTTCCCCCGGCGTCCCCTTTCGCCCATACTATTGACACATGCAGCGACGAAGCTGCAAAAAGCAAAAAGCACACGCAGAGAATGACACAGACCCCCCCCCCCATGCTCGCGATGCTGGATTGGTGCCCTTCCTCTTAGCCGCACCCACCCGCAAACCCCAGAATGGCGGCGCGGTTGGCACTAGACGGACTAAGGGGGGGGGGGGGGGGGAAACGGTACCTGTAGCAAGCTTGGATTTCTTGTCTTGATCGTGATGAAGCTGATGTTGTGTTATGGCGAAAGGCGTTACATGTGGTGTACAAGCCTGTTGTGTCGTGGTGGTGAGCTGGGATGTTGCCTGTGAGTGAGCTCGAGACTGGAGCTTGTCGTTCTCCGGCACAGGTAGTACCAAATCGAAGCATGGATATATAAGGTATACTACACACGTAATACTAGGTAGCCTTTCCTAGAGCCTCCTCACAAAGATGAACATCGAAGGATCATAGAGGGCAGAACTCAACCCGGTCCGGCCCCCCTCTGGCCTCCGCTTGGCGAATTAACCTGCAGCCTCTTGGTCTACTACTAGGTACATGTACAGGCGGCATCTCGTACATTACCAATACTACTACAAACTTTGGCTGTACCAGCATGTACATGGCGGACAGCCACGCACGCGACACCCGTTGAGATTGTCTCTGGCTGCCAACGGCCTGCATGTGCTCTTCATTCAGTTCTCATTGTGATCTGACGGATGCTATTGTTGGCCGCTCACCCTCGTTCGTTGCAATTGAACAGTACCTACCTAGGTAGGAACATGTCGAGTCTCAGCCAGCAGCCGGTGCATGTACCCGGTTCGCCCGCGCCCACTGGCACATGCGCCCTCTGGCAGGTACATGTACGAGTACCGGCGACTCGCACCGCAACCTTGAACTCACCCGCTAACCGTCGGCCGCGGCCAGTCAGCGGCCAGCTGATTGCCAAACCAGCCACCACCGGCCCAGTTCGGGCCAAGGCTGGCGCAAAAACCCCGCAGTCGCTGGGGGGGGGGGGGGGGGGGGCCTGTATCCGTCGGCCTACGGGGGATCCCCCAGCGGCCCAGCCCACTAGAGACGTGCTGAGATGCTAGCGGGCTCCAGCGGGCTCCAGCGGGCTCCAGCGCGTCTGCCAGGTGCTGCGCTGCCGCCCTGGCGCCCACCGGTGCCCACTGCCGCCGCCGCTGCTGCTGCTGCAACTGCCAGCCAGAGACCAAGCCTCTCGCTGCCCTCCATTTTTTTTCTCTGACCGAGCTCTCAACTCCACGACTAAGCACGTCGTCGTCTGCAGAATCCTCGACCACCCACCCCTTGCGCCTCGTCTTCTCTCGTCACCTCATCCCAGGCCCTTTGCTCGTCCACCAGACGGTTGCTTTGCCGTGACCTGCGGCCGGATCGCACTGCCGCCAGCGGAAAGGGGCGCAGGCAAAAAAGCACTGGACAAAAAAAAAAAAAAAGGGCTCCAGCTGCCAGCGCCAGCGCCGAGGTCGCCGTCATCGCTCTGCTCCGGGGCCGGCGTCATCCCAGCCGTCCAGCCCGCCCAGAGAGCCGCTTCCTGCTCGCATGCCTCGTTGCTGCGCGCCCTCATCACAGCTTCCACTCCTCGGGCCTGACATCCCGAGCGCCGTGTCGCCTCCCGCCTGGTCCTGGGCAGCGCATCGCTCAACCCCCAATGGTGGGCGCGGCCAAGCATATGGGTAACGGATAGCTGCTTCAAGAATCTGCACCTCGCTCTGCCGTGCTTGCTCTACTCTCTGCTTCTTGCTTCTCTTTTGGGGCCCCCCCCTTTCCTGCTTCCCATCGACCAACCCTCCCCCAGTCTCTGCGCAGACGCGGCGTTACATCTTGTCTCTCGAAACCTGGGCCCGATCGATCACACCCCCCCGTTATCCGAGAAGGGACAGAGATCCTGCCCGGCTGCGCTTCCGCTGGAATTCACTGGCCTCCATGCCACCGGCGCCGTCGCTCTATTGAAATTCTTGCCGCCTTGTCACACGACCGACCGCCCTCCTGCGTGCGCCTGCGCTCCTCACGAATCGCGAGCGCCCATTGGCCTCGAGGACCGCGTCGAACCGCTCTTGAGAGATACGAAGCTGGTCGACCCCGACGTTTCTGGACCTTGGCCCTGCCAGCCGCTCCTCGGCTTCCCGCCCGAGCAGCACCCCCCCGGGGGAGCCCGCACGGATCTTCCCTTCCGCGACCGGTCAGCGCAACACTGTCTCATACATACGACGTGCCGCGCATAACACCTACTACATACACACGCAGCCGCCGTCTAGGCTCTGCCCTGCGCTGCCCTGCCGCTGCCGCTGCCGCTGCGCCTGTTCAGCTTCAGCCCAGCCCAGCCCGGCTCGACTCAGCTCCCTGTCATTCGTCCACCTGCGTCTTGCCAGTTGCATATCATCCCTGGCACGCGTCAAGCCACTGTGGATCACTCTTTTGTGTTAATCGCACATCCCCATATCAGAAAAAAAAAAAAAAAGAGTCACAGCCGTGTAACGGTCCGGCCCTTGCTCGCTCGTGCCACGAAAGCCGTGCCTTGGTGTGGTTGATCAGCGCAAAAAAGTTGGATGGATTGGGGCAGACAAGACTTCTGGGGAACGGAGCCCACATCGCCGCCCTGATTCGCGAAAGGAGCAACACGCTGCAGGAGCACCATCTCGAGGTACCTTGGTCTGCTGTGTATGCTGCCAAGGAGGGGGCTTGTCATTGTATAAAGACCCGGCAAGATGCCCCAAGACATGGAGGACAACGGGGCAGACGTCTCAGACCCCGTGTCCGAGAACGAAGAAGACTCGGAGACGCTAGCAAGAGCCGAAGACGACACAATGGCCGAGCCAATGGCTGCCAACGGCGCCTACGACGAAAAGAAAAAGTATGACCCGAAAGATCCTCTGAGACCTAGGCGGAAAAAGGCGAGGAGGGCATGCTTTGCTTGCCAGAGGGCACACTTGACCTGCGGTGCGTCTTTCTCTTCAACGTTGTGAGCTTGCCCAGACTAACTTTTTGGCTGATATAGGAGACGAGAGACCGTGTAAGAGGTGTATCAAGCGTGGTCTTGCTGATGCCTGTCAAGATGGCGTGCGCAAAAAGGCCAAATACCTCCACGATGCTCCCCCAGAAGCTCTTCGACCTGTTCTCGGCCCCAACTTCAGCCCTCCCCCTTCCGCAAAGGCCAACGGGCAACGGCATGATTCTATCCACTCTGACAACGTTTTGACGACGGCATCGGGCGATAGCTTCCTGTCTCAGGGCAACCCTTCGTTCCCAATCTACCCAAACGTCAGCCAGCCACCAGTTGCCATCCCCGAGACCCTTCATCTCAACCCCCAGGCCTCGCCCATTTCGCCATCCTTCCATGGAGCCTCTGCCCCGGGCCAGCCCCATATGGGCGGCATGCTATCGGGAAACACGATGGACTTTAACGCCTTGTTCGACCCCAGCAACCCTGCGCTCTACAACTTTGACCTCGAGGGCCTCAACTTTGGCAGCCAGTATGCTGGCTGGGAGTTTGGCATTCTCAACAAGATGGGCCTCGGCGCCGAGACGCCGCCGCGAGAAAACTCCATTTCGCAAACGCCAAAGACCGAGGCGAGTTATGCGGCCTTGTTCGGGAGCAGCAACGGATCGTATGACGCCAACATGATGGGTGACTATGCTGGCGTTGACCTCGGTTCCAACATGTACACTCAGGGGAACCTTCAGCACGGCCTCCCTCATGCATTTGCCATTGCTGCCGGCCCAAACAGCCTGGCCAGCCCCAGTACGGACGCGACTGCCAGCCCGCAGGCCATCATGGATGGCTCTCCAAACCCGGGCACGGGATTCGGCGGCTTACAGAACATGCCCGGGGGCCAACGCCTCAAGCCGAAGCAAGACAAGATGCTGCAGTCGATTCTCGGCAAGAGACAGCGGGATTCTGCATCCATCTACGCAAGCGTCAAGGAGCCGTATCCCTATGTCGCTGGCTTCCACAACATGATATCTGTCCTCCGCAACCGGCTGCCGCTGTCCAAGCTGTGGAAGATTGCCCAGTCGCTGGGCGAAATTCGGCCCTCGTTCATCTCCTGCACCAAAGACTTGACGCGCGAAGACCTCATCTTCATGGAGAAGTGCTTTCAGCGGACGCTTGTCGAGTTTGACGACTTCTTGCAGCACTGCTGCGCGCCGACGATTGTATGCCGGCGGTCCGGAGAGGTGGCGGCCGTGAACAAGGAGTTTGCGGCGTTGACGGGGTGGCCCAAGGAGGTGCTCTTGGGCAAGGCTCCTAATCGCAACATCCATCTCCGATCGTCGGACGAGGGCACTGATGATGGCGAGAGCATATCCTCGTCTGGTCATATAACGCCAGCTGCCAAGCAACAGTCAATGCATGGCAGCAGCAGCAGCAGCAACAACAACAACAACAACAACAACGTCAACAACAACGTCAACAACAACGCCAGCCATAACGGCGCACGACCGCAGCCCGTCTTCTTGGGCGAGTTGCTGGATGACGACAGCCTGGTGGAGTTTTACCGCGACTTTGCGCAACTTGCCTTTGAAGACAGCCGAGGCAAGGTGCAGCGCAGCGGCCGGCTGATCAAGTACCGGACGCAAGAGATGCTGGAGGCTAAGGAGATGCTGGGGCCTCAGAGACATCCTCGAACGGGCATCCTGAGCAGCCGCGTCACCATGATTGACAGCGAACATGGCATCTCGCGCATCGAAAAGGATGGCAAGGTCGACTGCACGTATTGCTGGACGATTAAGCGGGATGTGTTTGACATTCCCATGATGATTATCATTAACGTGAGCTTCTCCCATTGCTGGATAAAGATGACCGTCATGCTAACTAGTTGTGCAGTTTTTGCCACGCTATCATCCTAACCAGGAGCCTCACCAGCTCGCTGTATGATCTTCGAGGCCACCCTGATGGGTGCTCACTCTATACGTTGTCTGTGTTGCATATAAGGTGCTTGGCCCTTTTCATGCTTTCATTTGTTTGGGTACCTTGGTTGATCAACGTTTCGCTGGGAACTGGACGAGATTATGCCCGATATGTTCCATCACTCAAAAAAAGCTGGAGTCTAAATTAGGACTGCTGTCTTGTGTTTTTTTTTTTCTGCCTCAAAGTTATGGAGGACACAGGGCATCTCTTGGGCTGGATATGTATATGGGGGGTGTTACTGGGGTGTGTTTGCAATGGGCTACGACGTGAAGTCTGTAATGAATGACGAGAGGGGATTACCTGGATGATACCCGCGTGCGACTACGCACACTCAAATGCATGTTGACCAAAGATATACGCTGCCTTGCTGGCTTGCTTGTGTGCGCTTTGACCCCTGCTCTGGGATCAGGGTAGATTTGCTATTGTGATGGTGGCTGTCGGTGGATTGATCGATATAAATTTGGCCTTGTGTGCTACTCATCATTCGTTTAGGAATATGTGTAGTTTTTTGCACTCTCTCTAGCCCTCTTCGAGAATCCATTGTCTATCGTGAAGCCCGCGCGTTTCCCGTCTCCCCCATCCAAACAATAGACCCGTCTCCCCCTTGCCCTCTACACACACACACACACACACACACATACACAGAAGCAACGTCAAAACCAAGCAAGCAGTAGAAAACGAAAAACCCAAAGGGATATCGCAAAACCCATCCACCCTTCATACTCACAAAGTCTTTCCCACCACCCACCACCATCTATAAAGGCTTCACAAACCACTCAGCATCCTCCTTGCGCCCCTTATCCCACCTCCACGCCTCCCTCTCGAGGCTCTTCCTAGCGACCTCGCAATCAAAGTTGATATCCTGAATCAGCGCCTCCAAGCTATCGTAGTCCTTTTCCTCGCGGATGAAGCCCAGGATGAGCAGCCTCATGTGGGCGTCGTAGAAATCCCTGGCGAAGGAGTGCAGGATGTGGACCTCTGCGCTGCGGACGGTGTTTTTGTAAAACGGGTTGTAGCCGATGGACATGACCATGGGGAAGACGGCAAGGGAGGATGATGAAGATGAGCCGGAAGGATGGTCCGGGTGGTCGGCGGGCAGGGCGAGGGAGGCCCAGCCGAAGTAGATGCCCGAGGGGACGTTGGCGATCCAGGGGGCGTTGTCGACGGGGAGGTTGGCGGTTGGGATGCCGAGCTGTGAAGGGGGGTGTTGGTATTGTGTAAGAGATTTGTATGTGTGTGCGTGATGATGATGATGACGATGATGATGATGTGTGTGTTGAGATATGAGGGAGTGTGTTGAGGTTGATGAGGGGGATGTGATATGATGTGAGGGTTTATGTCTTGATTAGGGAATTATTTTACCTCTTTGGAGCCGCGGCCGAAGCCGGAAATGACCTTGCCTTCCATCTTGTACGGGTACGGCGGCTCGGGGCCGGTTTCCATGCCTACGATTTCGGGGCGGGTGGACATTGTGACGTTGTGTGTGTGGTCTGTTGGTGTTGAAGTTGAAATTGAGGTTGAGGTGGATGAGTCAAATTGGTGGCGTTGTGTGATGAGAGAAGCGGCGAGGTTTATGTGAGATTTGTTTGCGTCGGGTTGTTTGGCCGTCTATGAGAAACCTAAATTTCGGTCAAAAACAAGGAAATTGTACACAGCGCTTCTATTAAGGAGGTCCGACAAGAAGAGGAATTGAACAGAAAAAGAGAGAGAGAGAGAGAGAAGATGGTTGGTGAAGTTGAGTACCGGTATGTGACTTGAGTTGGGTTTATGCGGCTCTAATTAATGTCAAGGTAGCCTGGAGGGGTTGATTCGCCTTATCAGCCGCGCGGGATTGCTTCTTTGAAGAGAACCAAGGCTAGATCCAAGAACAGATTAGGCGGAGGGGGGGTAATACACGGCAGAAGCTAGAAGAAGAGGTGAATTTTTTGCGCAATTGATTCTTCTGTCGCCTTCTTTTTGGCTCGGGCTTCGGTGGCGGGGCAAGTCCGGAGGGCGGGTCAGCATTTGATGAAGGCGGGATTCAATGGCCGAGGGCTGATGGATGTGTTGAGATGCAGTGAATTTTTCATTTGAGTTTAGATCTACCTAGGTATATCTAGAGATGCATGAGATGAGATTGACATTTGGGGGACAGGTTGGTAAAGATGGAGGAGATCGAGGCATTAATAATGACCCCCAGAAAGGAAATGCCAAACTGAGGTATAAGCCAGGTTTGCTTACCAATGGCCTGGCATCTCCAAGCATCCACTCCCTCCAGCCGTGCAAATGATTGAAGCTATCTCACAATTGCATCATCACCCATGTATTTTCTAGCCATGGGTTATAGGTATTACTTCTCATGACAGACGCGTGTCTATCTCAATGCCCAACTTCAACAATCTGAGCCCCAGAATCTTTTGTATAAAACCATTGAACTAACAAGAGTGTGTGTGTCAGAAGAAAAGAGAGAGTGCGCAATGGGTATTGGTTTGAATAATGCATCATGACCGCCACAGCAACACAGCCATTGCATCAAGCTGAACATGTGATAAACTGAAAGAAGTAATTGAGCAGTATTAAAGAGAAGAAAAAAAGAAAAAAAAAAGAAAAATCACTTCGTCTCCTCCTTGTGCTCCCACTCCGTCCTACCAAGCCGAATAATGTCCTTGGGACTCAGCACCCAAAACCTGCTCGGGGCCTTGCCCTCGTCCGCCAGCTGCGAAGCCTTGATGGCCGCCCGGGCAATCACCTCTGCGTCCTGCGCAACACTGTCCTTGAGGCCGAGGAAGCCCAAGCCGCGCACGGCGGCCATGGCGAGGCCCTCGAGGAAGCGGCCCTGCTCGCGCTCGCCCAGGATGAGCCCCGGCCGGACAATGATGCCGTGGTCAAAGTCGAGCTCTTTCACCGTCGTCTCGACGCCCTTCTTCATCTTGCCGTAGGGAAACGAGGTGGCCAGCAGGCCGTCGGAGCCGGACCACGAGATGAAGACAAAGGTCTTGACGCCGGCCTGCTTGGCGGCGCGGGCGACGTCGACGTTGAGGTCGTGGTCAATCTTCCACTGGTTCTCGAGCCCGCCGGCGGCGGCGCGGGTGGTGCCGATGGCGGAGAAGGCGACGTGCGGCGCGGGCGAGAGGCCCGTCACGGCGGCGGGCCACTTGGAGACGTCGGCGTCGACGATGGCGTTGAGGGCGGGCGACGAGGGCTTGGGCGCGCGGCGCGAGATTGTGGTGACGGGCGTGTAGGGGCCCGTGGAGAGGAGGTTGGTGAGGATGTAGGAGCCGACGAGGCCGGTTGAGCCAAAGACGATGGCCGAGTTGGCGGCCATTGTTGGGGGAGGAGATGAATGGTTGTTCTTTCTGGTTGCTGATGGTGATGGTCTTGGTGGTAATTGGAGATGTGTGGTGGTGGTGGTGGTCAAAGGTTGGGTGTGTACAATCGAGGTGGTTTGTATTATATAAAGAGCCGGAGCCCAAGAGGACGGCACGGGAGCGATTCAGGTACCCGTCTTACATACAAGATCGGGTCGGGTGGGATGAGATGCCAATGGCAGCAGCTAAGGTATGAGGTGATATCACCGGCCTTTTTGTCGTACCTATGGTATGATGGAATGGACTTGGGAGGAGACAAGCTGCGGCCCGAAACGCCTGGGCTGATGATGCAATGGCTGGGAAGGGTGATTTTGGCTGTTGGCGGAGATGAGCAGGGAATTGGCTTTATAGATATTGTATTCTAATCACAGCCAGCTGGGTAACATGTGAAGCTGCAAACTTGATCGGCTTTTCGTACGGAGCATGCGGAGCGGACTTTGGTTCCGATACGGGAGCTTTGGCTGCGGATGGACCTGGAGGTACTTGCTCGGTATTCATGAGGCTGGATAGCTGATAAACAGCTGGTGATTGCGGTTACTAGACTAGATGGTGACTTGAGCCTGACAGTCATCTTATAGGTACCTAGGTAGGTGATCCTTATTGCCAAGCTCATTCTGCCTGGGCGTCATTCCGTCTGTGAACAAGAGATCAATTCTCGCGGCAACTGACAGCATGGAAGCTCCGGGAGCTGCAATAATGGCCGAGGTGAGCAAGTGAGCAGCTAGTCCCCTGGAAGTCATTCATAGCAGCACAGTCCCAGCAGGTTGGATACAGCACAGGGTTCAGCGGCTATAGCGCCCTATCGCGCCTATTCGCTGCCCCTCCACCAGCGCCCATTGCCCCTCCATCACTGCTGGGTGGGCTTGCGACAGCTTCTCTGCCTGCGAAAGGCTTCCATCATTTCATGTTCCACGATCGAACCCCCCATTCAACCAGAATTCCACCACCGCATCAGACACGCACATGCGCATGACTTGGGCTCTGATCAAGACCTGCAATCACTCCTGACACAGTTGCGCAGCTCCCGCAAACCCATCCGCCCAACATGGCCACTCAATACGAACGTACGTCCAACCACCATCCTCCCCGTTCTTCTTCCCACCAAGACATCAACACCATCAACACCTCTCCGAGTCTGCATCAACGGCTAACAAAAAATGGCTCTCTCCCCAACGCAGTCGAGCACAACGTCAAGTTCGCCGAGCCTCGCCGCTCCGGCCGCCGCGTCGACATGGCCTCCTTCTTCGCCCTCCTCAACCAGCTCGACGAGCCATCGTCGGCAAGCCCCCACCACAACCCGCACGCGACGCCCACGCCCGTCGACACGGTCGCGCTCTTCCGGCTGCTGCAGAGCCAGCTGCAGACGCTGCACACGACGGCCCCGACGACGGACAACCGCGCCTTTCTCGAGCAGCTCATCGCCTCGCTCGAGGACGACATCCACGACCCGCCCACGCGGCTGCAGGGCGCCAGCCAGGAGTTTGTCGACATGCTGGACCGGGTGGACAGGAAGAAGCTAAGCAGGGACGACGACTGCGCCATCTGCAAGGTGCCCTATCTCGAGGACGAGTATTGCCTCGTCGTGGAGCTGCCGTGTCGGGGGCGGCATCGGTTCGACTTGGAGTGCGTTGGGCCGTGGCTGAGGAGTAAGGGGACGTGTCCGATGTGTCGCGAGGAGGTGGGCAAGAAGAAGGAGGTGCCTATTGTGGAGGACTCGGAGGAGGAAGACGGCGATATGATGTATGCGTGATGGGCGGAGGAGTGTTGTGTTTGACCTTGACCAAATATGATGTGTATATATGTATATATATGTAACCTACTGGGCGCATTGGAGTTTTCATTTGCTGGTCTGATATAGGGCAGGCGGGTTGTCGGGACGGTGAGCGGGATGGATGGGCTATGATTGTGTGCTATGGCTGCTGCTGCTGCTGCTGCCCAACTAGAAAGCGGAATGATTTGAAACAAAACGCATGAATCTGCTACGATAAGGACCAAGAGCGTCTTTGCTTCGTTCTATGCCTCCAGACTATCCATCACCTCCAACGCCTTCTGGGTCCTCGCCTTGGCCGTGTCACTCGCACCCGCGCTCAGCTCTTGCAGCCTCTTCTTCCAAAACGTCCATCTCTGCTCGTTAAATCCCGAGCTGCCCCCCTCCAAAAGCGAACCAGGTCTCAAGGCCCGAGCTTCCTGCTCATTGAGCTGGACGTTGTTCCGCACCTCGTCGTACAGCACCCTGCCGGCGTGAATAATCCACTCCGATGCGGTTAACAAGCGTGTGTCCCTAGCATGGCCATTTGGCAGAGGCTCTTCCAGCCCGTCGCGGAGCTCCCACAGGGCGAAATTCGTCCATGACTGGGCCGAGGCGCCGAGGAGGCGGGCGGCGAAGGAGTTGAGGGACAGCCACTGGGCGATTTTGGCGGCGTCTTCTGGTGAGCTGTCGAAGTCTGGGCTGCCTGGAAAAAGCGCAATTTCAGCAAAGGGGTTATAGAATTAAAAAGCGTCTTCAAATCTTGGTTTTGAACTGTTGAAAGTTCTTCGATGCTCACCATTCCACTCCTCTCTCATGACGGCGCCAAAGAGCGGCAAGTCGCTCCACAAGTCATGCGACGACCCCCAGATGTCGACGGTTCCGCCCTGCTTGGCCTTGAGGCTCGCGACGATGCCAACGAGGCTATTTATGCGCTCGTCGTCGCCGCCGTCGTCGTTGAGGGGGATGCGCTTGGAGATGTCAATGAGGAGAGTCCATAGTGGCCAGAGGAAGCTCTCTGCGTCTTCGTTGCGGGGACACGCTTCGTCGATGGCGGCGGCGGCTGCGGCCTCGATGACGTCTGTGCTGCTGCTGGTGGTGTCGGCGCTGTTGTTGGTTATGGCGGCATCAAGCAGGGGAGAGAGTCTGGCTTGGATGTCGGGGCTGAGTTTGGATTCGGTGACGAGGGAGGAGACGTCGATGGGTGAGGGGGGCATTTTTGCGCGAGAGGGGGGTTGTTGAAGTTGTGACGAGTGTTAAGATCGGGGTGTAAGTGAGACAGATAGGTATGTATGTACATGTAGGTATGTTGTTGATGAGGAGCTGTCGTGGTGAGAGGTGAGGGAGGGATTGATATTGTTTGCAGCTGTCTGAAGAAAGATGTAAGAGTAAAAACAAGTTTCAAGGTTGATGATCGAGGCAACCCACGTGTTCACTTGTCAAAGAGACCGCTTTGGCAGAATCACTCGTGTCTCTCTCTATTCGTGCATCTCCATGTTTAGTATCTTCAATGTTCCAAGCCACCAAGTACACATCACGATCCCTCTCTACAGCATACACATATATCAGATGCTCTCCGTCTACGCAATCGACATGCGCATCCCCCCGTTGGCACACACCACGCTGCCCGTCGTCCACCCGCTCTCCTCCGTGCACAGCATATCGACCGTCCCCGCAATCTCGTCCGCAAACCCGGGCCTCCTCCCGCCCATCTGCTCCCTCACCAGCCGATCAAACTTGTCCGCCTCGCCGCCCGCCCTCCGCAGCACATCTTCCTCCCCATCGTACGCCATCAGCGGCGCCGCGTCCACGTACGGCTGGTTGCGCCTCCAAAACGTCGGCCCGGCCTCGGCGTACATGTCGCCCCAGGCCGGCCCCGGGTTCACCGAGTTGACCGTCGCCCGCTCCGCCAGCTCCCGCGCCCACGTCCGCGTCATGACCTCGAGCGCGCCCTTGCTGCCCGCGTACACCGACTGGCCCAGGTACCCAATCGACGCCGACACGCTCGACACGTTGACGATGCGGCCCGACCGGTCCGCCGGCAGATGCGGCGCCACGGCCTGCGTCAGGAGCAGCGGCGCCAGCACGTTGATGGCGTAGACGCGCGTGAACTCGGCCTCGTCGATGGCGCCCTTTTCCGGGTCGTTGAGGAACTGGTTCGACGACACGCCCGCGTTGTTGATCAGGATGTCGACCTGGAACTTCTTGCCGCCTGACGGGGGGCTGTAGCTGTCGAACAGCGTCCGTGCGGCCTCGACGATGATGGGGGCTGCGGTTGACGCCTTCGCGAGGTCCGTCTGCACGGACTGCACGTGGACGCCGTGCTTGGAGGACAGCTCCTCGACCAGGCCCCGGGTGAGGTCCCTGGATGAGTCCGAGGTAAAGGTGATGAGGACGTTGCTGCCTTTGGCGGCTAGACGCCTGGCCACGGCTGCTCCGATGCCTGATGGATTATCGGATTGTGTTAGTTGATACTGGTGATACGTGTCTCCCTGCAAGCCGTGTAAGAGAAGAAGGCGGACGAACCTCGTGAGGCGCCGGTGACGATGGCGAGCTTGCCTTCATACGGACGGGCCATTGCAACGACTCGATGACTTCAAGGCTGATGTCGACTTGAGCAATCACCACTATATTGACCATCTATCACCCAGAGACAGTCTGGACATGAAACGTTGCTCGGCCACAGCGTCTCTCGCCCAGCCAAAGATTCAAGTTATTATATGCCCATCCAACCCCGCCAAAAGACGCCCCGCGGCGTTCGTCGGTTTTCTCCATAGAAACTCCGCCTTGGATGCAATCCATCATTGGAGCGCATGTGCGAGTGGGATGGCAATGGATAGTTGATGAGGGGACTCGATCGTTTCTACTTACTAGGTAGGTGGTCACTACAATGTACTATCGAGACGGCTACCTACCTTATTTGTCTGACAGCATTATGTCATATGCTCCAATTAGCATTAAAAGAGCAACTTTGTCCTGGTGCTAAACGACTGGAGCTCAAACGAGAACTTGTTGCATCCTTCACGGCTACAAATTGTTGCAATTACGCAATCTTCACAACACTTGCGACAACATCACAGCAGGCCATCACACGACGAAACGACAAACGTGCAAGTCCTAAGTATTCTGGCTAAGGATACAGCTATCAATGTTGACCACCAACTACCGGCGCACAACCCCGTTCCCTCCTCTATCACAACTTGAAGCCGCCGGGCACCAGCTTCTGAAAGACTCCATTGGGATCAACCTGCTTCGCAACCTGCTTCAAAAAGGCAACGTTTGGCATTCCAAAGCTCGCAATCGGGTTCTGCTTTCTCCCGGCGTAATTCACGTCGACGTATTGTTGCAAGACCTTTGCCTTCTTGGCGACATCAGTCACCTTCTGCAGAAACTTGTCAGACGCATCGTAGACCTGCTTGTCCTTGGCGGGATCCTGCCAAGTGGCGGAGAAGACGCCGAGGGCGAGTCCCGGAAGCGTAATGTTGTCGAGGCCGAGAATGTTGCCGCCAGTGGTCTGAGACTGGGCCAAGATGGCTGGGACAATGGGCTCGAGGGTCAAGGCCCAGGTCACGTTCTCAACACCCTTGAGACTCGAGATGCTGTTTTGGAACAGCCCATATAGGGACTTGTACCAGACAACGTTGTTCTCAAACGTAAGGTCCCAGTTGTCTTGCCTACGTGTAGCAGAGAGAAACCAGGTTAGAAGACGCTTCATGCACGCAACGGGACAAACAACATGAGAACTTCTCACCGGTATCCATCTGCACTGAACGACAGAGACAGATTCGAGAAAGCGGCCACGTTGGTAATCTGCGTACTATTCTGCAGCTGGTTGGGAATCGCCGTGATGGCTTGGAACACAGGCGGGTTCTCCGTGGGTTCCGCATAGGCCAGTCGGCTGGCAAGGATCGTCCCAAACGATGGGTTGTATATGAAGCTGAGCATATAGCCTGCATTGGCGTCGTAGCTGGGATTGGACGCAAAGTCATACAGGGCTTGGGCGTGGGCGTCAATCGTCGTCTTGTTGTACAGAATGGTGCCTCCCCATATGTTTTCAATGGGAAACGTCTTGAACGTCAACCTCGTGACGATCCCAAGGTTGCTCGATCCGCCTTTGAGGGCCTTGTAGAGGGCAATGTTCTGCGTGGCCGATGCAGTCACGATGTCGCCGTTTGCCAGGACGACCTGGAAGGCGATGACCTGGTCGGCTGCGAAGCCGGCTTTGGGAGCAAAATCCCCGAGGCCGCCTGCGACACAGAAGTCAGTCAGAAGAAGAAGAAGAAAGAAGAAGATGTGGCTGCCCCATTCCTGGGTTACCATGCATCAAGCAGACGCAGAGGACCACGGGGGGCAGATATCATAGCCAACTCACCTCCCAGTGTCGAACCGCCCACACCCACCGACCCTGCCCGAGCTCCGGCCACCGTCAAGTTGGAAGTCTGCAGCTGCGAATAGACGGCGCCCCAAGTAGCGCCGCTGCCCACGTTGACCGTGATGTTGTCGCTGTTGAGAGCGACGTCGTTGAGGCCTCGCAGGTCAATCGTCACGCCGCCCTTGATGTTGGCGATGCCCGGAACGGTGCCGAACCCGCCAGCGCGGATGGCAAACTTGCAGGACAGGGGGACGAGGAACCGGAGAGCCTTGGAGACGTCCATTGCCGAGGTAGGTCGGACAATGCATGTCGGGTATATCTGCTCCTCTTGGGCAGACCAGTACGTCGCGAGGGACTCGTTGTACGTGGCGCTGCCTTGGTCCGACAGTTTGTCTCCAAAGTAGACCTTGAGGACGGCGCACTATGCAGGTCCAAGTCCAGGTCAGTGCTGTGCGCTTCTTCTCAGGAACGAGGAAATTTGGTTCGACTTACACAGGTATCGCCAGAAGCAACGGCTGTTGTGTCTGCTTCCACGTCCTCCTCAGCAGCGTGTGCCGCAGCAAGGCCACCCAGCGCCAACAGAAGAAAAGATATGAGGCGCATTGTCACGATGCTGCTCGCTTTCCGGGTGATTATTTCAGATACAAGATATGGGAATATGGGGGAGATGGTGACATGGGGAAAAGGAAGGAAAGTAAACAAAGCAGAGGCTGTCGAGATGCTGTATATAAACAAGGATGCGGCAGAGGAAGCACGACCCGTCTTGCTGGGTCAAGACGACGATGTCTCCTGCCTCTACGCCCTGACAGCTCGTTTCTCACGGCCAGAATATACTTGGCAGGTTGAAGCAATGGCATTGGCTAGAATGCTCCTTCACCCAAAATGATGTCCTCTTCTTGTCGCTCGTCATAAGCGAAGCCACAGAGAATCGGAGAGCGCAGGTAAAAAGCATCTTATGTGGCCATATATCTAGCCTCGTATATTCGACTTTGGTACCTAGATTACATTGACCATTGGAAGGACTCTGTATACTAATGATTGATAGGCTGTCGATGAAGCGACTTCAAAGATGATGGCGGTGCCAGGAGGAAACTGCCGACAGTGCCATGTTCACATCGTGATACCAATTCGCTATCTTGTCTGTCGCCATATTTCTCTGTTGGGGCAACACTCCCTCCCTCTTCAATCAGAAGCTTTGTCAAAGAGTGGAGAGAGATGATCACTCTCCACAGGGCCAGTCTCATCCTCTAGATGAGTCTCTTCACCAACGCTCAGGATTCTGATGATGCATTGACCAGCTCATCCAAGCCTTGACCCATAGACATCATGCCATTCTATAGAAACAAGCAATGTTAGCATGTCAATCATATCCCATAGATCATTTGCACCATCAGGTTTTCATAAATCGACTGCGTCAGAAAGCTTCAAATATCTGGGCAGTGACCAAGTGTAACTCACAAGTATAAAGCCCGGCGCCCACCGCGACACAAACCTGACAATGCCACTGTTCACCCCTCTCCATACTACACCGTTTCTGCCACTCGCCACGATATCCGGCACCAGAGAGTTGACAAGATCTTGAGTAGACCCTCCTTTGGGACCAGCCTCGCCCTTGGCCCATTTGGCAATGGTTTCCGAGATTGACGCATAGTAAGACCCTGCGGGAAGCTCAGGAACGGGTTCATTAGCGTGGAAAGGCGTGGCGACGGTGCCCAGCATGACGGTCACAACACTCACGCCAAACGGCGACAGTTCCAGGCGAAGCGTCTCCGAGATGCTGTTGACGGCAGCCTTGGAAGAGGCATAAGTCCCTGCGTCTATGTGAGTCACCGTAATTGACTCGACAGGTTATGGATACCTAAAGTGAAGATACAGCATAGAGTCATTGAGGAGAACCCGCGGCTTACCGATCCAGGGAGTGTTGACAACTGCCCCCACGGAGCTCATGTTAACAATTCTCCCCTTACTCTTGATCAACTGCCCAGCAAATGCCTGCACAGTCCTCAACACGCCCCAGACATTGGCATTGTACAGGTCCTGCGCCCTGTGAATGTCCACGTCCAAAAGCGGCATTGTGTACCCAAAGCCAGCATTGTTGACCAGCACATCTAGGCCGTGGCCAGATGCCTCGACTGTCTTTGCGGCCTCTGTAACCGACTCTGTGGAGGAAACTTCGAGGGCTATAATGGACACATTCGGGAGGTTTTTGAGCTCCAAAGGAATTTTGGAGGTATTTCGAGCGGTTGCAAAGACGTAGTGGCCTTGTCTGGCGAGGGTCAAGGCGAGGACGGCGCCGATGCCGTCGGCGGAGCAGCCGGTGATGAGGATTGTGCGCTTGATGGTCATTGCTTCTGGAGGCTATCCCTCGATATCCCGCGTACTGACACCTCGGTGAAGAATGAATAGAATGGAAGTTTTGTCTCTGCAATGAGGACAAGGCAAGGTTGTAATAACATGAGTTACCAGGTTAACTAGCCTTCAATGCCTTTACATATCTTGACAGCCTCTCTACAAGAGTTTGAAAATTGCAGTGAGGAAGAAGCACTATGAACAAGCTCAGAAGTCTCTTTCTTGCCTTTCCATCAGATGTTGTTGACTCACGACGGCAAGCAAAGCGGATACTATCATCCTTCTTTTCATGTACGGATGTCACTACATATCCTTTGCTGTTACATATCTCACAAATCCCTGCTGCAATCCCGGCAAAGTCGGTGCTATTCTCCGCACTTAGGCCAAGTTCCGAATGGGGAGCAGACGTGTTCGGGGCCTTGATAATGCCCTTTCCCATGAAGGATTTGACAAGCATGCGTGGCATGGGATACTACATGTTCCAGCCGGCTTACCAACAGCAGCGTGGTCTCAACATATTTGTACAGTTAGGTTGTCACAGAATGATGTTTTGAACGCGTCATTCGAATGTGACGGTGGTCAAACGTCAGGAATATGGCAGCCATGGCACCAAGACCCTGGTATAAGACACCACGCCGCAAACACAACCAGTCCGTGTGATGCAGCGCTTGTCAGATAACATCACTGACAGCCACAGAGGGCTTTTCAGCCATATAACAAGGACAACTGGCAAAATTACATGCAAGAACGATCTCGTGAGAGCCATGTCCACCGGACCTCAGGATCGCCTGCTGTAGAGCCCCCCCTCGAGTTCACAGGAATGGGATTCAGAGGCTAGATAAATTCTAAACCAGGATCAAGTTTGTCTATGGCAGGGCGCCTCACCGAGTTCTATGATTATTGGCTCTTGACGGCCAATCTACCCGCTAGCAAAGAGTACAACCAACAACACAAAGTCTGCGATCCAACATCCTCCCCTTTGCAGAATGACAAATCTCATCGTGTTCTGCTGGAACATGTCACAAGGCTACACTTAATTCCGGCAGAAACATAAGGGCTCTTATGAATTTCCCTTCAGCAATTGACTGCATCTGCGATTAGGCTAGCAAGGTTCCGCTAGGAGTAGGAATGGTTTTAGGATTAGAGCAGATGGCCTTCTAAGCAGTCGGCCTCCGTTCCAGACACTCACTCTAAACTCAAGATGTGTGAGTCTTGTAATCAACGAGAAACTTACCATTGTTCAATTACGAAAAGAAATGATATCATCTAGTCAAAGAACAATTGCCAATGTCTCAAAAATATCTACTCCGAGTAAACCTGGTGCCTAATAGAGCTGATTCGCGCAAAAGAAGACGACTATGCATATCAAAATGTATGAGCACCAGCCAAAACACGCACAAGGAATGAGCCATTTCAGACCACATCCTCAGGACGAACTTCCTGCCTAATCTCAATATCCCTCATGATCCCTTCTGGGCCGTTGTTGGCATGGTTGGTCCCCCCCTGTTCATGATCGGGGCCGCCTTGAACCTGTACCACTCGCGATGGATAGTCGCTTGAACCAGAGCTGCCGGCACCTCGCCCGTAGGACACAAAGCCCTTGCTATTCTTCTCCATAGAGTCTCTGTGCTCATAAGACTCCTTGGAGCTGTCTCTGTTCAAGACGTAGCCCTGGGTGATTTGATGGTCGCCGACGCGCTTATCCTCTCTTCGATCGTTAGGAATGCCACCGCCTTTCTCCTCGTCTCCGTGGCCGTCCTTGTCGCTGTCCTTGCTGTCGTGTCTACGGTGGATTGTAGACATGAGCACCTTCCAGGGACGAGATGGCGCGATATACTTCTTGCACGCGTTCTTGAAAGCGGGAACGCAGCATACAATGAGGGCAATGTTGTTTTCGACGATGCTGTTAAATGAGTATTGTCAGAAGAGGCACCATACATACTTGAGGCGCATATAACTTACATGCAGATGAAGAGTTGACTCTCCAGCCAGGTGAGATCTGATGAGCCAAACAGCTTGACACGAGCTCTCAGTGCAACGACACTGGAGATAACTCCCCTGTTCATCAACCTCCATTAGCACTTTCTCGCCATCAACAACAGGTAATAGTCAGAAACCTACAGCAAGGCGGTGAAGAAGACGGCGCACAATGCGATCCGCCTTCTGCGAGACATGTTGAGCTTCCACAAGATCGGGAGCGGCAGCACAAAGATCCAGATGTCGATGATGACGGCCAACGACCCCTGAACGGGTGGGTAGTAGATGATATGGCCAGGCATGCCGTTCGTCAAGAGATCTGTCCAGGTCGACCCGGGTCTCGGACACCCATAGGCGAACTCGAGAGGCACGCTGACCCAGTAGGTGAGGGCTGTGACGACGATTCCAACGTAGACGATGATGCGGATGGTTCTGTGCGCCGAGAAGATTTGCAGATACAGCAGCCAGATGGCGGTCTTCAAGAAGAAGATGACGGGGCCGAGCAGGAGCCCCTGGACGAAGAGGATCTTCATGTACGATGCAGTGTACCAGCATGCAGGGACGTTCCACTGATGCCGGGAGTACTCGGTGACTGATTTGGCTTGTGAGCGTATGGCTCGTCGAGGCCCCTTCATGCGCCTTTTGTGTTCTAGTGTAGTGCAGGGGGAGGGAGAAACACACCTGACAGTAAAACTCCTGTGTAAGCTGCGTTAAGCACGAAGCCTACAAAGGCAAAGTCTTGAAGAGAAGGTGATTAGTCTATGTTACCAGAAACACAGCCCTCCCTTTGTTCGCCTCTCGCGGCACCATCCATGCACTCTTGATATCTTACAGTCTGCTTTGTTATACTTGGGGAAGTTGGTCACCACCCGCGCAGCCAAGAAGATTGTCGAGATTGTCAACATGACGACCGAGACCGCGATGATGGCCGTCGCCAGTGATGCCGGATTGACAAAGTTGGGCACAACGCCGGGAGGAGGCATGGCTGCCGGGACTTGGCAGAGGTCCACGCCTGATGGTAGCTGGAGACTGACACCCATGTTGTCTCTGGTTCGTTGTGTATTCTATAAGATGTCGTTGTCTTCGTTCTCTTGGTTCTTTTGGTGGCCTCTCTGTGCCGTGTGTTCTGATGGGACAGCAGCCACAGATTGTGTAATGAGTGTGTGTAAAGTAGTTATCATGAAAAAGCAAGTTCCTCCAAGATATAGACGAGTTTTAAAGAGGAGAACAAACTTTCATCATATATTTCTGACCATTATGAGACAGAGGACATCGAGGAGAAGGGCATGCAGCCAACAGAGCTTCTTCCAAAGAAATGCACGGAGATCTCCTTCCTTCTCAAATCACAAGACACCAGAAGCTAATATTGAAATTAAACACAGCTACTTAATGAAGCAAGGAAACATGGAAGAAAGCTTAACATGACACTGATGGTAGTTCACCAACAGCGCGGAAGGCGTTTTACGCCATAGTTCATTCCGCCACTTGCAAGCTTGGGGAGCATCCGCGTGCATTTGAGCATTTATCATGTGAATGAAAGTAACAAGAAGGCTGTAAAGTCTCACAATGATGGACGGTGTTTCTTGACAATGCGCTCCTCTTCCATGTGCTTCAAGATTCAAGAGATGACGAGTCAGGCAAGTCGATCTTCAATCACTTCTCGCCCAGCTATACCTGAGACATAAGCTCTGGTCAAAGGCGTGATCACAGCTCTCGATCTCTCGGGCTATCTAGCGTGATCGACCTCTAGCTCGTTGTCTGTTTTCCTGATGCCTTCTCTTCGCACGTTGGTGTTGGTGGCTTGCAAGCTGGTGCGGGGGCGAGGGAATGTGCATGTTCCAGGCTGGCATGACAGGCAAAATGAAGCATCCAGAGTAAAAGCAACGACGGCAGCTATATCTAGAGAGGCTGTAACTTCATAAAAGATCAAAAATTTCCCCACGGAGACAGAGAAATTCGTGATGGACGGATCATCCGGTTTCCCTCGTCGATCATGGCTGAGACGCTACATACGAGCTGATGCTATTAAGAGGGAGTTCATGGCCTCGCACAGATGAAACCGGTTGCTCTCTACAGCAATCTACTACTCAAATCCTATGAATTCTCCAATGAATCTATCTATAGATACTATGGCAAGTATGTATCGCTTATATCTGTTATTTCGAACGCTGTTTTGGTCTCGTGGGCAAATGATCTATAACTGAACTGAAGAACAACACCAAACTCTGTACTTGAATCGTTGCAATTGGACACGAGGCCTGGACCATCCAGATTCCCGCAACCTAGACGCCTCTTCCAACGAGAAGAATAGCAATGAATACAAGCCCCGTGTACATTCATGCAAGCCGTTCCGGCTGCGGTATTCGAGCTACAGGCCGCCATGGCGCAGCTCCTCAAAGGCGATCGCTTCGTTTTGAGTGGCGATAGGGCTGCATTAGGCCCTCCCCGTTGGTCATCCCTTGCGAAGCTGGTTCGTTTTCGTTGGATTGGTGGCAAGGATCTCACTGGAGACCCTTGGAGGTGATCTCTACAGATATTGCACTGGCCTCGTGTAAGTCTGTGCATGCTTCAGAGAACCGCTTGAGCATCCTGCATCGGCAGTGAGGCTGAAATGGCTGTGGATGTAGCCGTGGGTTGCTAGAGGCTTACATCTTCGTTGAGGAGAGCATTGCATAACTTTGTATGGCGGAGACCGAGACGAAGCACAAGATTGAGTAGTCAAGATCATGAGCAGATTGTCAAATTTGATATCGTATATATGCAGACTGGATTACGGATGAAGTGAAAGCGAAGTACAAAATTGATGAAAAACAAAGCCCCTGATGTCCTTACGACTTATGCTGTCTCTTGCAAAACATGACAATGGTGCTGCTCCTGGGCACGATGCTTGATCTCCAGGTCCTATATCTCGGTGCATCCGGATCCAGCATCTTGCACTCCCAGTCTTCCAAGATGCGAATCACGACAAGCTTCGTCACAAGTGAGGCGTAGAACCGGCCTGGACTAGAGTTGTTCATACTCGCGGCAGAGTCAGCAAGTGCATGTAGGAGGACAGCGCCTCAGCCGCCTTCTCGCGCAGTATCGACACCTCATTCCACTCACCAAGCGGTATTTCCGACTCCCAAATGGGCCAATCGGGGCTGGCGTCTGTCAACTTTGACTCCTTTTGGCCAGGCACGTCGGCAGACTGTTGTTGCTGCCGAAGCAGAGCGTTCTGGCTTGCGAATCGGAAGCTATCAAAACGATTTGCGTCTGCATATCGAGCGCTGTCTTGCATCATGGCTCGCTGGGGAACACACACCCAGTCGCCCCTGTTGAGATATGAGCCGTCCGAAAGGTGTAGGGAACGAGGGCCTTCCTCCGACATGTAACTGAGCGACAGTGTAAAAGGCAAGCATCCGCAGGATGGCTGGATTTCTCTGTGGGCAGATGACTTACTAGAATCCTAGTTGGTGGTGCGAATTGATTCTCTGATGAAGCTGTCGAGGAGCGGAAGCTTGTCGACGTTTCTTGGGGCACTGTCCGCCTGAGAGTAGTCTTGGAGTTCAGTCCGAAGTGGCTCAATATGCTCAGGGTAAGGGCACAGATTTTGGACAGCATATGTCAAAGTCTTGTCAGTGCGTCAACCATTGTCAGTACATCCAGAGGCGGGCTACGAAAAGGGGAAACGGGGGGGTTTTTATACCATGGCTAATTGATGAACTGACCTAAACCAAACCGCCATTATCTCACCCACTATTCGCTCAGCCGGCCAAGGATTCTTTCGAGGCGAGGTGTCAATCAGCCATTGCATACAGTCGGTCTACATGTATAGCGTCAGTTGCATCAACTTCGAAGCAACATTTGTCTGTGCAGCTCTAACGTACTGGTGCAGCCTGTCTAGGCTGACTGTGTCTGATTGCAATTCGATGCTCGACAACGGGCACCAGATACTGGTACAGTGTTTTCGCAGCCTTGTGCCGATTGGTGGCGATGGATGCAACCAGCGGGCGTATGCATTCAGGGGATATGCGCAAGAGCTCGGCTGCAAAGACGACGGTTTGCGGGAACTCTAACCCGGCTGAGGTGAACTCGACATTTCGTGCTGATTCAGTGTCACAGGGTCAATATTTCCTGGTGTCCTTGTTTCTGAATTGTATTCAGAAGAAGTCGTAACGTACAGAGGTCTTCGCCGAAGAAGATGAAGCAGTTGACTTTCGTCACGAGAGACTTCATCAGGGGGAAAATCTTGGCATGAGTATATCCTTTGACACCTTTGATTAGAAGATCATCCAGTCACAGCAGAAGCCTATAGTGTATGTCGATTTACCATCAGCGCGGACATCTTTCAGGTCGTTGTCCAGCGTTGTATGAATCATACATTCCAACTCGTGTTGGAACTTCGGAAGATAGGACGTAAGGAGGCTTCGAAGGGCACGGACAAACCCAGTGCCCTCACCCCCCCCCCCGCTGGTCTTGCCATTCGATCCCGCACATTGTGTACTTGGGTTGAAGAATCTGTTCCCATGTCAGCGAGGCGTTCGTAGATTGCTTATGTTGCATCATGCACCTCCTTCGCCACCGCGTGTAGCGAACAAATGCTGTAGCGGCGCATCTATGAGTTCTTTGATGAGACGGGGAGATGTAATGAGGAGATGGTCGTTAGATGGTGTAGTTATTCTAAAAGATTTCCCCTGTGCCTATTGCGTGTCAGAAGGGTGAAGACTATACTCTTGTCGTGGGATGGTTCTGTAATACCTGTTGATAAGCCTGATTGATGAGTTGGGGCCCTGAGACAAGATATAAAAGTTCTTGGGTGAGTCGAGTTAGAAATGGAAATGGCTATAGATGTCAGACTCAGGAAACAGCACGCCATTTGCTGCGGTAATCTATAGTGTCAGCTAACCTCTGTAAGTGATTGACACTGAATTGTGATCCAAATAACCACTAATATGAAGAATTCAAGAAGTTGCTCTCTGTTCACCACTGTGGTGGCCAACTGAAGAGTGACCGGACTATTGTGTGCAGTGAAAGCCATGTTGTTATGCTATGAAAGACATGTATGAGACTGAAACTAAACTGTTCGTCAAGAGATCAAATACAGAGCATTGTCAACTTTGGACACGATTCCAGAGGAGTCATTTCTTGTCAGCTTATAAGCCAGGACTGACAGGGACTCAGGGACACAGCTCCCTACATAGTCCTGACACCCTTTAACTTGGTATTCACACTATTACACGCCTGCAGACAGTAACAGCCCAGGGAGTTGATCCTCGGTCGATCCGTCTTCCTGGGCTGGTATCATCAGATAATGGCTCAAAGCCTGCGAGAGGGGTTTCAGGTGGTCAATAGACTGAACAAAATTGCTCAGCTGTGTGATAACCCCGGCTTCTTGGCCTGGACCATTATATGAGATGTGATGCAAACGTCGGGTAGGCATCAACTTACAGCTAGGGTTGTTCTCCCCCTATGCCTCTAGCTTTTGCACAGCCTCTCTCTGATATCTTGCTAGCGCTCATATCTTCGCCTTTGAGGAACATGATCTAGATTCATCAGTTGAGGTTCGATACAGGCATCCATCCCCGAAAGGAGCTGCACAAGTGCCGGCTGCATACAGCGCTGGGAGACTCACGCACCATGAGTTCGCAGGCGACCCGGCAAATTGGTGGCGTAGCTCCCCGTGTTGTATGCCTACTGACAAACATCGCCCCCCTATGACAGAGATAAAAGGTAGCTGAAAGGAGAGAAATTTCAGCTCGTCAAAGACCCTAGCTGCCAAGCTTGAGAGTTTGACCATCAGGAAGGAAAAAGAGGTTTTTTGGGGAGGCGGTTCCCATATCTTATGCTCCCACTCAGTGTCCCTTATCATAAAGAGGAGGACTATTGTTAGTTCCATTTACGCAGGATCTCAGAAAAGGAATCGGTTCCCGAGCAACCTCAGCCAACCTCCCCTTTCGTCGTATTCACCAAGGCGCGGTTGGGTATATGCTCGCGAGTGTCCTGACACATGCAACTGTGGCTCCAACCTATATCAAGATCAAAGAGGAAGAAACAAGAGACCAGCTCAAACAATCCTGCAGCAGGTCGTCGATAGTGCAGGGGTCCAACCCTGTTTGTTTGCTCGGCCTAGCGCCTTGAACGGCATCCGTCCCTTGTTCAGCACATGGCAAACAACCACGAACCCGGTAGCTGGGACAAGCCACAGGGCTCTTACCTGTCACTGAGTCTCTGATTGGTACTCTAGCTGGTGATGGAGGGTGATAGTGGCGTTGCGGCGCTCTTCTATCGAGTGACCGGCTGCTTCTGCCGGTGACCTTAACCCTGCGTGCGATCTATGGGCTCGGGCTCTTACACAGCCAGGGGAGATGCTTTGCGGGCTGCCGGTCCAGAGGCTGTGATTGACTTCGCTTATGAGGAGTGGAGAGTCGAGAAGCGATAGAAACCTAGGTATGCGGTGCCGGCACCATTATATTGGAGCTGAGGAACCCTACCCATACCTGCAATCATGTACCTACATGTGGTGATGTCTGTGACTGCTGATATCAGGTGGAAGACGAGCATCAGACATCTTATTTCCCCGAATGATGCCTTCCTGGGCCTACTCTACCATTTTGAGAATCAGTTTCCCGTTCTTCTATGTGATTATACTCTCAGACCTCAGCCATCATGCCGTTCTTGACACCATCGTGTCATTTTACCACGATGTCCGACGCCCCCCAAGAGAGGGTCCAGAACAAGTTGGACCTCTTTGATTGCATCATCATGCTATTTCTTTCATGGTTTCTCTGGAGACTTTGGAGGTTCACCGTGCTTCCCCGTATATACCCTGATGATCCTCGAGAATTGCCGTATCTAATCCCATGTAAGCCGTTCACCATAATTCGTCTCCCCTCGTGTCTTCTGCCTGTCAAACATTTGAACCCTACAATGTAGCTAACCTGCGTTTTTGTTTCCATCTAGTTCTGGGTAAGCTGGTCATATCACAAATATGAAACACAGGATCCGCGGATAGCTGACAAGAATCCTATCAGGCCACGCACAAGCCTTCTTCAACAACTCCCATTCGTTGTTACGTCAGGCCAGGTAAAAGCATCTCTGACAGCATCAGCTCCCATACTAAATCTCTGATAGAGCACACTTTGGCAGCACCAACGATCTCTTTGCGCTGAACGCTCGCCGAATCAAAGATCTATGTCATCACGAAGCCCAAAGACGTCGCCGACGCATACCGAAACACAGAAAGCCTGTCCTTCAACGAATTTGTTCAAGCCGTCATGCGAGCCTGCGATAACACCGAGTCCTGCATCCAAGCAATGTACACGCCATTACCAAGAGACAAGGCCGGCTTTGCAAATCCCCAAGGGAAATCGTTGGCGACGCTGGCGCGGCAGATGCACATACACCAGCTGTATCCTGGCAAAGGACTGGACTTTCTCGAGAGAACTTTTCTAGAATGGTTCGATGTGCGTATGAACATGGAGAAGCTGCATAGCGGCTGTTCCTATGCTACCAAGCGGGATGATGGCGATGTTGTGCTCCCCCTTATGGAGTGGTGCTCTGATTTCTTGATAAGCGCCGGTCAGAGGGCATATTTCGGGGACGAGCTTGGCCAGATTGATGGTAATCTGGTAAGAGAGTTTGTGAAATTCGATGAGCTCAGCTGGCAGGTTCTCTATCAGTACCCCGAGTTGCTTGCTGGGGAGATGAAGAGGTCCAGGGATGTCATTCAGCGAGCGTTGAAAAAGTACATCCAGCTGCCTCAGAGTCAGAGGTCGGGCGAGGCTTGGTTTACCAAGGCCATGGAGAACGAGATGCGGGCTCTGAATATTGGCGAGGACGACATTGCAACCATGTTGATGACGATATACTGGGTGTGCGTCTTCCAGGTCTATCCTTTCTTCTCTTTGACTTGCTTGAGAATCAAGACTGACATGCCATAATAGTCTCAACACGAGCACTCGCAAAGCTGCTTTTTGGCTGCTCAGCTACATCCTGCACACTCCCTCTCTCATCCTAGTCATCCGCAACGAAACAAAGCCGGCCTTCAATAACTCAGACGGCAAGCTCAATCTCGACTACATTCACAACCAATGCCCGCAGCTCAACGCCATGTGGAACGAAATGATCCGCATGTCCGCCTCCGCCGCCTTGGTACGCTTCATCACCGCAGACACCGTCATCGGAGGCAAAGTCCTGCGCAGAGGCAACAGACTCTTGATCCCGTTTCGCCAACTGCACTTTGACAAGAGCGTCTTTGGCGAGACGGCGGATTCGTTTGATCACGAGCGGTTCCTGGAGATGAAGCCGAGCTTGACGCAGAGCGGCACTTGGAGGCCGTTTGGAGGCGGCGGGACGATGTGTCCGGGACGGCACGCGGCTAAGAAATGCGTCTTGCTGTTTGTTGTCTTGCTGTTGCAGCGGTTTGATATTGAGGTGGATGGGTGGCAGTCGCTTCCTGTGGCGGATGAGGGTAAGCCGGTGCTTGGTATCATGTCGACAAGGGAGAACCGGGATTTGAGAGTGAGAGTGACGGCGAGAAAGACGTTTGCATAAGTTCATCCTCTATTCCTGGTCTGCGAGTGTGTATTTGACAGAGGAGAGAGAGAGTGTGTGTGTGTGAACGAAAGTTGTCGGTTACAGGGTATCTGTATATGTGCGTGATGGTGGCATGAGTGGAGGAGACACCGCATGCGATTGTAGGTATGTAAGCACATGCATCTATACAAGACCTCTCATGTAATTGCATCACATATGAAAGACCCTTCTATGCCACGAATAACACTCTTCTGTGTAAACTATTGACTCCGGCTCCCATGAATTGAACCGCCCGTGCCGCTGCCGTCGTCACAAACGCTGCTTCGTATTCCCAACCACCTTGAGGACGCGTTGACGTGTACAGCGAGGCTGGTTGGCGGGAATATATCAATGATCCCTGTCGCCCATGCTCACCTCTCTTCTCTCGACCTGACATCATCCACCAATCTATCCATCACTTCATCTCTTCTCTTCTCTTCTCTTTACAGCAGACAAAGACTCTGTCAGATATCACTCCCTCCATATACAAATCAACCATGGATTTCCCCAGCAGAGACGACCACCCTCACCCTCACCCTCACCCTCCTCCGCCTCCCCCCAGACACGACGATGCAACCCGCCAGTTCTTCTCCCACTCCAGCGCAAGACGCATCAACACCGACGCCGTCATCGCAACAGCCCTCCGGCAGCAGTACCCCAACCTCTCCCTCTCCATCGCCCCGGCAGCAACATGCAATCTGCTCGCCTACGCGGCCAACGGCCACGCCCAGATGACGCCCGTGAGCGACGAGCACGAGCATGACCATGACCCTGACCATGAACATGACACTCCCGTCCCCTCCTCGCTGTCATGGAAAGTCTACGTGCCGCCAGCCCGGCGCATGGACGGCGACCTGGGCGTCCTCGCAAAGGACGTCCTCTTCGAAAAGTACCTCGTCCAGTGGCAAGGCAAAGACTTGTTCGCGTATCTCGTCAACGGCCGCGACGGCTCCAGCTCGTACCCGCAGGTCGCAAACTACTTCCTCCTCGCCGCGCACGAGAGCCTCGCCTCGCAGCTGATCCTCGCCGCCGGCCGCTGGACCAGCGAGCTGCACGACGAGATCTGGGTCTTTGACGGCGGCTACTGGGCCAAGAGCGCGGAGCTGTACCGCAGCGCCATGAAGGCGTCGTGGGACAATGTCATTCTCGACGAGGACATGAAGAGCGCCCTCATCGAGGACCACTTGTCCTTTTATCGGTCGAGGGCCACGTATGAGAGGCTCAAGGTGCCCTGGAAGCGAGGCATCATCTACTATGGCCCGCCGGGGAACGGAAAGACGATTTCCATCAAGGCCACGATGAACATGCTCTATCATCTCAAGCAGCGGGTGACGACGCTGTATGTGAGGTCTCTGAAGTCGGTGCGTAAATGACTCTTGGTCTATTTGTTCCTTCTCAAGAACTGTATGAGCTCAAGTCCTACTAACACAAGACCTCAGTTCATGGGGCCGGAGAGGAGCATTGCTCTCGTCTTTGCCAAGGCACGAGAATTCGCCCCCTGCTACCTCGTCTTTGAAGACCTCGACACCATCATCACCGACGACGTCCGAAGCTACTTCCTCAACGAAGTAGACGGCCTCAAGAGCAACGACGGCATCTTTATGATTGGCAGCACCAACCACCTCGACCGCTTGGATCCAGGCATTTCCGTAAGTTTCTAATCCATCAAACACGACAAGCCTCACAACCCATGCTTTTTTCCCCTTTCCGATACGCCAAGAACTTTCTTTCATAATGACAACGTAAATGTGTGTGTGTGTGTGTGTTAGAAACGCCCCTCTCGCTTTGACAGGAAATACCTCTTCCCAGACCCCGACTTCGCCCAGCGCGTCGCCTACGCCCGCTTCTGGCAGAAGAAGCTCGCCGACAACAAGTCCATCAGCTTCCCCGACAAGCTGTGCGCCGCCATCGCCGACATCACCGACGGCTTCAGCTTCGCGTACATGCAGGAGGCCTTTGTCGCGGCGCTGCTCGCCATTGCGCGCAGGGAGCAGCCTGGCGACGATGGAGAAGACGGGGATGAGGAGGGCGAGGAGGGCGAGGACGACGAGACCATGGTCCAGACGGTGGATTTGGCCGAGGACGACTGGGTTCAGGTGCTGGGCAATAACAAGCCGCTGGAGGATGACGATGATGATGATGATGATGATGATCCCGAGTTGGATGAGTTGCCGCTTTGGGTGGAGATCAAGAAGCAGGTTGCAATCTTGCGGGAGGGCATGGAGGACAAGACTGCGTGAGTGTACTTTTCGGTGTTGAAGATGGGGGGTTTTTGGGACGAATCAGGATGAGATCCTACAGATTGACCGATGGATCACAGGGCGTGACAGCAGAAATGTATCGAGAGACTCGGCGGTTCCTTTATTGTTCAACTTCCTTTTCATGCTAGACAGCCAGTAATCAAATCATAAATAGCAGATACGGGAATCATGACCCTCCTATTCATCAGGTATCAAACGTTGCAAGACAAGTAGCGTAGACCAAAGGCTCAACGCAGAAATGTGAGCTAATGTGCAGTTCAATACTCTTCTCACAAAATCCAGTCTTCAAACACGCGAGTGGTGCAATAGAAAGAGCTACCGAAGAGGCATAATCAACCGTAGGACACTGACACCGGCATAGGACAAACCTCTGAAAGTGTCGGCGGCGACAATGACACGTCAAGTTTGAAACCTGCATTGGTAATGAGCTTCAATATCTGAATCAACGATCCATGGCCAGATCAAGAAAACTTACGTTTCGGGGGAGTTTGTTATCTCCTCGAATGCCTGCAAAACATCAAATCCCATCGCCACGAGCGGCTCATACGCATCGTCCACAACCTGCACCACATTAGTCTTCGAACAAACAACAATAGATACGAGTCAAAATATACCCAGCTCAGCACCGACTTTGTCGCCTTGTGGCCCTTGTTCTGTCGAACGCCCATCAACGCAAGGCCCTGCAGCACCAACGTCGAAAGAGGCGCTGGGGGCACAATCGGGGCCAGGAGGCCGCCAATGTCTTGTCCGAGAGACACCAGTGGCGGAACGTAACGAGCCAGGGGGCTGTTTGGCCTGCAGATGATAATGGTCCCCAGCAGGTTTCCCGCCGCGTCCTTGGCTCGCACAATGCCACATGCCTTGCTCTCCTCTAGGGCGGTTCGGTAGAGCTCAAGAACCTCCGGGTTTGCGTGCGTTCGCACATGGTGCATCACGGTATCTCCGCTTTCTACGCCGTAGATTAAGTCGAAGCTGATGTTGGCCCGCTGGATGCTCTGCGACAGGCCCTCGGGCGCATACCAGGCACTCAGATCCTGGATGACCATGTTGGTAAGCCGCCGCGGGAACTGCGTGTCCCATCCGCTGTTGCTGAACCATTCCTTGGTCGTCGTCACTTCGATATCGAGAGGGATTCCTAGGAAGAGAGCGGGAAAACATGACCCCAGCTGGACCTTCTTGATGCCTCTCTGTTGAGTCAAGCTCTTGATTGCTCTGCGATGAAGGGACCGGCCGATGGACATGTTCCGTTTGGTCGGGTCGACAATGAGCGCTCCGAGGATGCCCACGTTCTGGACAAAATATGTCGCGGCAAAGCCATACAGGGCTTGCGTGCTGCTGTTTCGCACAACGAAATGGGTCTCCTTGATGTTTTGGTTGGCAAGCAGAAAAGTATCTGCGGTTGCGGTCTGCAAGTAGCGGAAATCCTGGTCACTGGCCCTGTGCACGGCCCGGATGAGGTCGTTCAGCCCCTTTCTATCTCGGCTGCTGTCAAACTCCTCCACCAGCCAATGCTGTCGAGACTTGAGGACCTTTTTGCTCTTCCGGAGGGTGCCCGGCATGGTACCGACGGGGTTGCTGTCTCCGACCAACGCCCGGACCAGAGCAGCCATGGCATTTTCCGTGAAGTCGTACGTGCAGATGTAAGTGCCTATGGACTTGTCCATGGCAAAGTCGTATGGCGAGCTCACGGCTACTACAATGAGCTGCTTCTTTTGCCCTCTGCTGCGAAGCATGGAGCACATCATGTCGACATGTTTGGTGAAGCCGGCCTGATACAGGTTTCTGTTTGCGTCGGCCGTGAAGATGATGATACACGACGCTCTGTTGATGAGGTTCTCGTGCACTGTAGAACACATTTAGTATATACCATCTTGTCTTCCAATCAATCCACCTATATCTTACCTGGTCTTACTCCGTTGGCAGTGTAGCTAGTGTGCAGTAGCTTCTCGTTACGGTATCTTGCCAAGGTCTTCCCAAACTCTCGAAAGACACCTTCGCCACTCATGATGGCGCTTCTCTCCCGGATCTGGTGATTCCACCTATCGTGCTCGGTGCTGACCAAAGAGGGATCGTTCTTCGACTCGAGCAAACTCTTGGTCAGTGATGAAGCAGGCAGTGGCTTGACCAAGGGGGTCAGCAGAAGCAGCTCCTCGCCGGGATGCATCGAAAGGGAAAGAGGCAGCAGCTTCTCCTTGTCCCGCACAATGGTGATGGAATCGTCGTAGGCTCGCCGAGATAGAGCTAGGTGAGAGGGGCGAATCTGCGAGAGAAGGTTGATTCCCGGAGGGTTCAGCGCTTTCGCCCAAGAGGTGCATGTCGACTTGAGGTGAAAGATTCTCTTGAGAGAGGTGAAGATTCTCTCCTTTGTAATGATGCCGTTCTCGTAGCCGAGCTTGAGGCCCTTGATGGCTTCCAACTGAACATCGTATGCCCGACAGAGGAGCACAATGTCACATCCGGCCTCTACGGCCATGACGACACCGTTCTGGACACCAAGGTCTTGGCTGAGCGCCTCCATTTCCAGGCATTCCGAGATGGCAACACCCTTGAAGCCGAGTTCGTTCCGCAGGAGATCGTCAACAACCTGGTCCGATAGACAGGCATGGCTCACATTCATGGAGGGATTAGAGATGCCACAGCCGCCAATGAACATGGCATCAAGCTTGCCGGAAGCAATAGCGTTCCGAAAGGGTACCAAAGCACTGAGGCTCAGCTCCTCCAGTGTCTGGGTAATGATGGGAACATCCAAGTTGGAGCCAAGAAAGTCGAGGTTTCCATAAGAAGGGAAGTGCTTTCCACACGAGGCCACACCAGCATCGCGGATCCCGCTCAGGGCCGCCAGTCCATACTGCGATACCTCCTGGGGGTCGTCGCCCGAGGCTCGCACTCCAATGACTTGATACCGCGCATTATTTAGTACGTCCAGCACCGGGCCGAGCATGAGATTCACACCGCAGGCCGAGATCTCGGTCGCCGTCGCCTTGTTGACTTCATACGACAGTTCAAGACTGCCGGTGGCGGCGATGGCCATGGCACTGGGGAACTGGCAGACAAAGTCCTCGTCAAAGAGGCTGTTGACGCCGCCATTCTCCTGATCGACGGCAATGAGAAGCGGCTGCGGATGGCCAGAGTTCTTGGCGATCATCTGGAGCTCCTGGACGAGCAACGCAGTGTGATGGGCCGCTAATTGGCCAGTTAGCAGGACTGCCCCGGATCCACAACAGACGTCCATATAAGCGTGCGCAATGAGGCATGTAAGAGGGGACGGAGCTCATCGGTCATGTGAGATATATGCATCAAGCAGATGGGCCACTTACACTTGAGGTTCTTGGCCGTGAGGATGATGGAGCCGAGGTGGTGATCCTCAATGAGGCTCCTAATTTGAGGCGTAACTTGGGTGCCATCCCAGCCCATGAGCATCATCTGCCCTATCGCCCTGTATCGGGGAAACGAGAAGGTGTCAGCTCATGATGTCGTCGGTTGCTAAGTCGCCATGTAATAAAAACCCCGGATTCCAAGTGCGAGTTATAAAAGGGCTGCAAAAGCAGCACAGTGAAGGCCGAGGGGTCAATGGAAAAGGCATCAAACGATGAGCACATACCAGTCGAGATTCTGCCATAGCGGATCCAGGTCAAACTTGTCGGCAGAGGAGCCGCCGATGGAGTTGGCCATTATGACGGAAGAGACGCAGCGCTCGTCATCACCTCCCAAACATGGCAGTTCCAGAAGCACCGCGGCGGCGCTGGTGGTCGCAAAAGGGCGAGCGCCTCGGAGCAGCTCAGACGACGAGGCTCGGCGATAAAGCGACGATGGCGTCTCTTTCTTCCCCACGATGCCCAGCAGAAAGAAGAGCCTCCCCGACGGCTTGAGTTATACTGTTATCGGATATCCTCAGTCCGTACTCTGGCCACGAGTGCACCAGTTTACACCAGACCACAGGCACAGAGGCTTATCCGTCGTCTCAGCTGGAGGCCCATGTCTCGAGCATCGTCGCTCAGGCGAGGCCCGTCGGTCGCGGTTGGAACCTATCCGGCGTATTGTCGGCTAATCAGCTGATTATGGCAGCGGGGGCGTTTCAATCCACTGTTCATGATCCTTCCGGCCTGTTGCGGTCGAGGCTCCAGGGCTCAAGGCTCCCGTCTACAGTATCACCTCCAGGCTGCAAGATTAGGTGGCCACGAGCTAACACTACGGGAGACCAGGCTGCTTGCTAATCGGCTCTGTGAAGCAGTTGAGCAGGTACTGTAAGGTATTGGTTTGGTTCTACTATGGAACCTTGATTGCATCGAATGAATGGCAAACAGAAGTTCTGGCAGCGCTGAATAGCGGCACGCAGCACGGCTAGGTACCTAGGTACCTAGTACGTGTGATGCAAACAGAAGCAGCTGCAACTGTCTCGAGATTCCGCATAGAATCGGGTGAAGAAGCATGAGCATGAAGAAGCACCAGACTCTGACACCTCGGCGGAGTCGCTCCGAGCCTCCAGCATCAATGTCCAGCCAAGATGCAGCGGCTCCTCCAGGATTCAATCAGTTCAGTTCCATCCGTAGCATGTGGTGTGGGCTGCTGCTGCTGCTGACATGAGATGGTACAAAGTACCTTACATGCATTCCGCCCAGATCCCGCCAGTATCGGATCCAACGTTACATGCCCGAGCACCGCAATCGCCACCGTTTCAACAGCCACCACCAGTTTTGACTATACTGTAAGTACATCTTGGACGTCCATTTTCAATACCTACCAAGGTACTAGTAGTAGGCGGATCAATTGGGCGAGACGAGGTAGCAGCAGGACCGGGGCGTACATGCGCATGTCCCCAATCATTGAACCTCTCTATCATGCATACGGCAATTTCCAGTTATAGTGCTGGCATTGGTCTGGAATACCTACCTGGTCGTGAAGCATCATAGCGTCAGAAACGGTGCCGTTGATACGCACAACTTCAAATCGTCAAAAGGCTTATATAGGTAGATGGCCACAGCGCACAATAGACTGAGCTTCCATTGACGGCACCGTTTCAGAGCAGCCAACCAGAGGATATTCCCCCGGTCAAGGCAGGTAAAAAGGCAAAACGACACCTCAAGCGACAAGAACACAAAAGGTGAACCAACCCCATCAAGCCATCCGCTTATTAGCACCACGCCCTACAAGACGCCACCCAAGCTCCAGTCTCGAGACAACAACGACACAGTAGGTAGGTAACCTCGCCATCAATCCTGTAGGTACGTCATGCCACGCCAAAATGTACAGCCAAAGTACTCTCATAACGGCTTCGCCAGATCTCTTTGGTGCAACTGGCACGGCATTCTACTACTGTAATGGATCACCCACCCCCCGTCCACTCGGGAAGCTCCACCGCGAAGGCACATGGCACCGTGACCTTCAGCGATAGGTGACGAGATTTCTGCTTCTGTCTCGTTCCTTTGACGTCTGCCGTTTCTGCTGGCTTTTTGCTCCATAATAGCTGGCATGGTATGTATGTACTACCTCTTTAGGCGCTTGCTACCATCGGACGCTAAATCGGCGTCATGGTTCATACCTAGGAGAAGTTTACTTACATGTCCAATGTGTGTGTATGCATGTACATGCCTTGCTTGACTCGGCCGGAACCAAGCGGAGTGAGAAGTGGTGTGAGTGGTGTGTAAGAAGGCGTTGTCATAGTAAGGTAACGAACAGGAAAAAGAAAAAAGGCGTATATACTTCTCGGGTCAAGCTCTCGGCGCGTGGAAGCTGCTCTTTTTTCTGTTTTGCTATGGAGCCAACATCACACTGGACCAGGACTTGCAGTCCTCCTTCTCTCAGAGCATCCTCCCTTCCGCAGCACCCTCCTTGAAGACAAGAACATTTTTAACAAGCATTTTGATAAAAAGGAAATATAAGCATTTTATTTTTGGGGGAAAGAAGAACAAGGAGAGGAAAAGAATCTCACACAATACTCATCCTCTGCTCAAAGCTGAGCGCCAGACAACACCACCAAGATGCCGATAGCTCTATCTCCTCCCTTCCGGCCAAGGCCTGGCCTGACCAAGTTCACCAACTGCCGCCTCCTGCGCGGCGACAAGCTCGTCCACGAGGACCTCTGGGTCAGCTCCGTCTCCGGCAAGGTGGTCAACAGCCAGGCCGCCTTCTTCGACGACCTTGTCCTGCCGGACCAGACCATCGACCTCGGCGGTCGCATCGTCTCGCCCGGCTTCATCGACGTGCAGCTCAATGGCGCCTTTGGCTTCAACTTCTCGACGCTGCTCGACGACATGTCGCAGTACGGCAAGAAGGTCAAGGAGGTCCAGAAGCTGCTCGTCCAGACGGGCGTCACATCCTACAATCCCACCATTACTAGCCAGAGGCCGGAACTATACCAGAAGGTGGGTTCATCAGCGCTGATGTGTATACCTTTGCACAGATGATCTCAATTATGTTGAGATGTTGGCCGGGCATACTTGTTCATGTTTCTGCTGTGTTTATATCATGCTATGTATGATTTTCATTTCAAACACAAATGCTGACCGGCATCATTTATATATAGGCCCTCCCGTTCCTGGGACCGTCCGGACACCTGCAAGATGCCGAAGACGGGGCCGAATCCCTCGGCGCGCACTGCGAGGGCCCGTTCCTCAGCCCGACCAAGAACGGCGTGCACAACGTCGACGTGCTGATCGAGGCGCAGACGTTTGAGGACCTCGAGGCGTGCTACGGCAAGCACAACCTCACGCCGCGCGCCGAGGGCGAGCGCATCCCCATCAAGTACATCACGGCGGCGCCGGAGCGCGGCCAGATGATGAAGCTCATCCCGGAGCTCACGGCCCGCGGCATCACCTACTCGGTCGGCCACTCCGAGGCCACGTACGAGCAGGCGTCCGAGGCCGTCGGCCAGGGCGCCACCATGATCACCCACCTCTTCAACGCCATGCGCCCGCTGCACCACCGCAACCCGGGCATCTTCGGCGTCCTGGGCATCGCCGAGAGCCTGCCGCGGCCGTACTTTGGCATCATCGCCGACGGCATCCACCTGCATCCGACCACGATCAAGATTGCCTTCAACTCGCATCCCGACGGCTTCATCCTCGTCACCGACGCCATGCACCTCGTCGGGCTGCCCGACGGCGCATACCCGTGGACCAACGGTGACACGACGTGCAACATTGTCAAGGTGGGCTCCAAGCTGCTGCTCGAGAACTCGGACACGATTGCCGGCAGGTAAGTTGCGTTAAGCAAATCATTCTTTACCCCCCCTTTGATCAGTTGACCAGACGACATATGTCCACAAACATACAACGTACATGTAAGAGTGGGATACTGACACGGCCAACTTCTAGCTCCATCACCCTCCTCGAGTGCGTCAACAACTTCCTGCAATGGACAGGCACCGGCATTCCTCACGCCCTCAGGGCTGTCACGGCCACGCCCGCGGCCATGCTGGGCCTCCAGGGCGTCAAAGGATCGCTCGATGCCGGTGCTGACGCCGACTTGGTCATCTTGTCCGAGAAACAGACGCCCGGTCAGCCCAGCACTCTGGTCCTGGACGAGGTGTGGAAGTTTGGCACCAGAGTTCACCGAGCTGTTCACGATTCGTAAGGGTGACGATGTGATGGGAAGGGGAACGCCGGAAATGGTTACTTGACCTTACGCAACCGGCCATGGGTCTCGTGGACTGGATGGGTTCCGACGGAATGATTGAACGAGTCGACCTGCATCTGACTGCTGCAGGTAATATTTTCCACCCGCCAAACACAACACTCACACATTACATGCAACAAAATGAAAAGGCACGGGTGTTTCCTTTTCTGTTTCGCTTCTCTGTTCTATAGATTGGGCATTTACTTTGAAAATTGCTGGGCGTCATTAGCAGATCCGCATTAGGTACCTTTTTCGTTGCACACAAAAGAAGAAAAAATGAGAAAATTCGCGAAGAAACACAAGGCAATACCGCTAGAAATGAGTAAAGATCAAGACCATCTGGAGGGCCCCGGGCAGAATAACTCGCCAACGGGGCAATAGTCGCAGTCTGTTCTGCAAGGGTTCAAGGAGTCAGTCCGTCGGTCGGGGCTGGAAATACTTTGCAATGCTGCTGAGCTTTTCCGTGTGCTGCCCTTGTGTGAAGTTGAACGCACGCTGCTGAGCCGAACCCCCGTCAGGTCAGCTTCCGCTTCTTGCTGAGACATGCTTCAGGGCCGTCAGAATCCGTCATCGTAAGACTTCATTTCTGGCAGGTTCTGCGGATGGCCTGGAAGTTATGCGATGCTGACGACTCCGTCCCCCTATGATGACAGAAATGCGTGAGGAATCACTTACGTATCACCATTTCCATCCTCATCGCCAAGCCCAGCATACAGTAAGGTACCTACCTAAGGTGCTGTATAATAGTGCAACTCGCTTCTCGCGTCTCCTTTGGCAAGCATTCTGCCTGCCCATGGGGTAAAAAAATGGCGCCAGGCGAGCGAAAGAAGCGAGTGCCGACCAACCGCGGGAGCAGATTGCTGGTCTAGTGCGCTGAGAACCCCGGACTTTGACAAGCTGAGGGGGTTCCAGAGTCGGAGTGGCGAGGCAGGGGGGGAGGGTGGAGAGGAGGAGGAAGAGGAGGAGGAAGAAGAGACACATGTCGCGAGTTCAGGTCGCCGAGCTGTCGGTGAGCTTTTGTAGGTTCTTATTCAGGGAAGAGGTTGGAAATTGATCACACAAGGCAGACACCTCGACATGCAGGTACCTAGTAGATACCGAGTGCATATGTAATCTGGGCTGATTTGATTGGAAGATAGAGCTGCTGCAGCATCGTGGAGGCAGGAGCCATGGGATCAGGGTTGACGAGATAGCAGTGGATATTGCACGTGTACCTTGTGTAAGGTAGGTATCTACTGATAGCTGCTCGCAAGATAACGGGAGCGTCAAATCACGACGCAGAGATATGGGATGGATCGACCTGCTCAGTAGCCTCGATAGCAGTTTCGTTGATTGCAAATGCTGCGTTACCAAGACCCCGATTGTTATCAGCACTGCACATCCAATCCCATTTACACCAGGCCGATACTAGGTAGGGACTCCCGCTGAGCCGAATGCCTCAACAACACCATGGGCATGTCTCCAGACTCCCAAGTCACATACCTTCCAAGTTATTAGCGAAACTCCAGCTGCATGTCACCAAGCAGCGCTCCGAGGCAGCACAACCTCCGTCTCCTCTTTCTGCTGCAGTGCAACGGCCCTAGTGACCTTTTTTACACTTCAAAATCAATCGCATGGCGGGGTTTTCCGCCCGTCCATTTTTTTCTACCCCAACTCCCCCGGCTTTCCCAGCGCTCTAGACTCCAGAGCGTTCAAGCGTCAAAGTGCCTGCAGAGCGTCTCGCGACGCCAGTCCGCGTGCCTCCAAGCCTCCAGCCTCCATCCTCCATCCTCCAGCCATCCCGCCTCCACTCCCCAGGGCTCGGCGCCCACTGGAGCACGACCGGCCGGACTCTGAAATGAACCGGTGTCTACCTACATGTAGAAAGAAGCCCTTTTTCCCATTGAGTCAAAATCACCAGACAGCGTTCGGGTTCGCTCCCACACACACTCACACACACTCACACACGCACACACCCGACGCGGCGCCTGCTTAGAGTGGTTGCACCCTCCCGCCTCTACGCCGCACTGCACTAGGTGCGCTGCACTGCGCCCTAGGTACCTACCTACATAGGCACCTTAGCACTGTCGGGTCCTGGCACCAGACCCTGTAGCAGCAAGACGCAGGGCTCCAGGCCCCCCCGAACCGGACGTCGCTTCGGCCCTATCGCTGCTGTCCCGTGCCTGGAACCTCCATCGTCTCCCCATCTGCGTTTCTCCAGCTGCTTCTCCAGACTTTTGCTGCCGGGCGTCACAGCCGCTGCCTCTGCGATCCCCGACCTCGATCCTCGCCTCTCCCACACCCAGCATCGGCTGCGGCCTCGACGTCTGCGTTGTCATCTCGTCTCTCACCACCTCCCTCCCTCCCTCGCCTTACGCCCTCTCGACCGTCTCCCGTTCCAGCAACCTCGTCTGCGACTCGATGCCTACGTGCTGCGCCGGATGATGCCATGGCTGCCTTCAACTCCATGCCGGCCATGCCTTCAGTCCCTGCGGCGCCCAGCGATGCGATGGGGATGAATCACGGCCCGCCCCAGCCCATGACCATGGACTCATTCGATCCCGACCTTGGCTTTCATGATTCTCTGCTGTATGTCGTCCGCCTGTTTCGCTGGCCTTTTCCGTGGCGCGGCTGCGAACCGCTTCCCGCGCTCACCTCAGCCCATTCCACCCCCCTTGCACGTACAGATCTGCCGCTAACACCTCGGCAACCGCATCCAGTGATGGCAGCGCGCTGGCTCCTCTACCTTTTACGCCCTCGTACGAATTCGACAACTTCGTCACCACCTTCGAAGATCCCTTTTCCTATTCATCCCGCCCATTCGAGCCCGTCACCAATCAAGATGTCGCCAACGACGAGGCTTCTCCCCAGGAGCTGGACAACAAGCTCCTGGGCTTCTCTGACCCGACCATGCACGCGACTATTGTGGATGAGGCGGGAGCCTTTGCAGACCTGAGCATGACAGCGGAGCTGTACGGCATGTTCTTCGTTGCCGAGGATGTGTTTGGCGGAGAGAACACCGGCCGGCCGCTGGAGTTGACGTGCTATCGTCGCAATCTGTGGCAGTGTTCGGGCCAAATCACGCTTCCCCGGGTGGTGAACAATGTGATAGACGAACAGGGGCGCCATATCGCCATCACGGAGCTGTCGGCATCCATAACAGGCTTGGAATCGATTGAGGGAAAGACCGCCGAAATCATTACCATACCGTGGAAAGGCGCAACGCCTCAGCTCGAAGAGAGCAAGATCGCCGCGGCTCCCCCCAACCTGACTCTCGACCTGACCACCGGGCGGGAAATTGACGCCAACAGGGTCTCTCTGCCTGTCTCGTGGAAGAGGCTGCAGTTTAAGCATGCCACCGCCAACAACGGCCGGCGAAAGGGGCTGCAGCAGCATTACGTAGTGCAGATCAATCTGCTGGGCAAGACAACTACGGGGGAGGTCATCAAGATTGCCGAGATCCAGTCGGGCCCCGTCATTGTTCGAGGGCGGAGTCCGCGCAACTTTGACAGCAGAAAGGATGTCCACCTCACGGGCGACAAGAAGCTGGAGAGGAGAAACACGAGCAGCACCGACAACCCGACTCCGAAGACTGAGCGGGACAGTCTACTTGCTTCCTTGCCGAGATACCCAACTGTAAGTGCGACCTCGTGGCATGGTCTTGACGTAGAAGCCTGCTGTTTCATGCTTGGTTTATGTTCCCGATCAAGGCTAAGGCTAATGCTGGCATGTTCAGTCGAACGGAAACGAATGGGCTACACCGCAGGCTGTGCCTCAACCCACCCAGAGCCCGCACCCGGCGAAGCGCATGGCTCTCTCTCCCACAGTTCTGCCCCCCGTCCCGGCCTGGACGGTCGACAACCCTACAAACAAGCCTCCTCCACCCACTCACAGAAACTCATTTTCGCGACCGCCAAATCCCGCGGTCCCCATTACTCTGTCGCTGTCAGAGGACGAAAAGAGTCCCAACAGATCAAGTGCTGAGCTGCAGAGCCCACAGCTGTCCAAGGCCTACCCGGCGAACGGTCAAAACGCCAGCAACAGCCCGGCCGAGGAAGCAGATCCTCTCTACGAATACTTTCCCCTTAGTGTGGACGACTGGTAAGGAGACCTTTGAGGGCGTCGATGGGAATTGCGAGACTGACATGTGCCCAGGATGCCGCCTGTCGACGCCGTATATCGGCCGCATATTGTGCACCACACCATTGCGCCCCCAGAATTCAAGGCTCAGCAGATCAGCCGTAAGGTCAAGCGCTACTTTACTGCCGATTAGATGTCGATTCGCGGCTGCGTATCTCGAACACACTAGAAGTGCATTCAGTCACGGCGAAGATTTCACAGTGACATTTTCTTTTTTTTTACGACATCACGAAGCCGCATCCTACGGGCCGCAGCGTTTCATTGTATCATAGTGCGGGTTCTTCCTCCCATCTATTGCCCGGGGGCCCGTGAGTTTTAGGGATTTTGTTTAGTCGTGGGCTATTTTTTTTTCCATTGACCGGCATGACTGGGGCATGGCAGGGATATTATACCCGGGAATTTTTGCTGGCTTTCTGCTGTTGCTTTCTTTTGGATTTTCTTCCTCGGCTTGTGTCGTCCGAGTCGTGGGGTCAAGGGCATGTCGAGGTCAAAAGAATATGTAAATCATTCGTTTAGAAATGCGGTGTCGGGTGCTGGTGTTTTATTCGAGGGGGGGAATGCTGTGTTTTATTTGCTCATGATATAGGTTATAGTGTGCTTCTTCTGAACATTTCGAGATGTTTGACCAATGCGATGTTGATATAACATGATTTGTGTCATTGGCAGGCCTCAACTCACAAGCCCAGCCAATGCACCGCCAAATGGAACGTAGCCCCGTGGCGGTTCCATTTTGCAAGACCCGGCACCGGCCAGGGTTCGGCTTTGCGGTAATGCCAGACAGCAGCAGCATCTTGGTTACATTACATCAAAACAATAATCAGCTTGTCATGTCGTCTTCCATAGGTACCGAGTACAAGTATGACGTGCATGTCTCATCCCGTCAGGCCCGTGCCGGAATAGGCACTCCCAACCCTGGGAGCCCCGATGACGACTCGATGTCTCGAGACAGGTCAGCGCTCGAGGACACCAAGATATTAGTATGGACACGTAACATACAGTACAAAGATTGAGAGGACGAGACAACATTCACTTTCAAAACGCTCAACAGTTTTGCTAACCATTTTTTGTATTTCTGTTGTGGTATATATACCTATATATACATCATATCAATGCCCATTTTAATCAAAACCCAGAGCAGCAGCGTCCATCCATACGAGGTTGTATAAACGAGAGAATGATAATCAAAAGCGAGAGCCAAAACACCCATTCTAAAACTCCAGTAATTCCCAAACCTCCCCCAGCCCCTTTCATCACTCCATCTAAGCAGTAATGGGGTTCTGAACAGTCTGCTGCTCAGGGTTCGGCGTCAGCCTGTCCGTCAGGTGTGGCTCGGGGATCCGGGAGGCCATGCGGTCCGGCACCAGGTCCGGGGACACGGACCGGATCGGGTACTCGGTCGCCGGGGTGGCCCGGAGCAGGCGCGAGGTGGTGGGCTGGGGGGCGAGGATGGTGGGCGAGGACACCTCCTCAACCTTTGTCTGGGGGACGGGGCCGTTGCCGGTGCGGACCTTGGACGGCAGGATCTGCTCGAAGCCGGCGTCCATGGCCACTTTCTCGATGCTCTTGAAGTACTGCGTAGATTATCAAAAGTCAGCTTCATGCAGCAGCGAGATAAGATATGGATGTATACAAAGAGAGAGAGTGTGTGTGTTTGTTTGTGTCTCTTACCTTGACCGTCTTGACCTTGAGCTCTAGCGTGGCATCCTCATCCACCACAATCATGGGGTGAGGGTGGAGCTGCAGGCTGGACAGCGTCCACATGTGGTTGACGCCCTCCTCAATGCACTTCTGCAGAGCAAGCGACTTGCGCTGGCCCAGGATGATGACGACCACCTCTCGTGCCTCGAGAACCGTCTGGACACCCACGGTCAGGGCCATGCGAGGCACCTTGCTAATGTCATGGTCAAAGAAGCGCGAGTTGGCCAGGATGGTGTCGTAGGCCAGCGTCTTGACGCGGGTGCGGCTGGCCAAGCTGGAGCCGGGCTCGTTGAAGGCAATGTGGCCGTCCTCGCCAATGCCCGCGAGGAACAGGTCGATGCCGCCGGCCCTCTTAATGGCGTCCTCGTAGGCGACGCACTCGGCCTCCAGGTTGGGCGCGTTGCCGTTGAGGATGTGCACGTTGGACGGGTGGATGTTTACGTGGGAGAAGAAGTGCTTCCACATGAAGGTGTGGTAGGACTCGGGGTGGTCGCGGGGGATGCCCACGTACTCGTCCATGTTGAAGGTGATGACATTTTCAAACGAGACCTGGATGGATGTGCTGTTAGCTAACCCACAGCTTGCAGGCTCATTTGGTCTATGTTGATTGCTTTCTGCTTACCGCGCCGGCCTTGTACTTCTCAACCAGGATCTTGTACACGCCTAGGGGGCTGGAGCCGGTGGGCAGGCCGAGCACGAAGGGGTTCTCGGCAGTGGGGTGGAAGGTGTTGATGCGGTTGATGATGTAGTTGGCGACGTAGGTGCTGGCGCCCTCGGCATCGTCACGGATGATCAACCTCATGGTGAAGGAGGGTATTTAACCGTTTGGAGGAGAGAGATGAAGAAGAAGAAGATGATGATGATAATGATGTATGTGAGGGATAACGGGATATTGCAGCTCCGGGGAGGTCGGAGGCCGAGTGGTGAGTGAGTGAGTGTATGAGTAAGATACCTATGGATCGATATGGATGAGGATTAGGTGAGTGAAGAAAGGTGCTGATGCCTCTGCCAGATGATTCACTTATCAGGGAAGAGAGGAGAGAGGAAATTTGCTTTAAAGAATTGGAAAGAGAAACTTTTTTCCACAAGAGAGTGAAAAGAAGGGCAGGCAACCGGCTCCATGGCTTAAAGAGCCCAGTTTCCATAGGAGGGGAGGAGGGGCTCCCCTTCGAGGGAAGCGACATGCAACTTTGCCCACAGGGTCCTGAATCGGAAGAGCGCTTGAGACAAAAAGATGGTCATGTCATCCAAAGGGTACTGAGGATTTACCTAACCGCTACAGTATGCTGCTTGCTACTACATGCACCCTATCCGGGACGGCGTTTACAGACACATGGGACAAGGCGATAGAGTTACAGGCGCCTCCAAGGCGGAACCTGACGGAGGCGGCGGGAGGAACAGGTTCGAGGGGGGGGGGCGTGTGTGTGTGTGTGTATGTGTGTCTTGCAGTACTCAGGCAGGTAGCTGTCAATTCTTGTGTAAGTCGGAGAGGTGACGGACATGTACCGCACTAACAGCTGCCGAACCGCAGGTGCAGCGGCCGACTAAGGACCGTCCAGAGGTGCCATGTGAGCCGCGCTGGGAATGTTAGTGGGCCGGGCACTTTTCGGGGAGGGATCGAGTGAGTAAAGTGTGAGTGTGAGTGTGAGCGTGAGTGTGGCAATGGAGAAGACGAGAGAAGAAAAGAAAGGAAAACTGGGCTCGATGGAACGTCACGGCATGCTTCCATCGCTTGCGCGCCACCATCGACGGTCCCCCGTAGCGGCAATTTGCTAAAGCTGGAGCAGCTTTGAATTGAAACTGGTGGGGAGCGAATAACATCATTGATGGGTAATACTAATGAGAATGAATGCAATGCAATAGAAACGAGAAGTTTGGCAGGCTTTGATGATGCTGATGGAGCCCTTTCCAAAGGTATTGGCTGTCTCTAATACAGCGGCATCACATCACGATTATCGACTTTGTTCGACTCGAGCGAAAGGCGAGAATTGTCTCAATGCTGCGGCACTAGAAATGAGAACGTCTAAAACGGACGGAGCTAGCCAAGATGCCTCCGTTTCGACATCCGTCTCCCGCTGGGGCAGCCAATCAGAAGCCACTTTTAGCCGTAAAACGACACGAAAAGTGAGAGCATCGTCATCCATAGAGCTCCTCCCGGCAACCGGGGCATGGAGCGTGTTATTTGCACTCCCGTCTTGTGGACTGGCATCTGCCATCAGGGTTGATCAAAAGTGGCCACTGCCGGATCGGTGGTACGTGACAGACGACGTCCAACGTCTCCAGACCCGGTGGTACTGTACTGCATGTACATACATACTAAGGAGGTCCTTGTTCGAGCACAGACATCGGCAAGACGGAGGCGACGGGAGGTTTATCAAATTGATGTTACTTACACCCATCAAAGCCAGCGGGGCCGCTTCGAAATGCGTCTGCGAAATGATGTCGATGCGATGCAGCACGAATCATGTCATCCGACTGCTTCAACGTTCCAGAGATCCATCCATTGAGAAATGGGCCACAGTACCTAACAGCATTCCTTGGCCTGTCGCAATTCTTCAACGCTGGCCAGTCATTCATGACTGTGACTCCAGGTCATCGTCCGACTCGCCTGCTGCTTTAGCAATATTTTCTGCTGCCGCTCCACGGGGTGATGCGAGTATTGTCTCATATCATCTCATTGTACCCGTCGCGCCCAGAATGCTGTCCCCGTCAACAGGCCATTTTGCCGTCGTATTGTGCTCCGGCCATGTATAACACGCTGAGACACCGAGGCAACATTGACGTTCGTAACGTGTACCGCACTCGTAACGCAAGCAATGGCGAGTAGCATCGGTAAACTCTCGTACGAGCGCATCGGCGATTGGATGCTGATGACCTTTGTGTGCAATGCGAGACTGCAATAGTACTCGTGCGTATGGACTTGTGCAACTGTGCTCGCAATGTCATGGTTCATCCGAGCATCCAGCATCTCAATCGACGAGGGTTAGACGATCTTATGAATGGCTCAGGAGTACGCTCTCGGACATGACATACCGTCGATACCACCCTGCTCCGTACGGAAGATGCTAAATAGAGCAGGAGCAAGGTTATGAATGTGCTTATCCGCGCGATCTACTGGACCGCACACCATGTCCAGGCGTCTAGATGCAATCATGGGCGTCTGTTAGACTACATGTACTAGTAGATGAGGTTGTATCTGGCATCCATGATAGTACTATCAAGTGCGGCTTCTTATCTCCATGTCTCTATCTTTACAAAGAATCATGCATTGATGAAGTGCCAGGCCCTTGGAGACGGGATAGGAAGGCGCTTGCAGCCGAGGCAAGGCGTGAAGCTGGGGCGAGTGTTTCGAGATTGAGGTTTAGCGTTTGTGCTATGATGCATGGCTCGACGATGCGACTACTAGTAGTGATACCACTTTCTCTTGCGGGACGCATACCGGCCGAATTGGCTCGGGAGTACTATCAAACATACCTAGGCACGAGGAGACACAATCCTACCTTGCCTACCTTGACGTTCTCCGCCCAACGGGATATGATGCTATGAGATGCTCGTCCCACGAGGAGAGACACGCCTCCAGCCCTGATCCGCCGTTGCTGGCTGAACCGCTCAGCCGATTGCAACTTGGAGCAATAATTTGATGGTACCGTAGCTGATGACCTCCAAGGCCAACTAGTGGTCGTTCCACCCTCTCTTAAAAAGGCGTGCTCCCAGAGAAGTCAGAGCCGGGGGGTTGACTCCTTGATGGAGGAAATGCAAGGAAAAGACGAGTTGGAGGCGGATTGAGTTTGGAGAAGAGACAGGTCGAGGTACGTACCGATTTGGAGACGGGAGTGATTGGGGGAGACGTCCGCTTTTGGCATGGATCGATCTTAAGGGGCGCTAGGTACGGATTGGAGGTAAGGTAACCTGCCTTAGGTAAGGCACCTAAGAAGAGAGAATGGGACCTGATGGTGCGCAGCCTCACTGCAGTTGATCAGCGCCAAAGAGGTAATTGATGCATCTGAAATGGCAGGGATGCATCAGGACAACCATACCGATGGACTGATGCGCACAGCTAGAATACGAAAGGATGGTTCTTTCGGTACGGAGTAGGTAGACAGGTAAATTGTTATTACAAGTAACATCAGCTCCAATAATTGTAGTATGTAGGTACCTATGTACCTTAGGTATGCTACTAACCCACAGCAACCAGCAATTTGCAGCGCAACAGACGCGGCCAATGGCAAAATTTCCCGGGCAGCTGGATCCGTCCCCACCATTGATGACTTAGCAACCCTGGCCATCCCGCCGCTAGTCGCCGTCAAAAAAGAACTGGATCCCTCGACGCTACCAACAGCCTCCGCCGCAACGTTACAACACCACACAACTCGACCCGACTGACTCTATCGCTGTGATTCTCCTGCTCTCTCTCCTGGCTGTCTCGTGTCCTGCAAATGAGGCGCCACACCCCTCCAGCTCCCTCTCCACCCGCTAGGCCGGGCCCCCTTTGGCTCGCTGGAGACGTCGACGTTGCCCTGCGACCCCCTGGAAGCGGCGCCCTCTCACGAATGAAAGCTCAGCCCATCTCGCCATCGGCCTGCCCTCGAGGCCCTTGAGGGCATGTCTTGGTGCCAAAGACGGGGAAACTATGGAGTACATGCGCCACTGCCTTCTTCACCTGCTTCGTATTGCTAGTAGGTGCCCGTTTCGCTGCGGGTGAGCGCGTGCCTGCGCAGCGATGGGTTTGCTACTCTTCGCCGGCTTGTTCCAGCCCGCGATGTGACCCCCCACCCCCATTACCACCAGCGTCCTCCCTTTACTTCTCTCGCCCTTTGCAGAACCGTGTCTCTCGTCTCTAGCCTCCGCCACAGATCTTGTGTGAGGTACAATTCCCTTTCGGAACCGTCCTCTGCCCAGTGGCCTGGATTTCTCCTCCCGGCGAGGGCCATCGATTGACGGCTCCACCGTGCCGTGCGACGTTATTCTGGCTCTTGTCCTGGTCCTGGTCCCGAGCGACGGCGAACAAGCTCTCGGCAGTCTGCACGCGACAGAGCTCCATCCATCCAGCCACAGATCGCCAGCCTTCTGACTAGCCCGCGGCATGCCCTGTAACATTTGCTGACCGGCCTGCCACCATACCTGCCTACCTACACTACCTACCTTACCTTGCATTACATTGGACTCGCAGGGCAAGGCAGAACTAACAGCAGCTGGTTACCTTTCCGCTCGCTCACCTTGCTGTCCTGTGGCCATCCGGACGCTGCCATTCGCCGGCCCTCCGCATTGCCAGCACTCCGACTGCGTCCAGCCCATGCCAGATTGATATCCATCCGACACCCTCTCCATAAACAACAAGGGCGACCTACCACCCATCACCCATCGCGTACGGACTGCTCCGTGCCCAATCCTCGACTCGCCCTGGCCGGACCGCCGCATCTTCTTCCCCATACGACCCTCTTTCTCTTGTCTCGCGACCCTCTTTCTTTCTCACCCCATTGCCAGCTGTGAGGTGGCCGTAGCCCGAGATTGCATCAGCACGGGGGCAGGTTCCATTTCCCCTTCCATCGCTTCGGGTTCCTTTTTACTTGTACCACTCACCATCTCTGCCTTGCGGTGGCCCAACGGACGGCTCTCTACCTATCGTTGTTGCTGTTGCTGCTGTTGCTGCTGCTATTTTTTGCTGCTACCGCTGCTCTGGCTGCTACTGATCCATCAGTTGCCCCCCCTCGAGTCGTGCCTGTCGATCGACCCCAGCCTGACCTCGTGTTGGACGCTTTGTCTTGCATTGCCAAGTCACCCCTACAACATCTTACGACGTCGCCTTCTCCTGGTACAGAGCAGCTTGTACCTCCATCTTCCGGCGCTTCACTTGTCGCGAACCTTCTTCCACCATCACCCTCGTTACTCTGGCTGGTGACCATTATTTACACAACCACGTCCTGCTCATGTCCTAGAGTCCCAAACTATCATTCTTATATCAGCCCTCCTCTCGCTCTAACCCGTTCAGACATTCATACATCCTTCGCCCTCTTTCATCACTTGCCTGCCTTTATATTACTTATGCGATATCCCCCATAATACACTCCAGCCATGGCACAGTTCCGGAAAGCCTTCGTGGCCGCCGTCGTCAAGAGCTTGCTTAGGGGCAAGTCCTTGATACAGGCCATCTTGGCTTACTGGTTATCGGGAAACAAGAAGGACAGCGTCCCAAAGAAGACGCTTCAACAGTTCCTCAAGGATGCCGAGGCTGCGCTGGTCGGCCCCATTAGCGGCAATGGCCTGCAAGAGATCTCGGCCAAGTTGAAGGAGCAGATCTTGGAGGGGCTCAACGTGGATATGCAGTGTATGCTCCCGTCATACAGCCACCAGCTGCCAGCGGGCTCCGAGGTGGGACAATACTTGGCTCTAGACGTGGGAGGATCGACGCTGCGGGTGGCCTTGGTCGAGCTGCGAGGACGGGGGGTCGGTTCGGAAAACGCCACCGAGATCGTGAGCATACAAAACTACCGCATCACCAAGGACGTCAAGGATCTCGAGGGAATGGCCTTTTTCGAGTGGATGGCAGCACGCATCACCGAGACGATTCAGAGCACCCTCAACAGACCACACAGCGCCGAAAACCCCCTGCCGATAGCTCTGGCATGGAGCTTTCCCATCGAGTGAGCATCCCGCTGTTTACTGCGACTCGACTCTGTGTCTGTCTGTCTGAAGCTAACAGAGAAAATAGGCAAACTTCCCTTGGTGGTGGCAGACTTGCGGCAATGGGCAAGGGCTTCTTGGCCGACATTGGCCTGGTCGGGCAAGATCTGGGAGACATTGTTAGGACGGCATGCAAGAACAGAGATTTGCACGTTGAGCTCAAGGCCATCTTGAACGACTCAAGCGCCTGCCTGCTTTCACGGGCGTACTCTCACTCATCGACGCGATTTGGCCTCATCCTGGGCACCGGAGTCAACATCGCCGCCTACCTGCCCGTCTCAGCCATTGGCCGGACGAAATTCGGCGAGCGGCCGGCGGGCTGGTTCGATGAAGCTTCCCACGTCATCGTCAACACAGAGCTCGGCATGTTTGGAGGCAAGATCCTGCCTCTGACCCGGTGGGACCTCCAGCTGCTCAAGGAGCACCCAAGACCTGACTTTCAGCCCCTAGAGTACATGACTAGCGGCATGTACCTTGGCGAGATTGTCCGGTTAATCATGGTGGAAGCGATCCAGACGACGGGCCTTTTGGGCGGCATTCTCCCGCCTTCGCTCACTGGGCTATATTCGCTGGGCACCGAAGTCATCTCCTTGATTGAGGGGTAAGTTGTCGTTGTTCATCCGTCAGCCTGCGCGCCCGACTAACTCTTTTGCCTTTGCAGTGACACCAGCGCCGACCTCTCAGAGGCCATCAGCTGCTTCTCGGAAAAGTACCCTTCATCCCATACCCCCAGCGTTGTGGACATGGGTGCCATCAAGGCGATTGCGTCGTTCGTCTCGGTGCGCTCAAGCGCACTGATTGCCTCTGCCGTCTACGCCCTGTGGGATATCCGCCTGGAGGGCGACGAGAAGTTCCTCTCGACTCTTCCCGAGTCGTCTCCCCTGCGGCACAAGGTCGAGGAGGACATCAAGATGGAGAAGACGACCGTCGCGTTCAACGGCAGCGTCATTGAGCACTATCCGGGCTACCTGGAGAACTGCCAACGGTACATCAACGAGCTGTTGGACACTCACCCGTCCACCCAGCCAAAGGCCATTGAGCTAGTCTCAGCAAAGGAGAGCTCGTTGACGGGAGCTGCCGTAGCATTGGCATGCGTGGACTCATGAGCGGGACCAAGGCCGATGACAAAAACGAACTCCTCACATTCATTTTGTGCTCGTTTCGGTGAAAAACATGCGTTTGCACGCAAGGCATGATACCTGGGATGATGGGTTATGTTTACTGGGATATACGGGGGGTTATGCGAAGGAGATGCATAGAGGCGCCGGGTTTTCAGCATTGCTTCTTTCCATCTGGCTTCAATGCTGGGATTATCCTTCCTTTTTTTGTTGAGTTTTTCCCTAAGAACCTTTGTTTTCTGTCCTCTTTTGTTCTTGGATATGTTTTCTTCCTGATTCCTTGTAATTTTTGTTTTTCATTCTTCTGGGTTTTTGTTAGTGGGCGATGGTTATCGTCGGGAGCATCTGACGGTGGTGTTACGCCTCTGCAAAGAGCGAATGTTGCGTCATGCGTCATTCAAGCTGCGACAAGAAGTATATATATTGCAGTGCATGCATGCCGCTGAGGAAAGAAAAGCATTACCATACATGTACCCTGTTTATGATTGTGCCAGCATTCACAGTTGATGCTCTCAGCCTGGTGTAGGTGGTTGAAGCCTTGGGTGTTGAGTGCCTAGTAGGTATCTGGTCTGCTAATTCCTTACCTACCTTACTGTACTACCTTACCTTACCTTACCTTACCTTACCTTACTTATGGATGGTGTGAATCTGCTTCAACTGGCAGAGTGTCTGGTCTGATAAAAGGTGCCAGAGGACGGGAGTTGGCCAGCGGGGCGCGTTAGACACTCGCGTTTCAAAAGTATCGGAACCTCGGGCGACTGCCGAGTCTTGGTCAATGACAAAGTTCCCAGTACCTGCGCAGGTCATGTGACAGCCTGCCTTCTTCGCGTAAAGAGAGTGTGGGAGCGCGTCTGGCCACAAACAAAGGAATAAGCAGCGACCGGCGATAAGGCGCGCCTCTGCTATTTTTTGGCGACGTCAAACCTTTCGAAGATTGCGATACCTTTCCTCTCTTTTTAATCCTTGACATCCATCTGCCGCGATCACACAGTTGTCTGCGGATCCCACAACTCTCCTGGGCTCAGCATCCGGACTAAGCATCTATGCAGTGTTTTTGCTTGCACCTTCTGCGTTCTTCCGAGTTACCAACCCATAGAGTCGGTTCGCGATACTACAGCCATGCCTGATGACGTCGAGGGCATCTTCGGCGACTGCGCCTTTGCATTCGTGCCCAGCGACTCGTTGGCTCCCAACCTCATTCACAGCGTACGTCGATCGCTCTCCACAGCTCTGGATTTTGCTGCCAAGTTCTAAATCTTTGACCTGCTCGCAGCTCGGGACGATTCTGATAGAGAATGGCGCCGAAATCGTCGAGCCCCGACGCGATGGCTCAATACCAATCGACCGCGTCACGCACATCATCTCCAACACCATCGACTTCCCGCAGTACGTCGAGACGCAGGCCGTCATGATCCCCGTCATCACGACGCAGTGGATCACCGTCTCCATCTCCCGCCGCAAGCAGGCCCAGGTCCGCCCCTTCTCGCCCGATCCCGCCATGATCTTCTCCGAGGTCGTCGTAACGTGCGCGGACCTGCCGCAGATGGACAAGGAGAGCATCCTGGGGGCCGTCATGGCGCTGGGCGGGCAGGAGTCCAAGGACGCGAGCAAGCTGTGCACGCACATTTGCGCCTTGTCGATGGATCATCCCAAGGTCGTGGCTGCGCTGGAGAGGAATTGGAAGGGAAAGATTGTTTTGCCGCACTGGTAAGTCCTGTTTTGAGCATTTCTGGGGCTGCGCGGACTAAGTAGGTTGAACGCCCTTTGGATAGGTTCGACGATTGCTTCAAGCTGGGGAAACGGATCGACGAGAGACCCTATCTTCTTCCCGACCCCGACATTCTGAAACGGGGCGCTGATGAAGATCTCGACATTCCGATGAACAAGAATCTTGTCGGAGCATCATCAGCGAATCCCGAGTTTCTGCCTCTGTCCAGCGACACCTCTTCCAGACCGCCCGTCACCGTTTTTCAGGACAAGAGCATTCTCCTCTGCAAGGATCTTAAGCTGACTGCGCGTCTTGAGAATGCCCTCAAGGACATCATCGAGTATGGGGGCGGTCGGTTGGTGGAGGACGTTGACGAGTGCGATACGCTGATTTGCCGGTACCGAGATGGGGATGAGTACGTGCGAGCCTCTCAGGCGTGCAAGGATGTAGGCAATCTGTCGTGGCTGTACTTCCTCATTGTGCGCAATGAGTGGACGTCGCCCCTGCGCCGGCTACTTCACTATCCCATCCCTAGAGGGGGCATCCCAGGCTTTCAGGACAAGCGCATCACCGTGTCTAACTACGGCGGCGAGGCGCGGATCTACCTCGAAAACCTGATCAAGGCTTGTGGCGCGGAGTTTACTAGGACGATGAAGACCGACAACACCCACCTGATCACGGCCCGCAACTCGAGCGAGAAGTGCAAGGCTGCTCCTGAATGGGGCATCACCGTGGTCAACCACCTCTGGATTGAAGAGAGCTACGCCAAATGCGAGATGCAGCCCGTCAACGTCAAAAAGTACAACCACTTTCCGTCCCGGACGAATCTGGGCGAGATCATCGGACAGACCTCTTTCAACGAGTCTCGGCTCAGGGACTTGTACTACCCCGGAGGCGAGCGCACCATGTCACCAAGCGCCAAGAGGAAGAGGAAGATACTCGAAGCTGCCGAAAACAATGCGTATTCGCATGGCCCGGCTGAGGGCGTGGTGATTCCCGAGGCTGGGCAGAAGAACCTCGATGTTATGGAGTTGGACAAGGAGGAGGAGGAGGAGGAGACGCCCGCTTCAAGGAAGAATCGGCGAGATGCGCAACTCGTCACTCCGGCACGCTCCCGGCCTGCACGCGCCGATAAAGAAAACGAGACGCCCATGATCATGTCGAGCGGCGGACGTAGCGCCAAGTCGAAAGCCATGGACAAGCTCTCGTCCATTGCGCCGGATATTGCTCTCTACGAAAAGGAGAAGAAGAGGACCAGCAAGCCGGGCACTCCCTTTGGAGGCAAAAAGGCTGCAGAGCTGACGGAAAAGGAAAAGGGGAGCGCAAAGAAAGCAGTCGCCCGCAAGGACGGAGACGACGAAGAGCGTCCGGCCAAAAAGTCACGGCCTTCGCTGCCGGGAATCGAGATGCGCATTATTCTCACGGGATTTCCGAGATGGGTGGACAACCAGACCAAGGAGGATCAAGATCGGGTGAGTCTATTCAAAGCTCTTCTGTTGCCATCCCTGACCCCTCCTCCTCCATCGGCTTCACTAACAAGATATTACAGAGAAAACTACGCGACCTCGGAATCCAAATTGTCCAAGAGGGCCACCCCTGTGACTACCTAGCCGCGCCGCACGTTGTCCGGACGGTCAAGTTCCTGTGCGCCCTCGCCCGCGGTCCTACCGTCATATCGTCCAGCTTCGTCGACCAAATCCTCGAGACGGGCAAGATTCCCGCAGTGGAGAAGTTCATCCTTAAGGACGATGATGCCGAAGCCAAATACAACATCAATCTGCAACAGTCGGTGGCCCGGGCCAAGGCTCACCGCGGCAAGCTCCTGCGCAACGTGGGCATCTACTGCACGGACAAGGTTAGGAACGGCCCCGACAGCTATCGCACCATTGCCGAGGCCAACGGCGCCACCTTTAAGATTTACCGGGCACGAAGCGGCTCGACCATCAAGCCGACGACGGCGGAGCAGGATAACTTTTTGCCTCCCGATCCGGTCTATCTTCTCAGCGGCAACAGCGCGGAGGAGAAGCAGCTATGGCCGCGCTTCCGGGAGATGGCGGAGAAGGGACACATGGAGCCGCGGATTGTATCGCCGGACTGGCTGCTCGATGTAGCCATGGCGCAGCAAGTGCGGTTCGACAAGAAGTTTCTGATTGACGGGGAGTAAGGGGGTCGTCGAGCTTTATAAGTGAGGAATCTCAGGGCATCTTTTTTTATTTTTTTTTTCCCTTGTGACGAGATGCAAGCATGTGGCGGAGTTTGGGAGGGCGGGTAGCCTGGTTAGTGTGTTGAGAGGGCGGTTTATATCCTTGCTGGAAAAGTGTCTGAGAGTTGTTTGTGTATGAAACCTTGTATCTTTTTTTTGATCTTGTTGGTTGTGGTCTTGTCCTTTCTGGCCTCTAGAAGAACTTGACACCAAGGGAGTCTTCAGAGCCAAAGATTTGCGCTTTGCCTTGCTTGACGAGGATGTTGAGGGCTTTCATGAGGACCAGGTTGTCCATGCCGTGGAATTCTAGAAAGTTGATCGCATTAGCACAAGAGCTTCGTGGTCTCTCTCTCTCTCTCTCTCTCTCTATCCGCGCATCCCAAGAATGCCCATGTCCATGTTTTCTCGAACGTACCAGTCCCTCTGGTGTTTTCTCCCTCTGTGAGTTCGTAAACGGTCAAGACGCTCCCCTTTTGCGCCGTCTCATCCACATACGCCTCGACAAGCGCCGCCCACTCCTCGGGCTTCCTCCAGTACAACAGCACGACATCTCCCGCACCACCACCACCAGCAGCACCTGCTCCTGAACTAAAACCTCCCACATCACTCCCCGCCGCCGCCGCAGAAGAAGCGCGAATAAACTCCGCCCTGCCATCCTTGCGCATAAAATCCAGCACCTCCCGAATGTCCGCGGGACCAAGTCTCCTGTTAATAGCGCGATTATGAAATAACTCCGACTCCGCGGCGGAGGAGACGACGAGGCGGAAGAGGCGGTGGTGCCGCGCGTAGGAGAGGACCAGGGCGGACCATTTCGTCAGCTGGGCGTGGTGGATGGCGATGTTGGGCTGGCGGGTGAAGAAGGGCGGGAAGGAGTATTCGCGGGGGAAGGCGAATCCTGTTGTTGTTGTTGGGGTTGAGGTTGATGTTGAGGTTGGGGGGGTTGGTGAGGGTGTTGCTGCTGTTGTGGCCATTTTGTGTGTGTGTGTGGAGAGGTAGGGTTGAATTGAGATGAGATGAGATGAGGCGAGATAAGATGAGATGAGATGAGATGAGTTGGGTGGTGTTGTGGTTGAGACTGAAATTGATGGGGAGAACAACCTGTTACATAAGGTAGCGGGATGACGTTATGCCACGTTGTGGGCCTGGGATCAAATACCAGGGTACTGACTGAGTCAAGACGAGGCTTGCGGTATTAGTACCTCTCTCAGCCTTTTCGCATGTGAGACGAAAATGATATGAATTGGACAAGTCGACATTTTTTTACTAATTTTATATTACTCAAGACCTGCATAATAGCATCGATGAGGGCAATGAATGAAGTTGAGAAATTGGTACCACATCTATCTACCCAAGGTGCTGGAGCTCATCACCTGGGCCGCAGAAAAAACCCCTCCGCATCATCATCACAGAGTATCAAGGGCAAAATCCAAATGAATGTAAAAGACATTTTATTCCAGCATCGTCCTATCCCGTCTTCCATGACAAGCCACCATTAGGCCCCATCAACCATGTCCCGCCAGGTATTGCGCCGCAGTGACAAGTACATAATAGAAATAGTTGTGACAGAAATAGCAAGTAAAGAAATGAAATAGACGACAACGGAAAAGTCCCCAGATCTCTGAAAAGAAAGTAAGAAAAAGAGAGACATGTTGCCACGAAATCACAATCGTGCTCGGTTCCCCAGTTGCCTCTCCCAATTTGCCTCTAGGTTTTTTTCCCCGCCCTATTTGCATAATACTCGTTATGAGGCGAATCAATCCAGTTAGAAAGACACACACACACATATATATATACATTCTCAGGTTAGAGGGGTATCGTCTTGTCGGTACGAACCGTCATCCTCCATTGTATGCCTGATACCACAGAAATCGAAAAGTGAAGAAAAAGGGACAGATGCAAAAGAAACGAGACAAAGACATAGGCCCATGGCAGTGGAGTGTCGTGATGCAAAACACGAAATGCAGTGTGAATAGAACAGTCTTGACACCTCCTTCTCCCTTCTCTAGAGCTCGCCAGCCGTCATCGAAACCCTTCGTCGTCCGTCATGCTCTCATAGCCTGTGTCCACTTCCATGCCCACCACCATCTTGGTAATTCCCAGACATTTGTTGATCATCTTGTCTTGCAAGTCGGGAGGTACACCGCATTGCGATGCTAGAGGGCTGCCCATCCAAAGCCGCAGGATGGCGGCTAGACTCTCGACGAGTGGCGCGAAGCTGTTCGTGGTATCTTTATGAGCCAAGATCTGCTCCAGAACCTCCATCACCGATGTAAAACTCAAGAGGGACATTCGTGTTCTCGTTGCCAAAGCAATGACCTTTTCGATGGAGTCACGGACGTATTGCTTGCTGCTGGCAACAGGGCCACCCAATCGCTTGATATGAGCCGAAGCTGTCGCGCAGCGTAGGCAAAGCTGAAGGTCGGGATCGGGACTGTTGGGTTGAGGCGGAGGGGCGGTTGCGCGGTCCGCAAAGGGGTTGGCGTCGGCGCAGGCAAAGGACATGGGATCGATGAGGCTGCTGCCACCGGCGTCGACGCGGAGGACCTGAACAGCGGCTGCAATGTTCTTCCCGCGCGATTGATGAGCGAGCACCGAGCGAGCCATGACTGCGCGAGCATGAGCACGAGAGCCCATGGGTGCCACCTTGACGGCCAGTTCCATCATCTCATTGTCGGGCTCCGCTTCGTCTCCGTATAGCGTCGTCGTCAGAATGTCGTGCACCTTGGCCGTCGACCACCACGCTGCGAGGGCATCCATCGGCGACCCAATCGATGTATCGTCGACAACCGAGTCCATGCCGTCAATCGGGATGGCGTCGTGAGTCGTCTCCACGTTGAAGGCGAGATTGTGAGCTCGCTGGATGACGGCGGGCGTCAGGACCTTGTCGCACTCCTGCTCGACGAGCACGGCCAGGTGATCGGGCAGCATGTACTCGGCACGCTTCTTCTCCCACATCTCGTCTTGTTGCGGGCTGTGGTGGGTTAGTCTCTGGTTCAGGTCTCGGGCGGCGTTCCACTGTCGTTCGGCAATCTTGGTGGCGATGTAGTTGACCAAACCCAGCTGATACCATTTCTGGCTCAAGTCCCACAAGAGCACGCGGACGTGAAGTGCCTTGAGCATGAGGCCGCTGGGGGTATCAGGGACGGTTCCGGACGCCAGCAGCGTGAGGATCAGACGGCTCATGCAAATCTCGGAATCTCCTCCGGTAAGCTGCGCGTCGAGAGCCGTGGCCCACGCACGAACCCGGGCCACCTCTTGTTCTGGAGTCAGCCCGGTCAGCAGCTGATACGCGTGGACGCCAAACACGTTGCGCACGCTCAGCTTGAGCGTCTTGAGCATCAGCGCAGCCGCCTCGAGGAAGAAGCTGTGATGAGGCACCCAGACGGTTTGGATGGCCGTCTCCCACGCGCGGCGACGAACGCTGATGGGCGAAGCCAAGGAAGGGGCGGATTGCACAGCAGCCGATTGTTGCTTCTTGGGTGTTCGGTCCATTCTCGAAAACAGCGACGGGATGAAGACCCACAGCACGAGGCCAAAGAGGAGCATGAACTTGATAGAGATGGCGTCGTATCCCGCAAATCGAACATCGAGGTGAGAGGGTATATGTCTGAAGAGCTGCAGGGGCAGAGCAAACAAGCCGCGGCCCTGGGGTTCTTCGCTGCTGGGTTCGTCTTCCCGAACCGCCTCCAATATCATCAGTCCGGCGAGCGAGCCCACCATCAGCTTACCGAAATAGGGGCTTGCGCTCCATCCCGGCTGCGGGCCCTGCTGGCCCTGCTGCTGTTGCTGCTGCTGCATTGGTCGAATCTGTTGCTGGCCGACCACTGTCGGGTTGGGGCGGAATAGCTGCTGAGGAACGGGGTATGGCTGGTTGTTCATCTGGGCGGAGAGAATTCGCTTCATGTCCTCCGGGACCTCGATTAGGCCGGTCGGCATTCCATTGTTCTCCTGAGGGTTATCCATTGGAGACGGTGCCATTTGCGATAGCTGCTGCTGCTGCTGCTGCTGTGATTGCTGTGGTGTTTGGCCGTCCTGGGGATACTGTGTCGGGGTAGGCTGCTGCATGGGAGGCACAGAGCCGTTCATGGACCCATTCATGGCACCCGCCATGAACAGCTTCTCGAATGCGGCGATTCTCTGATGCATGGCGCTGTTTTCGTCTATCAATCGATTATTTCTCTTCTCCAGATGTCGTATATATTCCGTCGCTTTGCTCAACACCTATTACATTGGTTAGTCATTGATGAGATATGACGCCTCCCCCCTTTCATCCTTTGCCCCATTTGTCATAATCAAACTGAGTGGAAATCTTCCTACAGTGGCTTTGTTAAGCTTGTGAGCGGGCGTGAGGCCGTGAAGTTCCTCACGATCTTCCGTTGTGTCTTCTCCTCTAGCGCTTTTGCTCATGATGCGCAGGCTGGGGACGCTGTCACGCAGGGCGGCAATCTTGTCGTTGATGTTGGTCCGATACCGCTTCTCAATCATGTTGTGAGCCGTCTTCTTGACGGGCTTCCCGCCCTCCTCGAGAAGATCATCATCGTCGAGGTCGTCGGTGGAAATCTTGCGCTTGCGCGAGTCCTTCTGGGAGCCGCTGGAGACGTCCGGCGACGAGGCGGCTCCCGCCTTGGCCGAGTCCGGGCTCGAAGCGCTCTTGGGTGAGCCGTACTGAAGATGAGGGGGCATGGCAATGTTTCTCAGTTGTTCCTGCATGGCAGGACTCAGGATGGTTCCCGAGCGTAGGGACGGCTTGGACACCGGGAGGGCGCCCCGCTTGGTGGCCGCTACACCGGGGAAGTAGACTGACGCAGGGTCGAAGTTGGTCAGGCCAAAGGCGGTAGGGTCGGGCTGCTGCTGCTGTTGTTGTTGCTGTTGTTGCTGCTGCTGCTGCTGCTGTGGTGGTTGCGGTTGTTGCTGAGGCTGCTGAGGCTGGTGCTGTCGGGGGTCAAAGGTCGGGGTCGGCCAGGACGGGGACAAGTATCCTGGCTGGGCGGAGGAGAGGGTGGTGTTGCTGCCGAGATCGTACGAGTTGGACTGAGGCGAGGCATCCAGCTGCCAGACTCCAGAATCGACGTATCCGGCTGAGGGATCGCCGCCGAATATGGGCGCATCTGAGATGCCATCCAGAGACCCGGGGCCACCGCCTATGAAGCCGAAGCTCGGGTCGTCAAACCCAAGCCCGTTGGAGCCATCCTCATCGGCCATGGGGACGGCGTTCTTTGAGGGAGGGGGGGGGAGGGGTGAAACTGGCGGCTGCAGAGACCGGGGGAACGCTCGCGGATCAGCTCATGCAGCGACAGCCGGGCTCGACGAGACGAGTCGAGGCGACGACGGGCTCGAGACTGAGACCAGGCGAGAATGCGGCAGGGTCTGGCCAAGGGGGGGTGAGAGGGTGACTCGATTGTTGGCAGAGGATCGTGCGGTCGGCGACGCAAAGTGGACTGAGTGGTGCAGAGGCAGTGGACGCTCTCACCAGCGATAGTACGATGAGATCAGCTGTTTTTTCCCCCTTCTGCCTGACCGGCGGGTCGACAGCTTAAAGCGGGATTTGCTGAGACAGACACCCAGCCCAGCGAGAAGCTTTGCCGAGGGTGTGGGATGGCCAGGGATGGCCGCTCGCAGACACGATGGGGTGTGTCTTTGGAGCGGGAATATCAGAGAGCGAGTGCTACAGACAGAAACATACGAAGAAAGGCCGGTTGGTACCTTGGGGGAGCTTCGTGGCCGGACAATTCGAGATGACAGGTTGAAAAGGGAAAAATTAGAAACCAACCCGAAAAATAAACCAAAGGCTGAAAGAGTGCCGATGGATGGATCGGGCTGGTGGCCGGTAAGGCAAGGTAAGGTAAGGTAAGGAAGGGGGGGGGGGGGGGGGGGGGGGCGACTTCAGCCCAGCTGGGTTAATTCTTTCCCCTTCTTTTTCTTCTTCCTTTTCTTTTTTTTCTTCCTCCCCTTGCTGTCGCTTTTTTTCTTCTTCAATCCCGCTGGCCGTTGGGGGATGGCGTTGGGACGGGATTGCACGGGCTATTGCCTTAGGCTGGAGCGTGCGAGCTGCGACGATGGGGGAGGGATGGAGGCGTCCAGCGTGATGGATCGCTGGATCGACGGGACAATCAGGCAGGCGGCCGATAGATTGATCGATTTGCCTGGTCTGGCCTGGCCCGTTCTGGTCGGCTCTGGTCGGTTCTGATCTGATCTTGGGGCGCTGTCAAATGCTGCTTGTTTGCCTGGCTGCGTCTCAACGGTCCTGGGCCACGGCTATGCGGTACGGACAGCCGGAGGTGCGAGAGGACGCAGGTGCAGAGACGAGACAAAGGACATGCACGACAGGAATATCGTATGATCGGGGCCGATATCAGGCGAGGCTACGCCGCAACAAGCAAGGGAAAAAGCTAAAAGGCCCCAAATGGCCTACCCGAGACGCTCCCCACTTCCCTGGCGCTCTGGCGGTGCTGGACGCTGGGCACTGATTTGCCTCTGCCACTGCAACAGCCACAGCAGTGCTCCACCAGCATACAGGTACCGGTACATAGGTACGCGCAGCGAAATGCTGGGCTTTGTCCTGGAACGAGTCCTTTGCACAGGTTGATTGCCCGGGCTTGGTACCTTGCCCAAACGCATCGGCGATGTTGCGTTTCATGCAATTTCCATCAAATGTCGCTCCTTTGTCGACTTTCTCAATGCTGATGGCTGCACAAGTGACGCACGAAGGAGGTGGTACTGTGCGTACGTTAGGTAGGTACTACTAAGGTCGTACGACATGCTCGAATCCTGTGTGTCCGGGCCAGCTGGAGCCCAAGAGCACGCGCATATCGACATCGGGCACTGCAGCGGAGGCTTCCAGCAGCAGCTGGGGCCCTCTCTGCTGCTGTTCATGTACAAGCACATATCGATACAGTCAAGGTACATGTACCTACCTACCTACATAGTACGCACAGCTCGAGGGCGCCTGTAATGCCGGCTTGGCGCCCTGCACCTCCCCGTACCTCTCTACAGGCACCAGCTGTGCCGGTCCCCTGTGCGAGCACGAGGACGCCCCCAGAGTGGCTGCTGTGGCCAGCACGCGTCGTGCCAAGTGCTGGGTACAGGTACAGCAATCAATCAATACCTTACCTGTCGTTGGGCCTAGCACGGCTTTTGCACACGAGTTGCCGCAAGGGAGAGAAAGTGGCTTGAGAGTGCAGTGGTCGTCTGCATGGACCAAGTTGGTACTAGCGTCCGTGGCATTTTCGTCGTCTCCTTGCATGCGCGTGCATGTACATGTACTTGTTCCTGTTACCCTACCACGTCCACGTCCGTCTGTGGCTGTCTGCGCATCGCCAGTACCTACTAGCATCAACGCCATGAGATTGAAATGCAGCCCAGTGTCATTATTGATGTACCTTAGGTAGTAGTAGATTGTTCAGGCATCTGCCCTTTGGAAACGATACCTACCTATCTACATACCTACCTGCCAGGTGCCTCGTAGTATCAGTACCGGAACAGCAAAACAAAACAATGGGCATGCAGTTCCAACTGCAACGCTCGGCAACAGCCCGACATCCACATCAGATGCATTCACACTGACAGCGGAACCCCCCTCCCAGCATTCCATCCAAGTCGCAGTCAATCAACACTTGACAGTACTAGCAATGGATACCACACATCTGCTTCCCAACAAGCTCCGTCAAGACACCACACGGAATCGGAAAGATAGCCGAAATCTCATTTCCCGTTGGTATTCATGGATTCGCACTTCCGCGGCATTCAAGGGAGAGGGGTTCTAGAGCTGAGGGCAGCTGAGGGCATTTGCCTTTGTGTGGCTTCCTCTGCCAAACCTAGGCGCCAAGATCTCAGCAGCATCAGCTTTCCGAAACCCGAGCTTCTTAGCTGCTCCAAATTGACCTAATACTAGGTACTATAATATCTTCCTAACTGTAAGAAGGTATTCGTACAAAGTACTTTGCGTACGGAGCACGATGCTGTTGGTTGGCAATTGGAGAAGAATTAAAATAAAAAGTCGAAAAAGCCACGTGAAGCGGCCGCCTGGCTTGGCCGCCCTCGCCGCAGTGGGTTGCCGCACACACACACACACACACCAGCCAAAAGACGGCAGATTGGAACTACATGCGCCATGGATACTGTGCTCCGTGCCACAATCCGAGTGATTCAGACGTCCTCAGCACATACATTAGAGTCAACTGGGCTTGTCTCTCCACCCCCCTTGTTCATGACCGTGATAGTCTTGGCGGTGCTCTTCTTCTGAGTCACGCAGCGGGCTTGGCTGAGCGCCGTTTGATGTCTCAAACCATTCATTCTCCTCAGAGACATCTTCCCGCCTTCAAATGGCATACCAGTAGTACTACTATTTTATCTATCAACCGTACATCCAAGACAAAGCCTGAGCTCAGTTCGTCAAGAGACATCATCGATGGTGCCGCGTTCCAGAGGTTCTAGCCTCTCAGCCACAGGCTGACCCAGACCCCCAAGGGATCGCTGGATAGGCTACTCGGGGTCTTGCCAGACTCCGGCAGCAGAGCTTTGGCCACGATCTCACCCTGGGACCTGAACCCTCTCGAGCCCAGCAGCGGCAGCGCAAGTCCGTCCCTTGATCATTACAGGCGACAGCACTACCTAGTAGTACTGCACTTTCATATGGTAATACAGCAAGCTATCCTTGTTACGCGCTGTTTCAATTTACTTGCGCCCTTGCTCACCACCACGTCTTACTGCGCAGTACGTAGCACCAAGCGGTACGAGATAGCCTCCAGCTGCGGTCCAACCACTCCAAGAGGCGGGACAATACCCAAGCCATCAATACCAATTTGCTTCCCACCGTCCGGAATCCCGAATCCTCTGTGCGAGTCACAAGAAAGAAAAACCCCATGGCTCATTACTTTGTCCAAAGCGTCCACCAACGAACAGATTCTCCGTCTCACACTCTCCAGCTCGGCAAGGCGGCGCATCTGCCAGCGACAAACCCTTTTTTTCGCGTGCCGCTCGATTCGTACCGCAGCCAATCAGCGCCCCTCTGAAGCTTCGGAGCCAGAGCCGTCGCATCCTTCAAGGTCCCTCTCACAATCACACACATACATCGTCCCGCTCCCTCCCAACGGCATCGATTGAGATTCGCCGCTTGGCTGCAGTACTACCACCGAAGGCCCATACGCGTACACAGGTACTCGTACTGTGAGCACAGGAGAGGGGAGAGGAGGGGGGGCAGAACTCGTCAACTCTCTCGAACGTGTTGCCTAGTCACCAACGCAGTTTTCCTTTTCCATGGCATTTCCATTCGCGATTGTCTAGGGCATCGAGCTCGCGGTTCCGAAAACCTTCGGACATGAAGGCATTCACGTACCGGATACCTCCAGATGGCTGCCCGCCACAACCCGCGAACTATCAACGCCCGGTTGATCTGAGGGTTGCACAACCGAAGCCAATAATTCGTCCTCAGAGCTACCTAGGTACCTACCTCCTTAAACCCTCATACAAACCACCCCCAAGGGAGCTTGTCCTGTTGCCCCCCTTCCCTTCTTTTCGCTTGAAAGCCTTCCCGACTAGTAGTCCAGATACACCATGAATAGTAGTAGCCAGCCTGTCAAGCCAGCTTTTCCCCCCCGTGCATGTTCCCCGCCTCCCGCGGGCGGGTCGATCGATATTGGCTTGCATTGAACACATGTATCTTCCCTTGCTTGCCCTCCCTGCCTTGCCTCTCTTTCAGCCGGTACCGTTACTTGTGCGAGTTGGCGAGCTTGTCCACGCGGGCGTAAAAGTTGCCCCAAGCGCTCCCTTTTTCTTTGCCTGCGCCATTTCCCCCTCCATCCCTCCCTCCTTTGCTGATATGCATGTGTCTGCTTAGTGGTTGTAGGTACAGTAGTAGTATGCACGATTACTGCGAGAGCGACAGCTGCAGGGTCGGATTCCCACGCTTTCAGTCGTTAACGTCATTCCAGTCGAATGCCATACCTACCTACATACTTTAGATCCCGAAGACTCGACCCGAGATGCGAAATCCCGATGTCTGATCCGAGGACATCCATCATGATGACTTCGAACGTAGTATTTCTGGCACTGATTACCGAGGATAAAGGGAAGCATAATATTCATCTGGATCAACGGGGTCCACGACCCGCGGACACGGATCGAAAAAGAAAAAAAAAGAGCAAGGGCTAATATCATGTAAAAAAGACTGTGAAAATACGACACGTCCTAATTATGTCATTTCCGCTTCCAGCTATTGACACATGCATCACATGTGTTGGTAGGTAGAAGGGGGAAGGAAAAGCAGCTTTCTGATATCCTACCAATCACTTTTTTCTGCCCACCTTGTTATTATATCCCTCGCTACCTAGTATTCTTATTACAGCAACCCTAGTTGAATTTATGCGACTACAACGGCTGAAGCCCGTTTGGAACAGCTGAAAGCTAAGGTTTAAATTAAACATTGGCCGTCCGCGGGTCTGAGTGTCTTGCAACGGTTGGTGGTCAGGGCTAGTATGTCCGGGTGGATCGTCGATCAGCCGTTGCTGTTTCTTCTTGCCGTGAGTCCATGTGGTTGGGATCATGTATGTTGTTGGTTGGGGGTCAGCATGGAGGAGAGGACAAAGGAGACAAGAGAGAAGAGAGAAGAGAAAAGAGGAGACAATGGGGGAAAATGGAAGAAGAGGGAGAAGACGCAGGAAATCCACTTTTCTTGAGCTCCCTTCCACGGTGCCCAGCTCTCTGGTCTCAGTCTAATAATGGGCATATCGCTGGTGAGTGCATCAATGTCATTGATACCTGAGGTACTCAAGTAGGTAGGCACGCGAATAGGTAAGGTATGATCCAGAGAGATCTAAGAAAGGTGTGATCCAGGGAGTATCGTCTAAGGTAAGGTATGAAAAGCTTCTAGCAATAGGTCCAATCCAGATCAGCCGTCACAAGTGCAGCTGCGGAATCTCCTTCACTCTCCCTTTACAAGACATCACTCTTGGAGATTTTCGGATCAAGTACCAAACATTCAATTATGGACTCGTAAATGCTAATTATTCCGTTCAGAAAAAAAAAAAGCGAGAAGAAGAGGCTCGTCAGTCGTGAACGGTATACATGGGTATGAATTTCCTTCTCTCTCTCTCAATCCTGCGCTCCTGGCCCAAGTCATTGGATATCTGTGCAAATACAAAAAAAGAAATGGGGATACAAAAAAGAAAAATTGCCATGTCTGTGACGATGGAAAGACAAAGAATCACGGCGACATGATGAGAAAAGGGCGCCCTTCCTGGGGCTGCCCATGCAAAGTATCTAACGGTAGAAGCTTGAAAAAAGAAGAAGAAGAACAAAGAAGCGGACAGGTTTTATATGAAACAGACTCAATCGTTTTTACTCTTCATTCCACAACACACAGTGTTTACCAGATCTCCTCGGAGCTCTTAACCAGCTCAGTGGTCGGCGTCTTCGGAACCATGCGCTTCATGCGCTTGCGGTCTTCCTTGGTCACCAAGCCGGGGGTGATGGGTACGCAAGGAGTAAACGGCTGATACGGAGAGTACGGCACTGCGGTTCCGGTAAAGGGAGTCCTGCCGCCGCCTGGCGACAGAGGGCCGGTTCGCTCAAAGACGGTCTGCTTCGTCGTCTGGGCAGTGACGTACGGCGAGCCGAGCTGCTCCTCGTAGGCACGAAGAGGGAGCGTTCCGCCGGTTCGGACCGCAGAGGGAGGGTTGGGACGCGAGAAGGAGGCACCGGGTCGTGGCGAAGACGGCAATGAGGGAAACGTGCTGCCGGGTCGGGGCGAAGACGGGAGACCAACGAGGGGAGATTGCGAGTTCTCCGAGGTAGCAGACTCGGGATCTCTCTCAGGGTACGGCAGAGTCGTCCTCGATCGGTTGGCACGGTCGAGGGAGGCCCCGATGCGCTCGTCAATGGTTTGAACGCTCTGGGGTGAGATATCAGGGGTTATGGGGGCACCCGACCTGGTGTTGGTGGCACCGAAAGGCACCTGGTCCGTCGGGATAGGCGGAGGAGGGGGGGGAGCGTAGTGTCTCGGTGGGATGGCGCTCATCTCTCGGGACTCGTGCTGCGGGAAGGTGCCGGACATGGGCGTCATGATGGGAGACGAAATGCTAATGCCCTTGGCCGTCTTCTTCTTGGGCGAGAGGAGCGACGAGAAGAGCGCTGATGTCTTTGACTGAGACTTTTCCTCCTTGGCCGCAGCCAGGTTCAGGCTCGAGGGCTTGGACTTGCCCTTCTTGGACAAAAGACCCTTGGACTTGTCGGACGCTGCTGACTCGCGCTGAGGGTTGGGAGACGCCACGGGAGACTCGAGGATGATGCCCTTTTGCTTGGCCTCCTCGTGCTCCATGACGTACTTGTACATCTCCTCCAGCTGTTGTTGCGCCATGGCTCTGTCTGCTGCGACAATGGACTGGTCGACAAGTGGCGAGACTCCAAGAGTGGTCGGGACGACAGACGAAGAAGATGGCGACGGCACGAAGTACGGTGCCGGGACGCTGTTTGGATCGAAGATGCGGGCGCTGTAGGGGCCGGGCTGGTAGTGTTCCGCCTTGGGGATGATGAGGGGAGGAACAACGACTTGGCCGTCGGGATGCTGGGCGAAGTCGAACTGCTGGTGGAACGCTGCTTGCAGCTTCGGATCTGTCACCGGAAAGCTTGGCTGTAGGATGTAGCTGGGCGGCAGGTCACTCCCCCGGAGATGTTCCCTGCGTCGTTTGGAGAGCGAGAGTAAGAGGATGGCGACCAGCACCAAGGAGACTCCGTATGCCGCAACAATGCCGCCGATCTGGACAGGTAGATACTTGGAGCTGTTTGGCAAGCCGCGGGCTGGCAGGTCGTTTGTTGTTTCTTTTTGCTCAACGGGCGAGCAAGAGGCGACAGACCAGAAAAGCACACAAGTCAAGAGAGCGAAGGACGACGAGGATGAAGGACGAGTGCCAAGGGGCATGATGGGAGCTCCGCGCCCTGGGGTCTTATGAAGGCGATGGCAGCGTGATGGGACCTCCTGGCGATGAAATGCGAAACATGACCCGAGAAGATGTGACATGAAGTGAGGAGAAACCTGCGGCACGCAAAGGGTATATAGAGCCGTCACAGCGGCTGGCGATGCTGGCCGGCGTAACAGGTGCAGCAGAGCTGGCGCTGCGCCGTGGGGCCGGGCGACGAGCTGCCTGGGATCCCCGGCTCGCGGCGCTGTGAGTGGCTGGACGCTGCATCACGGCGGCTACAGCGAACGGCGCAGCGAGGCACGGAGACGCACGCAGAGGCACAGCGGCCAGAGACAAAGAGCGCTGTCGAGGCCATCGCCGGCCTGTGGTTGGGCGAGGCGTCGAGGTTTAAGCGCCGACCTCTTCTGTGACGGGCGCTGCCGGGGCTGCTGATTGGACGGCGGCCAGAGAGCGATGCAAGGCACTAGCGGTGGCTCCCTGCAGCTGTCCCCACAGGCGGGACGCCATCAGAATCAAGGTGACGAGAGGAGGCGTGAACTGCGATTTCAAGGATGAAGGTTGCGACTCGGGGTCATATGTAGTAATGAAGACGGCGATATCATTATCACTGTCCTGTACTTCTTGATCTAATGGCACAGAAAAGGACGAATCAGTTTGGTCGGCAATGTCCTTTCACACCAATAACAATCGCTGGTAGTACTACCATCGATCGAGGAGCTTCCGTGCCTTGTCCCAAGCCACCTGCAAGGGACCAAATAGATGCACATCTTCCTTTTCTATTCTTGTATCCTGCTCTTTAAGCCTCTTTCGAACACTTTCAAATTGGTATTAATGGCTACTCCTGCTGTCCTTTCATTCTAACCCTCTCTAATTGCTTCCCCTGATGTCTGCTGATCCTCTGGCATTCCTCCAAGACCTCCTCCATCATCAACATCATCATCATCATCACTAGAAGTCAGGTAGTGCCCAAATCGCCTGCTGCTAAATAGGCGCCGACCATAGCATAAGCAGAGAGCATCGGGACTCAATCCCTGCTTCATCGCAGTGACACCCACCACGATTCGTCCAAATGCCTCCCAATCAGATCGCAATCCCGAGTGCCACAGCCATGGTCCTCGCTGAGATGAGCATCGCTCCCTACAGCCACTGTGCTAGCGGTGACGAGCGCCCCCAAGCTCCAAATCTGCGTCACCCAAGATGCAGCCAAAGAGGTGCTCGTTTCTGTAGGTCTCGTCACATCCTCAGGGCACCCAAAGGCACACCGCCGGAGCGCATCCGGTGCTCCCTGTGACGAGCTGGTGATGGTTCGCATTGGGGTCGGCAATGCAAGATGCAGAAGTGCGGATGGCATGCATTGATTGTCATCGAATCATGCGAACGGCCTCGTTTTTTTTTTTTTTTTTTGCAGGACGAGTCGCGCCATCCTGGGCTCTGGATCTGTGACGAGATGAACGAGCCATATCATGTGAGGCCATTTCAATCACTCTCATCACCCATCACATGAATACCTAGGCGCCTCTACCTCCAACAGGCACCAAGGAGGATGGGATGGCTCTCTTTCTCTTCAGCCTCAGTCTATTAATCGAAAAGACAAGATGGGATGCAGCTTGTGTCTAAAGCGTCCCGCGCTTACTAAGGCGCATTTCAAGATCACGTGACTTCGCGATGCCGTGCTCCTTCGTGGATGCATCGACGCGTTTCGAACGGCGTCAGAGACAGGCAAGGCTTGCACAGCCGGTGAATTCACCGAAGGTCGTTCGTTTCAGTGCCTTGTTGCTTCAGAGTGGTGTCAACCGTTTTGTCATTTGCTTCAATACGCTGTGTTGGCTCTCGATGCTTAACCTCAGCCCCTCGTCTAGGCAAAAACATCGCCGGGTGCTTCCACTTCAACCACCAACATGTCAGCGGCGCAGGCTGAAAACCCAATCCTCAAGTCGCTCAATGCGGCTCAGCGCCGTGCTGTTACCTCCAATGCGCCGACAGTCGCTATTCTAGCAGGCCCGGGCAGTGGCAAGACGCATACCCTGACCTCACGCGTCGTGTGGCTGGTTGAGCAGACGGGATACAAGCCGTCAGACATTGTCGTCGCAACCTTCACAGTCAAGGCAGCCCGGGAGATGAAGGAGCGGATAGGCAGAATTCTTGGTCCAGAATGTGAGAGAAAGATTGTACTGGGTACCTTTCACTCCATCGCCCGGAGATACCTCAGTGCCTATGGGCAGTACATCGGCCTCGATCCCAAGTTTGGCATTGCAGACGACGGCGATTCGAGGGCAGTCATCCAGCGTATCTGTAAGCGGCATAACTTCAACATCGACCCGGGCTTTGCAAGGGCGTGGATCAGCAAGAGCAAAGCCAAGGGACACTCGACAGAACCGGTCTCGAACAAGAAGCAGCCTGAGAATCCGTCATTGAACGAATGCTACAGGGAATACCAGGAGCACTTGGAACGATCCAACCTGCTAGACTACGACGATCTGCTGGTGCGCTGCGTGGAGCTGTTGAGGGCATATCCCGCCTGTGTCTCCAACATTCAATCAGTCCTCATTGACGAGTACCAAGACACAAACGGCATTCAGTATGATTTGATGAAACTATTTGCGCAGGCCCGCCAGCGCATAACGATCGTTGGCGATCCTGATCAGAGCATCTACGGCTGGCGGTCAGCCGAGATTCGAAACCTGTACCGATTGCTACGAGACTATCCCGAGACCGATGAGATATCCTTAGAGGAAAATTATCGATCATCTCAGTCGATTCTCGATGTATCATTGACCGTCATCCAACAAGACAAGAAGAGATACCAAAAGGTCCTTTTACCGGTCCATACAAGAGGCACAAAGCCGGTTTTGCGAACGCTGAAGAGCTCTGCCGCAGAGGGAGACTGGATTGTCTCGGAGATCAGACGAGCTATCACAATGTTCGGAGACATGCTCTCGTACGAAGACGTGGCCATTCTCTTGAGGTCTGCTTCTTTATCCAGGAACATTGAATCAGCATTGGGCAAAGCGGGACTTGCCTATCGCATGATCGGAGGCCACAAGTTTTACGAACGAAAGGAAATCAAGGTTTTACTGGACTACTTGCGCGCAATCTATCAACCAGAGAACAACGACGCTATTGCGCGAATCATCAACGTTCCGCGTCGAGGAATCGGAGATACAACCATCAAGCGCCTTGTAGAAGAGGCTGAGCAACACAAAATGAGCCTCTGGTCGCTATTGCGAAAGCATTGCCAAGGGAGTCGCAAAGCGGCGACAAAGATCCTCCCCAAGATGGAGCAGAGGCTCAACACAGAGCTGATACGGTTGATTCTAAATCTTCAGACCCAGGCCCAGCAAATCACCGATAACACCCAGCAATCTTTGGTCACCCTTATCGAGAAATTGCTGTCGCAGCTCGACTTCAAGAAGCACCTTGAGTCAGAATATCCCGAGGACCACGAGCAGAGATGGCAAAACGTTCAGGAATTTCTCAGCTTGGCCAACGACTTTGTACGGGACTCGGCAAATGTAGACGAGGAGCTGCTACCAGAAATTGAAAACGTCGATCAGGCCAAGGATGACAGCATTCTGGGCCGCTTTTTAGCAAATGTCGCGCTGGCATCGGATGCTCAGAAAAACGACGATGGGGTTGAGAAGAAACCACTGATTACCATATCCACCATACACGCTGCCAAAGGACTCGAGTGGCCTATTGTCTTCGTACCAGCAGTGTATGCCGGTTCTATCCCCCACTCGAGAGCGGAAGATCTGGACGAGGAAAGGCGGCTGCTTTATGTAGCCATGACCAGAGCGCAAGCGCTGCTCTATCTCAGCTGCCCCTTGTACGGATCTCAGGGGATGGGAACCAAGGTTGAGCTGTCGCCCTTCGTCTCGCCCTTTGCATCGACAGCATTTGCCAAGCACGGCGCATCGTTCAACAGACCAATCCTAGAAGGAGTCGCAAAGATACTCGGGAGAGAGCTTCCCAGCGAAAAGGCAATCTTTGACAAGATCCCGCCCATGTTCGCCTTGGAGGATAACTTGTTCCCTGTAGACCCCATCGACACGAGAGATGCGGAAGACTCGGGCGGGCCTGAGGGACTTCGTCCTAAAGGGCCCAAACGTCAACGTTTCAACTACCAGGGATATGGCAACGAGGAAGAAGCGGCAGAGGAGCGGCCATGGCAGAAAGAATACAGCACAACCATAGAACAGGCCTCCAGCTTCACCATGGCATCCTTGCCCGGTTTCGTGTCCGCTGGAACGCATCAGAACGCGCTCACTGCGGCTGCGGCTGCTGAAGCAGAAAAGGCGGCGGCAGCAGCAGCCAGGAAAGTCATCAAGTCGGGGACGACGCGTCGAAGGCCAGATCAGACAAGTTTGCTCGGATTCGTAACCACCTCATCAGCAAAGAAGCCTCCGGCTCCAGCGGGTGGTTTTAGTGGCCCAGACATGTCCATGGCTCGGTATCAGCTGGCAGCATCTCGATCCGCAGCTAGGTTAGCGGCCGAGGCAAAGGCTCCCGAGCTCCCGAAGCTACCTGATGCTGCTGGTCAATCATTAGGGAAGCACAAGCTCGCCAGCGGCAATGTTCTCAACCGGCCCAACGGCATCAAGCACGAGGATGAGGAGGGCGGCTCCAAGAAGCGGTATCACTGCTTCTCCAGCTCTCCGCCTAGGCAGGACGAAGACGAGCACGTCAAGGACGAGCAAAGACCTGCAGAGAGCGCCTCAGTTCCCGATCGCCCCGCGTCGAGCTTCCACAGGACGACGTTTGTCTCTGCGACTGCTGGAGGCGGCGTAAGGCGGCCGGTCGGCTTGGGGCCTCCTCCGGGTTTGGATCGGCTGCGGAGGCCGTTTAAGCCGTTGACGATAACGCGGCCGACGAAGCCGCAGTAAAACAAGCAATGAGTATTGACTTTAGACTGCATATCTGTAGCTTTTTTTTCTGTTTATTAATGACTCATGAGGATTGTAAGAGAATGATGTAGTTATTGTGGCGTTGGGGAAGCATAACGGTAGCCTTACGAATAAGCATAACGGCTGAGACTGCTGGCGTAAGGCGTGCAGACATGGACCGCAAGTATAGACCGAAACCACGTGTATATAAAGCCCGTGGTAAAGACCAAGAGCGACATGAAATAAACCAGAAAAGTCATTAAGGATCAATTCACATTATTCCAACAAGCTCTCCATCTCAACTACGAGCTCCCCAACGGGCAACGATAAACCACATACCACTCCTTCTAGTACCTACTTCAAAGACAATCAACAAGCCCACAAAACTACAATCATGCTTTCGACACTCGTCTCCCGCGCCGCCTTTTCCACTTCGGCACGCGTGCTCAAGCCTGCAGACGCAGGTGTTTCCGCTTCTGCGCGGAGCTGGAAGAATCTGTCGCCTCGAACCCGTCGCTATGTCGCGTATGGAGTTGCGGCGTGCTTGGCTGTGGATGGATATGTTGTGTACAAGTACGCGCCCTGGATGGTTGGTCTAGAGAAGAGGAATTAGACTGCAGACTGCTTGTTATGTAGGGGTTGGGGCATTAATGGAGGCTTCAATTGGATCATGGACAGAGTTGTAGCTTGGAAGATTCAGTTATAGAAAATCGATGCATTGATCGGATCCTTTGTTCTTGGTGTGAATCATCTTTGCTACCCTGCACAGGCTTGCAGTAGGTCTGTATTTCGCATGACGTTGGGCACTCCTCTCAGCTTGGGTCCTTTGCACAAGCCAAATGACCAGGGAGTCCATTTTGTTTTTGTTTGTTATTTCGGATATAGAACCGAGGCTCATGCTGGGCGGGCCATCGGGCATGATGTCCATTCAAGGAGGTGGTGGGCAAGCATGCAAGCGTTGACACCACCATTTGGAGGGGCAGAGAGGCGATACCGCCGATTCGTGGAGTGGCGGCGATGACGATGCTGCATCTTTTGACAGTAGATATTGGTTGCTTGTCCCTGCTTTTCCAGGGCCTTATTCTGTCTGAAGCGCGACAGAAGATGACGCGAATATCCGTCATTGTACGTCTACACTGCAGATCTCGAATACCGGTCGATATCCCAGGAAAAACTGCTGGACCCTCGCCAGATGGTATCAATTGCGTTGTTGCCCTCTGGCACGCTGGGGGATGGCGGATGATCCTTGTCTTGCCTGATTAATCGATATTAGCGTTCCCCCGCACTTTCAACTCCGCAGCATTCATCTGAAGGGAGTTGACCAATTGAAGCCATACACAACAGCTCAGCAGCACATGGCAGCAAGTCTGCCCTTTTTGCCTCCCAGCCCTCCCTCTCGCTTCTGCGCGATGTGACGGCAATCGGATGGACTAGCCGCGACTTGGGAGGTCTTTTTGTGGCCTTTCTCTCTGTGTGTGTCATAGCTCCTTGGAGAGCTGAGCGGTCGATACTATGTACCTTGATTGTGCCGTCGTGGATGTACGAGTAGAGGTGTGGGTTGCAAGACTTTGCGCAGGACAAGGTCGCATGAAATGTCTGTGGCCATGGATACGACCGTGGCTGTGGTCGCCTGGACGTGGCTCGTGGCTTCTCTTGTGGTGAGCGAGGACAGAGCTGGCTGAGGCCTTTTTTTCTTTTCTTTCTTTTGGGATGGTTAGGTAGTCATGAGATGCCCACTTGAGGTCGTGGACAATAGCATCTGTTGGTGATGATAAATGAAGAAACGAGTCTGTGCTTCTTCTTCAAGATGGAGCCTTTTCTGCATTTCCTTTATTCACCGGCGGTCTGAAGTCATCAAGTCCACATACCTCCGGGGCACCGACATCATCGCACCCAACCCCGCCAAGTGCCTTGTACCGCAACATCCTTCCCCGGCGGGATCTCGACTGCCGCGGCCGCTAGCCCGACAAGGGCAGTGTACAGCGCCCCCATCAGGCCTAGTGGGTTGCGGAGTGACACCTCGAGGGCAGCAGCGCATTGCCGCCCTTGCCTTGGCTGGCATCTCCATTATCCCAAAGGGCAGGAGCGTAGCAAGGCGACCTTCCCTTGCTGCTGCTGCTGCAACTAACGACCACCATCAGCTGTAGGTTAGTAGTTCTAGGCTACTTACTAACCTACCTACCTACCTATTCTCTTAGCAATTACGAGGCACAGACGGCTAAAACCACACCTACCCAGCATCTCCCTCCCTACATAAAGACTGCATGGCGGAATCTCTGGGCGAGCGGGAGAAGCTGGCCCCTCTCCTCGCCAATGCTGAGAAGGCAGACGCAGAAGCAGCCGCAGAGTCGCCGGCCGCCGTGTCACCCGAGCAAAGCATGGCGTCCCCAGCCTTCTCGATGCTGAAGCTCTTCATCATCTTCACCGTCGGGCTCTTCGGCCTCGTCCTCGCCGCCCAGCCCGGCAGGCAGTCCCAGTTCGCGAGAGTCGCCGATGCGGACCGCCAGTCGTATCTCGTCGGCGTGGGCAAGGCCGACATCACCGGCCCGGTGGTGGAAATCAACTTTGCCGGGTACGCCAACCTGGACCAGAAGGGATCCGGCCTGCGCCAGCGCCTGTACAGCCGTGCCTTCATCATTGCCGACAAGAGCAACCCCAGTGATCGATTTGTCTACCTGGTCCTCGACACGCAGTCTGGAGACACGGCCATGCGAAATGGCCTCCTGGACGGCCTGAAGGCTCTGGGTGATGAATATGCCGTCTATGGCCAGAACAATGTGGCTCTGACGGGTACCCACAGCCATTCTGGTCCGGGCGCCTGGTTCAACTATCTGCTTCCGCAAATCACGTCCCTCGGGTGGGACAAGCAGAGCTACCAGGCCATTGTTGATGGGGCTGTTCTGTCCGTCAAGCGGGCTCACGAGAGCCTCCAGGAGGGATACTTGGACGTTGGTACAACGACAGTGTCTGATGGCGCCATCAACCGCTCCCTTTGGGCCTATCTGCAGAACCCAGACGAGGAGCGAGCTCAGTATGACGCGGAAACTGACACCACCCTGACTCTGCTCCGCTTCCAGCGTGCTTCGGATGGCAAGAATCTCGGTGTTCTCTCCTGGTTCCCCGTCCACGGAACCTCCCTGCTTGGGAACAACACTCATGCTGCCGGCGATAACAAGGGTGTGGCCGCCTGGCTCCTGGAGAGTGCCATGAAGAACGATCCGACCGCTGCGGATGACTTCGTGGCCGGCTTCAGCCAGGCAAATGTCGGCGATACAACTCCCAATGTTCTCGGAGCCTGGTGCGACGATGGCTCTGGTCAGCAGTGCAGCCTTGAGAACAGCACTTGCGCGGACGGCAAGTCACAGAGCTGCCATGGTCGAGGACCCGAGTTCCAGGCGCTGGACCTTGGTGTTAAGAGCTGCTATGAGATGGGTCGTAGGCAATTTGCTGGAGCTCAGAGGGTCTATGTATGTTTAAATCAGCTGCTCACGACTGTCTCATTCTCCTTGCTTCATGCTTGCATATACACACACCTTTGTTCCAATCGGAAGCCAAACTAACACACCTTATAGGATGACCTGAAGTCGTCCGGCACGCCAGTAGTCGGCTCGTCCGTCAAAGCCTTCCACTTCTTCCAGGACATGCGGTACTTTAATTTCACACTGCCAGACGGAACCAAGGCCCAGACTTGCCCTGCCGCTCTTGGCTACTCTTTTGCTGCAGGAACCTCTGACTGGCCAGGTGCCTTCGACTTCACGCAGGGAGACTCTGGTGCACCAAACAACCCTTTGTGGTCGCTTGTCTCTGGTCTGCTGAAAGCGCCGGGCCCTCAGCAGGTTGCATGCCAGCAGCCCAAGCCTGTCCTCTTGGATGTCGGTGAAATGTCGACGCCTTACGCCTGGACTCCCAACATTGTGGATATCCAGATGCTACGCGTAGGCCAGCTGGTCATCATTGTCAGTCCCAGCGAAGCCACCACCATGGCTGGACGCCGCTGGAAGGCAGCGGTTGCGCAGGAGGCCGCTTCGTTCCTTGATGAGGATCCCATTGTTGTCCTGGGCGGCCCCGCGAACAGCTATTCTCACTATTGCGCAACTCCTGAGGAGTATGACGTCCAGCGCTACGAGGGTGCTTCGACCCTCTTCGGTCGCAATGAGCTCAACGCCTATATCAACCTCACTGTCAGCAATATGCACTACCTCCAGCCCGACTCGACCAGCACCCCCTCCCAAGGCGTTCTTCCTCCGGACAACCGCCAGAAGATGATTTCATTCATCACCGGCGTCGTGGTGGATGGCGCACCATCTGGCAAGCCTTTTGGCAGCGTGTTGGTGCAGCCAAATCCGACGTATAACATCGGCGATACTGTCAATGTCACATTCCAGGGCGCCAACCCGCGCAATAACCTGCGTCAGGAACAGACCTTTGCGGCCATCGAGCAGCAAGGCAGTGATGGAACCTGGACCCAGGTGCGCGACGACTCAGACTGGTTCCTGGTCTACACATGGAGGAGGACAAACTTTATCCTGGGGCAGAGCGAGGTGGACATTACCTGGGAGACGTACGGCAATGCGCAGCCGGGCACATATCGCGTCAAGTATTACGGTGATTCGAAGCCCCTGATAGGGAGCATATCGTCTTTTGTGGGAACGAGCAACAGTTTTACGTTAAAGTAAGAGAGAAGAGTTGCGTTTGAGTAGCGTTGTGTTATGTTGTATACCTACGTGAAGGCAGTTATTTAGCTTGGCTTAGTACCTAGTCTTAGGAGTTTATATTCGGAATGCACCTTTACGAAGCAATGAATAATTCAAAGTCAGGTTGACCAGCCACGTGTCATTACGTTCTCTTCAGTGTTAACGCCAACTTCACCTCTTACACTCTGCTTGCTGAAATGCCCCGTGGGATGGGAACCTCTGCCATTGTGTGTGGTGAACCTTGAATACGAGACATGACGGGATCTGACGAGCTCAAAGCTATATAATGGTAGCACGAGCACGGACAATCACATCCCGTCCCTCCCGCATGCTTGTTTACATGACGTGAAGACGGGCTGTTGAAATCCATCACACGCGGAAGGTTTTTGAGTATGGACGCCCTGACCCGAACGCTCGGGACGGATCTCGTATTGCGGGTTCCCAGTGTTTTGTGCTGCTGCCGGGACAAGGGCGTTCTTTTTGCCTGAAGACAGAAAGGGGGGGGGGGGGGGGAAATGGCAAGTTTTGGGGGAGGAAGTGTATGCGGGTGTTATGTTGGGATGGCAGTTTGGTGCTTTCGGCGAGTTGTTGGGGTTGGGTTTGTGAGAGGGAGAAGAAGAAGAAGAAGAAGAAGGTTAAAGGGGGTTCAGTGGAGGCGAAATCATCGGTATAGGGGCGTTGGGGAGATGGCGGGTGGTGTTCTTTGCTGGGCTTGTTCTTGTTCGTTCTTATTGCTGGCTAGGGTCCCTGTCTAGTTGGAACAGAACTGTGCTGGGCTTGGGCATGACCATGGTGTTTACTAGTAGTTGAAGGGGGGGTAAAACTTTCGTGGATCTGGTGTCATATTTGGATCATCCACAGAGTCTGAACTCTCAGGTTTCGAATACTACTCACACGTTACATATTCATTGCACATATCAACGACATTCATGTGGCAACGTGAACAAGATTCCTTGAGGAAGCACATCCCAGAACTGCCACCTCACACGCCTCAGAACCCACCTCCCATGGCAACTACCTAGGTAGGCAAAGGAAAGCTTCAGTTGTACCAGCTCCCGCTGAGCCCATGCTCCCGTTGCCGTCCGTGGCTGAGTATTTTTTTTGCTCCGGCTGAAGTGTCCTCACAGGTACTACTAGGTAGTCTTTCTGTGCTCGTCCATCACCTGGAGCACCTACCTATTCGCCCGCTGGATATTCCCCCCAAAAGGGGAAACAAAGAGGAGAACATCCTTGCCATGTCGTGACTCTGTTCTGCAAGCCACCCTTTTTCTTATTCATTCGACCAGAACGTGCCATCTGTCCTTCATAATATACGACTCAGAAGAAAACAACCCTGCAATGGCGATATCTGAGTACTGATGAAGATATATCATATGTCAGGCTTAACGATACTCAATATATACGACAACCAATCGCCATCCAACACCCTTTCTTCTACATGACACTTCCGCCGCATCAAGCCAACTATATGCAAGCCACCCTCTCATCTCACCGCGGCACTTACAAGAACCTGTCGATTGGATGAGATTGGATGGGCGGCCTTCCCGCCGTTGGAGGGTACATGCACGCGGAATCAAGGGGCTGCAGCCCGGCACGGCGATGAAGATAGATCAAGCCAACGAGCTGAAAGGGAGGTGTGGGGGGATTGACGGAGAGAGGGCATCGAAAGGGAGGGCATTTAATATCGATTACACGCCAATGGGGCTGCCAATCTTTGTGGTTTCCGAGCACGGGTCAAGCAAGAATGACGATGGGACGTGATTGAGGTGAAGTTGCCGATGGGCTTTTACGCTGCCTCCTTCAGCCGGGAGCGCAGCATGTCGGGCTTGTTGTTCGTATCAACGGGACATCCGAGTATCCGTCGTGTCGAAAGTCTATACTGTTGTCATGTCGAACAGCGTGGATAAAGGCCACGCATATGAACTTGGCCAATAGCATCGTGACATACCTTGGTAGTCTTGTTCTTCCCGCAGGTCATAGCACCCGTCCTCGTTGGACAGCCCGTCATACCGTTTCCGCTTTGTTGACCTCTTAATCACGATAGGCGATCCTATGCCTTCTATTCCGACGAAACTGGGACAAGGCAAGCATAAGAGAGGTTGAATGTGTACATGATACAGAAGCAAGGATCCTCGTACAGCGTGTTCCCACAGCAAAGACAGGGGCTCCTGAGAATCCTTCATCTCCGAGGGGTGCATGAGAGGACATGGCCGCTTGGGCCTTCGAGTTGGAGTACACATCTACGTGAGTCGCTACGAGAGACCAATACTTTCTGCAAATGCCAGGCCTGGTCCCTGTTTCCAGTTTGTCCCTACTTCCTCCCCTAAGCTCCGGGAGCCTATGATCGGATGCGGGCAACGCATATACGAGTGGCAACTACTTGCTAGGGAGTTAAGCCGACGACAACATCGTGGCCTTTGTCGCTTTGCTGCATGTTTCGGGTAGCTGCCTCCCGCGGACCGACGTGTATCCGCTCGTGACGTCCTGCTCCCAGGTTCCAGCTTTCTATCACCGACTCCATGGCCGAAGTGGCTGGAAGCATCTCGCTCAGCATGCAGAGAGCCCGCCACTCTGTCCCAGCCGCACCCGCTTCGCTCACCGACTGCAAGGCAGACCAAGTAGAAAACAACTGGATTCGGTATGCAGGCCTACATGGGCTGTTTCGCAAGCCGTCGAGTCCGAAAGCGAGGGGTCAGAAGCCAACTGTATTGCCAAGTATATTGCCGACAACGTGTTGCCTCGTCAAGGCCTGAATCTTCAAAATATACTCCTGCAGGGAGACAGAAGGAAAGCGGGATATGACTAAATCGTCAATGGGGGACAACAGCAATTTCGATGACGGGGACGGAACGGGGTATATTGCGTTGCCTCCTTGCGGCCAACACAAATATCCAATGGCTGCTTTGTCAGATGATCGAGAATGGAAGATTTCAAAAGCAGGCCCTGTTGGTGTGTGCTTTGGTGCCTAACAAACACCTGGACAAGCGCCCAAGCCCCAAGATACGTGGATGCCGGTAGAGTGCAACCATCATACCTCGCAAAGCGACATGCGCGGCTGCGTCAAGTGGGGGAGGCTCCCTTGCGGAAGGGCTTCGCATACACGGGAAAGAAAGAACCGATGAATCATGGCTGAGGAACAAGCAACAGGTAAAGGAAAGAAATGAGCGCCTCAGCAAGTGGCTGATCGCCGCCCGTTTGTACCTGGCCGCAAGTGTCAACCCATCAGTACGAGGACAACTAGTGTTAGGAGCGGTGGCAGCCATCCCACAGGTGACACCGCGAGCGGCGGGACTTCCACGATGTCTTGCGTCGTGTAGTACGCGGATAGTAACACCATGGGCACCGTCCACTCCCGATGAGGGGAACAAGAGAAACAACGGCTGGATCTGAATAGTAGCGATTCGATCTCTGGCAACAGAGTGCGGGGTGGGCGAGATGTCTGCGTCAGCGATGCCTAGAGCATGCAATATTCTGCGTAGTCTGATGTCTTGGTTGAGTTTGCCGCCACGTCGAGCATATCGAGGTGCTTCTTCGATGCCGGTTCCTGTCTCTCTCGCTTCCAGTTTCTGCTGTGGTCTGCAATCGGTAGGTAGGTAATCAACTGTCAAGATCTGTGCCTGTATTCCCCTTCTAATGAACCTGGCGTCAGTGTGTAACCCATCCTCACTCAGCGACAGTGTCGGGAACGTACAACATGGTTCAGAAGTCAAATGAGCACAACTGGCTAGACCTGGTCAGTGTCTTAGAACTCCTTGGACTGCTCCGCACCGGTGTGGAAGAGAGAACACACACACATGAACCCCCGGCTTGTTCTCTCACGCTACTTCGTACCACCTACAAAGTAGTAAGGCAGTGCGTATGCTGGCCGTCGTCCTGAGAGCATCTCGCTTTGAGGCGGAGAGTATACCTTGTGTCGTTGTGTCGTGTCGTCGTTTTGGTCGTGTCAATGGTCTGGCGCACGATCGGAAGAGATGGACACTTCCTGCTTGCCCACACATCGCTGTGCACGCGATATCAAAGGGTCGCACAACATATATGAAGATTTGTGCCTTGGGACGATGGCAGCCGTCAGATAGCAATAGCTCCCTGCTTGGGGTTAGGTAGATATGCACCCTTTAGACACACTCGCATACCTCTTTCTCTCGATTAGGCTGCCTCATCATACCCTCCTCCGCCCTCTGGGACACGCATCGCCGTCCGATCCTTCGGAAGACAACAGCAGCAAGAACAAGAACGGAGACCCGCTCTGGTGCCCAACTCACGCCCCTTTTCAAGCCATCACCGGTCGTATGTGCTAGTTGTCACCGTCACCGTAATGGTGCCCCGCCACCATGCCGTGCTCACTTCTTTTTTTTTTCTCTCTTTTGGGATTTTCCTTTTTTTTTTTTTTTTCCATCTTCTCTGTTGGCCGCTTTGCTTGTCTCTCGCACGGATCTGGTACAACCCCCAAAACTAGATGCAAGACTCTTCCACCACATGTAGTCGTATGGACGCATGATCTGGAGCCAAGGTTTGGAAGCGTCGCGTCCACAGTTGCTTAGGCGTTTCAGCGTTGAAAGAGCAGGCCTCAACCTGCGACCCCGAGTGTAGGTGGTATCGCGATTCTCAGCCATTTCAGCCTTAACACGCATGGTTAAGTGGCATCGCCGCTAATGCAGCCGTCGTGTGCTCCACGGACCGTGCTGCATCATGGAGTGCCGCGGTACGGTGGTCGTGTTGGCTTAGCAGAGGTATCATGTTGTATGGCCTCAGCAACCCGAGCATGTCCTGGACGAGACGCAGCCTCCTAGCACAAGAGGACATTTAGCTCCTAAATAGAGTGTGCTTCAAGGAGTCATCAGCGCCAGCCTTTGAAATAATCCAAGCTCTTGAACACTAGGCGATTCCGCACTCTCTCGTCAACTGTCATTTGTATGACCACGAGGGTATTCTCTTTGACTTCCTACCGAGGCAGCTGCAAATGTTCGGACCACCGAGGCATATCAATCAAAATGGCAGGCATCACTGCTCCATAGCAGTAGTTGTCAGTTGAATGCTCCCTCGTCTGATCCGGTTGGTTCGTGGCCCAATATGTCCACGCAAAGGTATGATGGGGACTCGGATATGTGGACTTGTATGTGTATGTGCGCGTATGCACGTATTCAACCAAATGCCCACAGATGTGCGTCCAATCGCGGCTTCTCGGAAGAAACATCCTACTGGTTGATTCTTTGCAATATCATATCAAACGCACTCGGGTGTACCGCTTGGTACTGCGTCTGGTAGCCGATTGTGTAGGCAGCCTCCATTCCCAACGGCAGGCATGTAAGTCTGCATGAGTGCACCCATCGCGGCTCACAAAGTGTGGGCTCCTTCGTGGTAGTCTCGCGGCCAGAATACCGATGCAGTCCCTCTTACTTCTTTTACACTTCCATTTTCTTCTCTCCAGGCAGCTTCGCAGGTACCCACTCAGCCCTGCTGCTGTTTTCAGACGGGAGCGGCCATATACAATATGTGTTTACCAGTAACTGGCAAGCGGGTGACAAGGTGTCGAGACAACTCATCGTGGTCGTAAACTTGGTGCCGGGGACTGAAATCCGGCGGACACGCCGGCACCAATCCAACAAAGGCCAGCTTCCTCGTACCTGTGCTTGAGAGCTGTATGACTCTGTATCTTGGCTGACAGCGTGGATGGGACCTGCTCCGCACATGCATTAGCACTGCCTTTATTGCCTTGGAACATAGGACTTGCGAGTGGGCAGCAAACTTATAAGAGCCGCGTCAGACGGTCTGTCGACCAGGGAATCAAGTGGCTCAAGGCCGAGCTGATCAAGTGATTGAGGACGGAGTACGGAGTACAGAGCACACGGGGTGGTGGCTGGTTTCGCAGCAGCACAGAAACCTGGCTTTTGCTGCTGCTGCACGCCCTGGAAATCCTGACCCAAAGCAGTGGTGCCACAAAGCCACGAAGCCATTGACCGGGCAATCGTCTTGCCCTTCTCGATGCAAAGACACCGACTGGCCTGCTTGTCGTCACACCAGTAGGAGGCAGAAGGAAGGAGGCAGAGAAGGACGAGGCCGCGAGAGGGCGATTACTCGTAGATTCTATTGCAGAGTCATCTGTCAGCGCTGATCTGGAGGAGCCAATTGCATGAGATAACAAGGCCACTTAGAGATGGCGAATCCTCCTGACCTCCTTGGTAAACGTATCAAGGCACAGAAGCAAACATCGCCGATGCCCCAAGCAATGGGGCTTGTCTTGTTCTCCCCCGGTCAGTGTCTGCTGAAAGGCTCCCATGTGTCGAAGCTGAGGAGCGGCGGATCGGCCATCGTGCCCAAGAAACTGTTGTTCTGAGCCATCGCACCCATGCATGCAACGTGTAGTATGTGGGTATACCTGTACTTTGCAGGTGTGGGTGTTATATATGCATACCTTAGCAGCGGCAGATGTATGTACAGGCTGAAAACACTCCATCACCTTTGATATCGTGTTGTTTCTATCATCTCTGGTCTCTTTTCTCGAGACCTTACCTTAGGCACCAATTGATGCTCAGCCACGGTGGCGGTACCTCGTCGGTACCCGAAGCATCGCCGTGCTTCTTGCGAATGGCTGTGGTAAGAAGAAGGTACAGAAACTGACCGGCGCTGTTGCCAACAAATCGCATCGGCAAGGGCGACCAGCACCAGCAGCTGCCTCCAGACAAACAACAAGAACCTGGAGAGCAAGAGCGCACAGGCCTTGATCTTTTGCCCGGAGTGGGGCTCACCGGCAGTAGTCCCGCGTTTGTCGGCGGTGGCTTCCCTTGTCATCTGAGCGTTGGTGCCGGCGGGCTGAATCTACTGCTGTACCAACTGGAAGGCACGGGGTAAGGGGCCCTGGAGACAGGTACTACGTAGGTAGGTAAGAGGTACCGCCTTGAACGCCGCCTCAATCGCGTGACGGGGTATCAACTACCTAGTACCTTACGGGGGAGAGTACTGAGGTACCTGGTCTTGCTTCGGCTGGGGGCAAGCGGCCGAGGCTGCACGGCGACAGCGAGTACAGGAAGGTACAGCACTGGTGCTACCGAGAAGGGCGCCCTTTCCATTCGCATGGCGGCGGCTGAGATGCGGCATTGAGGCGCTAGGGAATACGTATCGTTGGCTTGTATTCTCGGAGTCCCTGACGTGACCCCAACACACCATCACTGTCGACCTTGCGATGTTCATGGAGTCCCTGTTGCTCCCTTGCTGCCAAGTGTCTGCCCTACATATGGTATCCAGGGACTGGACAGGAAGCTGTGTCAGCAACGTCATGATTCATCTCACCCAAAGCAGCGAGGTGTGCGTCTCAGACACTTGCCTCACGTCAATAGTATGTGAGTGATCATCTCCGGCACGCTGGGTATAGGAGACAGGACGGGCGACTGGGGCGGGCAGACGTTGAATGAAACGCAGCTTCGACCACCGCATAGCAGCAAGGCACATCAAAGGGCGAAGATGGCATTGGACAGCAAGCACAGCGCATCAATCCGGCCTTCAGGCTATCCACACACACACGCACTGACAGCAGAAGATACACCCCACTCTCTTGCTAGGTAGGTACTGGTAGACAGACTGCCTCAACTTCAGATGGCTGCGATTCTTTCTCGTACTATTTGCCAATCCCCAAGCACCAGGGGAGGTCGATTCGAATTGCAAAGAAAAGCAAAGCAGGCAATCACCATCATCGGCCAGCCCTGGTCAGATTACTACTATTCCAGGTCCATCACACATCCACATCCAACAGCTTCTCTGGACCCGTCCTGCTTTGTGTTCCCCATGCTAGTAGTCGCCTGCTTTTCCCCATCACCCCAGTCCGGGTCTATGAATGGCAGAAGCAAAGAGGCAGTACTAGTAGTAGCAACGTCAGACCAGGCGATGGGCCCTTTTCTCTGCGTTTTGCTTCGTCCATCATCTGCCCCTTAACCTCGTTGATGATCCAGGAATAGCAATGGATCTGAATGCTATAGAGATACACCACCTTGTACGCGTTGCCGTCGGCTGCAATTCCTGTGCTCCCCCCTTTGCCTTTACCTCCGCCTGGGCCGTTGTCTAGGCCCTTTTCTCACCTGCAGTCTGCCGCAGCCGCCCGTTGTGTCAAACACGCAAGCAAGAGCTGCAAGCATTGACAACACAAGCATCACCTCGACGCCCAAATTACCAAGACACTCGCCTTTTCCTCCAGTCCTCCTGCATCTAATTCATACTAGCTTGTCATCGGCTGCCACATCACTCGGGTCGCCTCATACACCCTGGTCCAGCGTCCATCGCCCACCTGGCTCCTCTCCCAAGGCTCGAGAGAACGAACCAGCCCCCCGCCAGGCCTCATCCCGACGATATAAGACATCGCGTGTGCGCCGTCTGGATCACGGACTCTTCTCTCACTCTCCCAACCTAGAATTCCCAGAACATTGCTTTGCCTGTGTTAATCATCATAATACTCTTCAACTCCCCCACACGCGCCGCTTTTCCCACTTTGGCTTCAGATATCCCTTGTTACCATCCATCATTCCAGCCTCCTGTTCGACTATATAACACCTATATATCAGGCTCACGCCTCGCCTCGCCTCATCTCGCCCATTGTATTACTCGTTGTCCGACTCTAGACGCCACTATACACACCAATTCTTAGACGTGCCCTGGCATCGCCTCGATCACACAAATAGTCACCGATCGGCACAAGCTTCATACACCTACCTGTCCATCACTACACATAATCACAATGTCTACCTCTTCTTCTGCCTCGACTTCCTCCTACGGCTCCAACGGCTCATCCTGGCAGGAACGCCTCGAAGGTAGGGATCACCACAGCCATCATTTTGACCCTCACAGGGACCCGACTGACATGCCACACAGAGGCTTGCCGTGATGCCCATATCATGCCCCCCACCTTTCAGATCGTGTCTGATCGTCGAGGTATGACGCCAATTGATACCCCGTTTCCGCTTGGATTGTGTCCACTGACTAGAAGGAATCCTGGTGTTGTAGGCGGTCGCACAGCTTGGTCCAGCCAAGTCACGATTCAGGGTCAGACTCTTGCAGCACGATACTGGTACGATGGCAAGAACCTCAACAACGCCAAAGAAGACGCTGCCGAATGCGCCCTGAATTGGCTCAGGACTGCTTGGTAAACAGTCACCGCCACTTCCAGGCCCGGCATCACCGTGCATTGGCACTATTATCTTTTCGCCCGTCCGCTACTCTCGAATTCGAAAGCGGAGCTCAATGTCTTACTATACGCAATTATTTCCTTTTTCTCCCTTCATTCCTTTATACCTTTTCTTTGTGCGGTCTGATCATGCTTGGAGTTGGAGGGAAGGGGGTCGAGCACCTCATATTGTTTCGAGGCCATCAAAGAGCGCGGGCCCTGGGAACGAGGAACGATACGACTTGGAATTCTGCCATGCTTGGGGAGCATTTCTCTCGACTTCAACGGGGATATATTCCTCCGGCTTTTCACCTTGAGTGCCCGACGCCCTCGGTGGCCGGCTAGCACCCAATTTACAGCATTGCTCATGCGAAATACAAAAAAGCGGCGACACACGGCACACGGCATGCTTGCCACCCTTGTGTTTGCGTTACAATTGATTGCGGATATGGAGTTTGCTGCATAGGGGTAATGCGTTTGCTTGCTATATTGTTTCTTTTGGGATTAGGATTTGGGTTGATTTTCGATTTGTCTTTTGCTAGTTGGGAGGGCTATTTTATTTGCAACGTCGGTCTCGATATCAGAAATGCCTAGGGAAAATGCAGGAGGATTATGACGAACTCAAGATTGATGAAACAATAGGGACTGGCGCATAGCCCACCAATGAGTTGTTGAAGGTCGATACTAATAATTACTGCGTTGACATTCCAAATAGAAGCAAATCCCCATCTCGAACAGAAGCCTCGTGACCTCGGATTGGGATGGCATGTGGATGTGGATGCGGATGTGGGCAGCTCTAATAGAGCATCGACCAGATCCAGGCCGGCACGGGGATGCTCATTGCTCGTGCCCATTCGTACACCGTAAGAAGCAACGCGTCCCGTCCCATCGTCAGAGACAGCCCAGACACTCGACCAGTGTGTCGTGTCGACGGGAGACCCGAGGTCATGTGGCCAAGGAGGAAATGAGCCGCCCCGACCTTGGCAGTCAAGGGATGCAGCTGCCAGCGCCAATGCTGTGGAACGAACCGGATCGTGCAAGGATGGCTCAGATTCATCTGTCAAGCTACTATCTCAGATGAGCATGCAAGGATCGGGTCCAGGATCGTGGACAAAGGTAGGAGGGCTGACATAAGCAGACGTCAGGCTGCATGGTCGACCTCTCGGCCCGGACCGGCAGTTATTCCGACCAGCGACGAATGGTGGGTGGGATCTGTAATTTTCGTGGGAGGTGCCATCACGAGGCAGTTGTCGAAGCGTTTCGAGGAGACGAAAAGAAGCATTGCGCCGCAGGAAGCCACTCACGGTGACTGGGAGATACCGCCATGGCTTCAAGGGTGAACATCTGGGGCGCGTGCAGGTCCTTGGCGCTCCGGCCGCGGCCAGCCCGCATTGCAGCGCAGTCGTTCCGGAGCCAGATATCGTCGACTCGATTCTATGCCGATGATGCGACCAACAAGCCCTCCAGTCCTCCCAGCGGAAACAGCTCTGCCTCCGGATCGATCTCCGAATCAAGACCTGGAAATGCCAATGCGCGGCTGACGAACGAATTGGCGCAGGATGCCTCGGCGGGGGTAAGGATGTCTTCCTTTGCATGCCTGGTTGAATGCAGAGCCGGATGCTGACTTATGGAAACACAGACAGTCTCCTCATCATCACAGGCGAGACCGAGCGATGCGCTAGACGATGCGGCGTTGGAACAGATCCTATACGGCGGGCGGCCTGTCACAAGTCAGCGGGAGGGTGGATTGACGGAAGCGCAGGAGGAGGCCCTATATCGCGAAGGTGTCATTCCCCCGCCAGAGGAGGCAGAGGCTGTCCTCGCCAGGTCAGAGGCCGCCGCCGAATCGCAGTCAATAGTCTCCATCGAGACAGATGTGCAGAAAGCCGGCCACAAGTTTGGTCTTCCGCAGAAGCCCTATCCGGAGGGATTCCACGTCAAGAAGCGATACCATCCCGTGCTGGAGCAAATCACCAGACTGCTGATGCGCCATGGAGAGCTCAGCGTTGCGCAAAGGGTATGTATGCCATCAGCCTGTTTTTTATATCACATCAATCCCGCTCGTGGCAGCTTGAAATATGCTAACAGGCGTAGAACATGGCCACAGTCATGAACTACTTGAGAACGGCGCCCGCCCCCATCTATAGCCCGAAATTCCCCCTGCTGCCGGGAACTCCCCCAGCCTCCCACCTCCCTCTCAACCCCGTTCTCTACATCACAATCGCCATTGACTCCGTTGCGCCGCTCCTCAAAGTAAGGAACATTGCCGGTGCGGGAGGAGGTGGTCGTGCCCTCGAGCTTCCAGTTCCCCTCGCCGTAAGGCAACGCCGGCGGATGGCGTTCCAGTGGATTCTGGACGTCATCAACAAGAAGCCGTCAAAGGGCAGTGGTCGAAACCAGTTTGCCCATCGGATAGCCGAGGAGATCATTGCCGTGGTGGAGGGCCGGTCGAGTGTGTGGGAGAAGAGGAAGCTGGTGCACAAGCTTGGCACGGCGGCCCGAGCCAACGTGGGGTCCAACAAGCTCAAGGCCAAGAAGAAGAAATAAAGATATGACGTGACGGCGAGAAGTTGAAAATGTATATTAGATTGTGGACCTCTTCTATGACGGCGATTAGACGGCAGAGGCTGGGCTGGGACAGGCAATTGTATGATACTCTCACGAGAGGCTGCCAGGCCAGAGTAAGGGCAGCGTCGCCTTCTACGGGAACATACGAAGTATTCCACGAACGAGTACACGCATCTCACGCTCTGAGATGCATGTATCTTGTTGCATATATCGAGTTGTAGATCGGCACAGCTTCGGGATGTCGCCAAAGACGACCCTCTCACATTTCGTACTGTAGGAGAATTTGCCCGCATGTGACCCGGCTCCAGATTCGCACACATCACACACACATCACACACACGCACACACCAAAAGAGGAGCCCCTCCGATCCGGGTAGATCAAGCCCTTGTTTAAGGTTAATACGACGAAGAATGTCGGCGGTCGCACGAAAGCGCGCAGACGCCCAATGAGAGGCGCCCACAGAAGTCGGGATGGTTGGTGAGCAGCAGTCAATAGCGGAGTCGCACATGGCTGTGCAAAACGAGCGTGATTCTGATCTAATAATGAGGCAGCGCCGAGCGGAGTGTGATTTGTCGGCGCTGGGGGGATGGCATGCGGTTACACCAAGAGGACCGATAAGCTTCTTCTTCTTGTCGATGATTTCTCTCAATCTTTTCTATGAGATGCTTGGGTTTCGTAGAGGCCACGATATGATGAGGCTGCCTATTGGAGTGCAGACAAACGAGAGATATCCGCCCCCTATTTATCTGTGAGGGCGAGGCAATGGTATTGTATTATTATACAAGACTGACGGATCCATGAATGTCTTCTCTCCCTTGCGTCTTGGGATTTAAACTTAATCGCGATGATGCTGTGCTGCCCTGCGAGGGGTAAAAGCCACCGGGTGCTAGCGAAGGACTAAACGCAGCTGAGCATTTTCGAGGTTGATGGGATGATGATGCAAACTGAGGAAGCCAATCGGCTCACAGACGGAGGAATGAAGACAAGATGCTGACCATGGCCCGACCCCTAAGCTCCAGGCCTTCAGGGCTCAACCGACGCTGTCGAAACCGCTATGGAGCGTCGTCACTGCCCTACAGCCCCTCTCCGCCGCCTGCCGCCAGATCACTGGACCTGCTTTTTAGGCTCCCCCCCCCGTCTTCCCGCCCCCATCTTTCCCCGGCATCACATCCAATCCCTCTTTCAGACGTGACAACCACCGACTTCCAGCAGTACTCAACGTGGTCAATCCCGTCGCCCAGGCAGCACAACTCACAGGCGCACATCTATCATCTTCTTCCAGGCGCCGTCTACGACCTGCCGTGAACACATCAGCATCGATTGCGACGGCTGCAGCTTGCGCCGGGCAAAAGCGAGAGGGCAAGCGAAAATACCAAGCAAGAGTCATTGCCTCGCAAAGAAAAAAAGCGTGGCCCACCCGAGACCGCTCTCCAGCCGCTCTCCCCCCCGTTCCGCCTCCCCTTCTCCCTTTTGGCGGTACCACGACTGCTGCCATCGTGCGCCCTCAGCCGATCCCAGAGTCCGCTCCTGAGCAATCTTCTGTGTCATCGCCCTGCTGCTCCTGCGCCTGCGCCTGCGCCATGATCTGAGAGGCGCCGCGCACCCCGTCGCCTTAGCCGCTGTTCTGCTCATGCACAATGCTCCTCTGGCCTCCGACCTGCACCCAATCGACTCGGCGTCGACTGCATCGAAAGCTGCCCCGCTAGCATCTGCGGCGGCCTCCCACCAGTCACCACTTCAATACTTTACCTTGCATTGCATTGCCTGCCTGCGTGCTCACCTGTGTCCGAGAAAGCCATACGGAGTGCTTTGCATAGAGTAGCAGCACTGAATCCATTGGGTCCTGCCGCGCGAGCTGCACGTGTCGGCGAGATTGAGGGCAATCAACTCGGCACTCGGCAACGTTATTCTCTGTTTGCATCCAGCACCGTCGCCGTCACGTCTGCCGGTCTTCGACAACCGTCTGGCCATCTGGCCACAGCACCGAGCATCGATAAACAGCCTGTCTCTTATTCTATACCCAAAGCCTACCGGCTTCCACCGTCAACATGGCGAACAATAACAATAACAGCAACAACAACAACAACTTTCGCCCCATGAGCATCGACGCCATGCTCGACATGGAGCGGAAAGAAGTTCTCGCTCTGTTGGAGCGCGGCAGCGAGGCCCCTGCTCCGTCATCTAGGAGTGCTCGATCAGATTCGCCCTATGCTGCGCGTTCTCCCGTGCGCAGCATGCTGGACATTGCCGAAGAAGAGGCTCCTGCGAGCAACGCCGCGTCGTCATCCAGCAGACCGGCCGCTACCACCCAGGGCCCCGTGAGGAGCATGCTGGACGTTCAGGCGCCGCCATCCCCACAGCTGGTCCGCAGTATGCTGGATATCAGTGCCCCGGTGCCGGACTCTCCTCGGCGGCCGGGCCGGAGCTCAACTCCAAGCTCGCCTCTGATGGCGCCCAGCGAGCCCTACTTCAGACACCAACCGTCTTCTGGCTTGGGGCCACACCCTCGGAGCAGGTCGGATGCCGGCGTCAAGTTCGCCGAGCCCAGACGCAGCTCTCGACAAGACCCGATTGCCAATTACCAATTCTCCAGCATCATGTCCCATAGCTCGGGTCCTCAGTCGTCGTTGAAATGGTCGTCCTCGAGAAACAGCAAACGAGAGAGTGGAGGATCCCTGGGAGACGTGCTAAGGGGCTCCGAGAATGGGCTTCAGCTGCCCACGGATAGAGGCCGATCTCCTCTCGGTGGCTCTCGTATCTTCCCCAACCAGTCCAAGTCTCCCCAGGCTCAAAACCGCCGTTGGGGCAGTAGGTCTAGATCACCGGCAACCTTTACCGCACCACCGCTGCCGCCGGGCAAGGCCATGCTAAAGGATGGCCAGATTGTTAATCTCAACAATGCCTACCGCAAATTGTCAGATGCGAATCTCATTCAGTCTAGCGGAAGTTTGGCGCAGCTGCCTATGCGGAAGAAGTCGGCAGAGGCAGGGGAAGGCAGACTCGTCAAAGATTATGTTGGGCCGGATGGCGAGCATCTCGAATCGAGTGACGAAGAAGATGAGGAGTCGTCTGATGACGAGGACCGAGGACGCAAGAAGTTCCCTCGCTCCCTGATACACGGTACTGGAGACAATGGCCACTCAGCAGCTGGTAGCAGCTCACAATCAGGGGGACGACAGCCGCTGAGCTTGCTGGCGGCGGCGGAACAAGAGCGTAAGCAGATTCTTCGAGAGATTATCTCGTCGGACCCCGAGCGACACAAGAATTGCTGACTCAAGTAAACAGGTTCACAAGTGGCATTTCAACAGCCCCAATATCAGTACCGCTCCCTGTTCGACGAACCCGAGATTAAAGTGACGAATGCATCCGGAGAAACCGCAAAGGCAACCAAGGCCAACAGGGGAGTCCATCCGGTGACCAGCTACGACCAGGGCTTGGCTTCGGCAACGCCATCAGTCATGGACTCGGACGAAGAGGCCGAGATGGACGACATCAAGAGGGCGCAAAACCTGTCATTCACGATGACCAATGTCCTGGAGACGCCGGAAGCGCATCGTGCCATTCGCATCATCTACCGTGGAGATTTCACTAGGATCGTTCAGGCAGCGGAAGAGGAGAATCACAGGCTGAGAAAATATCTGGTGGCGACGGACTTGAGCGACGAATCAACCCACGCGCTTGAATGGGCGATTGGCACAGTTCTCCGGGACGGCGACACACTGGTTGCGATCTACTGCATCGACGAGGAAACGGGAATAGCCGCGGCGGAGGTCCAAGTGCCGGACGAGCCCAAGGCGATCAAGGAGCAGGCGGCGGCCATCAATCTGATGACGAACACGAAGCTGGTGCCGGCGCAAACAAACCTCGTGTCGGAGTTCAAGCGCACCTCAGCCTTTTACCTGAGGAGCGACTCCAACGCCGGCACGCCAACCGGTTCGCCGGCGCCGTTGTATCGCAACGACCGCTTCAAGGCCGAGCAGGAGCGCAGCCGCGCCGTGCAGCAGATTACGGACAAGGTGCTCCGTCTCCTGAGGAAGACGAGGCTCCAGGTCAGGGTGATTGTGGAAGTGCTGCACTGCAAGAACCCACGGCACCTGGTGACGGAAGTGATTGACGTTATCAATCCCACTTTGGTGGTGATTGGGAGCCGAGGCCGAAGTGCGCTCAAGGGGTATGTGTCCTGCTTGAGCTTTATTTCGAGAAGAGGAGGGCTTGCTAACCAAAGACGTAGTGTTATCTTGGGATCCTTCTCTAACTATCTGGTCACCAAGAGTTCGGTGCCCGTCATGGTCGCACGCAAGAAGTTGCGCAAGCAGTCCAAGTACAAGCGAACTCCGGTAAAGCAGGTTAACAATATCAGCAACCCATCGGCCAAGAGCCTGGCCAATGCCAAAGTAGACTAGAGCTCTGTCGAGCCCTGAGGCCCTTGGGGAGCTTGCCAAGCGTCACTGATCTCGGTCGTCCGGGGGCAAACGCAGAAAAAGATTGATGTCGAGGCTTTCATTCTCCCACACCCCCTCCCCTTACCGCTACCCCTCCATGCTGCAATGGGGATCTCTGATTCGGGGAGATAGTGGGCAGAGAACCAACCACATGTTTTGCTTGGTGAGCACGGGGGACAAGCGCAAATATTACTATCCATTGCATGCACAGGGCACTTCAAGGGATCACTTAATACCAGGTGGTGCCTAAAGCGTGAGACGGGACTGCCCTTTTTTGCTTCGTTTTCATTCTCCGCTCTTTTTCGTTTTTCCAAACTTCACTCTTCTTTCTCCCTAATAATCCCTTGGGAGTCGAGTCGCGTTCGGCAGTGTTGTCGTTTACAGGTTTGCTGGTAGTATGCTACGAGATTATTTACTTTTCTGCGCGGATCGGGTAGGAGTTGACCAAACGGGAGATGACAAAACTTCAAATGGAAACACACAGCGAATTGTCTTTTTATAGCATCCCTTCCCGCTGTCCTCGTGTCAGGTATTCCCGTAGACCTTGTGAGTGTGTTTCTGGACGGTGAGAGGTGAGACCCTTTGAAGTGTCCTCATGTGACTGCGGTCTTAGCTGCTAGGCTTGGAGACAATGGAGCCCAGTGGGGCGGGAGCGAGAGAGATTCGCCGTGAGGTTCGTGACGTGGAGCGTGATGATGGTGGAGGTGACCATACAGGTAGGCAGGTAGTATATGCTAATGTAGGGACTACCTGCTTGGTCGATCGATGGAGTATCCGCGTGGAAAGTACATCGTACCCAGACTATACATAAGGTACAGTACACTCCGTGAAAGCATGCAGCACTACTGGTAGTAAGCTGCTCAGTGTCGAGCTGGGTCATTTATTGCCAGGGTGAGAGTTGAGCATGAAGGATTCAAAGGGTCCGCACCACCTTTGTGTGGGAGTGTGGGCGTCTACGTATGACCTAGGTACATGTATCTGAGTACCTACATAGCAGCATCAAGTACTTGACAAGGACATGCAAACGATGGAGCTCGGCTGCATACCTATCTCTAATCATCTTGAAGCATATCAGTTAGATATATATAGGTAGAGAGCAAGTAGAAGAGCAAGTAGAAGAGAAAGGGGAGGGGGGGGGCTTCGAAAGACTCCTGGATCAGAGCGATTCCACTTTCAACAGGCTCATGGGCTTGCAATATTATAAGCCGGCCTTTCTCTCTGTCTGCTTTTTTCTTCTCCTAAGGTACTGACAAAGCTCTAATTCTGGTTGATGTACATACATGAGGGAGGGTGGTGTGGCATTGATTCGCAACAAGGAAGACGGAAGGGAAACAGTGGGACCGATGCGGCAGAGGGGCCAGAAAAGATGCAAAGTGCGTGCATAAAGACCAATGAAGAGCCCAAAAGGAAAGGAGAAAAAATTATGGTACACATATCGTACCAGTACTAACCGCCAGCATCAGCAGCAGCTGTCCATGCATACATATATACATACCTATAGATACCTACCTACCTACTCATCTACCTACCAGTCAAAAGGCTCGGAGCTTCATGGAGGTATCTTCAATCATGGAGGGGTGGCGAAGCTCTTTTGATTTGGGCCAAGAATCGAAGTTGAGGGGGGGAGAGAGAGAGAGGCAGGAGAGAGATGCCCACTAATTGCGGGGTGATAAGATAACGGGAGCAGCCTAGTGGGTGGTTGATGGGATGGCAAGATGGGAAAGAGGTCAGAGGCAGAGGCGGGAAGGAAAGACGGACGAGAAGCCAACCCGCCACCAGCCGAGGGTATTTTGTGGGTAGCTGTAGGAGGTAGCTGTAAGGTAGGTACTACCTTAAGTGTACCGGACTGCGCTACACTATACAGCAAAGGCGAGTTGCGAGACAGAAGATGGGAATTACATCGATGCTTGACATATTATTTCTCCCCTACGGCGCCAGAAACCTCTCTGCTTTGCCTCTTTCTTCAGCTCAGATGACACAAGTGTGACCCAGGACGCGGTGGTATCAATACTTGCAGGTACACGTGCGTCGAGCCCAGATGGCTGGAATTCCGGTGCTTGTCCGCTCCTGGGGTCACGGCAAAGCATCCATGGATGGCGGATTGACAGCATGGACAGGCAGACACAGGCATGGACCAAGTGGGGGTGCTGGCTGGACCATGAAGGGATGTGGAGGGGAAGGGGAGGGAGAAGAAGGGAGAGAGCGCAAGACAACATGCTGGCAGCTGGGTCTCTACGAGGTACATACTATCTGGGGGGATGGATGGGAGATGATGCAGAGCAGCGAGGACAAGGACACGGACACGGCCAGACGAGAGGGAGGGGGAGGGGAAGAGGGGGAGGGGGGAGGGGTGGCCTGTCTGTCTCTCTGTCCAAGATGGCCGTCTGGGTTTCTGGTCTGAAACGGCGGACAGAGATGTGAGCGGCATGCCTGATTGGCCGCGACGACTGGGTCGATGTCGTGCCACGAGGGCAGACCCAGCCTCTCACGCTTTGCTGCCACCGCAGACAGCACTTGAGGACAGGCCGCATGGCGGGCTTGGGAGCCAGCGATTTGCGCAAAGGCGAGTGGGTGGCCCGCTGCTGGCCGCGGGCGCCCAAGCCTTCCACTCACGGCTGCAGCCCTGGGACGGGTCGAGTCGCTCGAGTCTCCAGCGTTGGGAGAGGATGAAGCAGGAGATTGGGTATGAAGCGGGAGCAAAGGGGAGGAGGGGAAACGGCTGTGAGTCGAGGAGAGAGGGCAGGACAGGACACGATATGGGCGGGACAGGATGGGACAGACCGGGTCTCGATTTGCTCGGGAGCGAAGGAGATCCAAGCGAGAGACAAGAAAAGAGGCGAGCTGAGACGACCTTTGACTGCCGGTTCGAACGAGAAGAAGACAAGAGGGAGAAAGGCAATGAAAGGCGATCCATCGCCCCATCCCCCCTCCCCGAGCCCGAGAGTTTTGAGTGTGTTGCTGCCGCTCTCCCGCACCATAATCGATCGCTGCCGCTACCACCTCCATTCTTACCAGGGTGGCCGCTGCTCGGACTCTTGTGACGCAGTGCCGCTTCCTGGCTCGTTCCCCAGTCTCTCTCGCTCTCTGTCCCCTTCTCTCTCTGCTCTCTTCCTCCTTGCAGCTCCTACGGAACAGACCGAGCGGGACCATCTGGCTACTAGCTCGTCGACCTTGGGAAGCAAAAAGAAGCCAGTCTGGGTCGACCCTTTTGCCGCAAGCTGCCTTGCCTGCGGAGGACTAGAACCTTGTCGTTGTTCCAACCAGCCAACCGGTGCACACACGCACATACTACTACCTACCTTACCTACCTACCTAACCTTTGCCGCTCACACGAGTTACTGGTGGTACTCCGGACTCCATACCTCCATTACCGCCATAACAGACGGTACATACTTACCTCACACACACCTTACAGAGGCACTGCCGGGGTCTGGACGCCGCGAGAGAGTCGCCAGTGCAAGGCCCAAAAACCAGGCCGACTACCGACCGACACACCTTTGCCTCTCTAGTCCCATCCCGCTGGACCTTGTCCGCCCTCAAGACTCGCCCATGTATTCGCTGGTAACGGTGAATCAGCAGGTCTCCCTGATCAGCGTCACTGTCACTCCCAGCACTTTTCTCGCTGCGCTGCTTCTTCTGCTCGTCTTCGTCAGCTTCTACCTCCCCTCGCTGCCCTCATTCACCCTCCCACAACTCCCCCTGCCGCGCTTCCTCTTCGCTGCCAATCCCAACGACGACAACAACAACATCATCGACGACGACGACAATCACCACCACCACCACCACGACCGCCACCCATCGCGCCCGTACCCGCCGTCGCCCACCACGCCCGACCGCCAGCTCATCTTGCGCGACCAGTCGCTCACCATCTACCGCCGCGACAAGAAGGACCCGTACAAAGACCGCCCCCGGAAGGAAGTCAAGGATCACTACAAGGAGAGGGACGTGTACGCAAAAGAGACCGACCATGGCCGATCTCCAAGAAAGGCTCGACGTTTCCTTACGGGATTTCGAGACTCCGGTAAGCCCGCCGCCGTCTACGACGAGGAACTCCTCCGTTCTCCCCAGCGAGGCGGCGATCGAAGACGATCTCCTAGCGGATCTGGAGGTCGCGTCCGCAGGTTCCTATTCTCCTCCAGCGTGGCGGAGGCTCGCCAACGGTAGTCGAAGCAGCGGCTTCTGGAGGCCGCCGTCGCATGATGCGCTCGGCGCAATGGCCCCGATGCGCCTGGCCGCGCGCGACACGCCCTTTAGCGAGCGCGACATGGACGATGACGACGACGACCTCGACGACGACGACCTGGACCACGACCTCGACGCCCGCAACGAGATTTTGCAGAGGGCGATCCGCACACGGCTTCCCACCGGCAGCATGAGTCCCGACAAGGTGAGGAGCCGGAGTCCAGAGGCAAACAGGAGCGGCACGTTGCGACTCGAGGCGCCGACCCCGCCCGTTCTCGAGAGGATACTGGAGTCGCCGCCGCCCACGGACAATTGTAAGTTGCGCCTGCGCTGCGCTGCGCCTTTTCCTTGACTGCTGCCTGCTGCCCTTGCTGGCGCGCGGCCAACTGGGGTCGTCGTCGCCGCTGCCTTGGGTGCTGTTGGATGTTCGGCCGCCTGACATTTGCCGCCTTTCTTTCGTAGACATTCGCTTCGCCGTGCGCGCCGAGGTCCAGCAGCGGACCGAACCAATCGAGACCGCCATTGCCTTCATCCGCAAGCGCTACGCCGCCCTCACTGCGTCATGGACGTCTACCCTCTTCAGCGTGCTGCTCGCCGTCTTCAGCGTCACCATGTTCAAGACGCTCATCCAGGAGCCCGCGCCGCGGCCCGTCGGCGATCTCGTCAAGGTCGCGGGCATTGCGCGCTCCTTTGAACCGCTGATCTACTATTCGGAGCATGCCATCACGCAGGTCCACGACTTGCAGGCGACCAGCGTGGCCGTCTGGGACCTCGGAGAG